ACAAATAGTCAATTTGTTTAGAATTAGAATACACTGTATATCGGTCCATGATATTGTCACCTCATTGTCCAACAACAGACTCAACAAATTGCAGTTGTAATTTTACTTCAAACATGGTTTCATTACTTTCACATAATAATAGACTAATATTTCTTTGTCACTGATGGAGCTCCCAATTAAATCAAAGAAAATGTTGAGGACTGGCTGGAAATTCATAATTTGATCATTAGAAATAATCAGATTGACCCAACCAATCAGTTGATCACCTATCAAAAAAATCTTGTCAAAATTTTAATATTTTTCACCTGTCTGCAAGTCAAAGTAAAAATAATTAATTTCACATTTCTTGTCGTTTTCTGGCTCAGGACCACAGTACTTTTATCAATGACAATCATTTTGTGAATGAAACAAAACCTTACAAACCAATAGAGAAAATTACAGCATTCATGACCGTATGTGCCATGTTTTAGAACACAACAAAAACATAAGAAATGTAATGTAGACAAGAGTCATCAATGGATTATAGAGCTCTGCATTAACTGGTAATACACATTGTCAAGTCTAGTCAACAAATTTTTTTTCCCTGTGATAATGGATTGAGCATTTGAATTCCTAATTAGTCATTGAATCACATAAGTTTTTTAACCAAAGATTGATTAATTATTAAGATTAACAATTGACACACCACTTATTAAAGGATTACGTTTTCCCCAACATTAGAGCTGGTTAAATTTCACTACAGAGAACAGCATACCATGACCATGGATGCAATTAACCAACCTCTTTGTAGGGAGCTTCAACCTCCTTTTGCAGCTTTACTTTTAATAGCTCCATTCTCTGTGGAGTCACCACCTACAGCGTACATGTGAAAAGTTAAGTCATGGTCACAATTTGTAGAGCTCTGCACTCATGTAATCTTTTTTAAACCGGAGTCTCGTTTTTCTTGCTTCCCTTCCTTGGTTTTTGAGGATCTTGGGGAGACCTGGAGTATCCAGGCAAAGAAAAACCTCTCAGAGCAAGGACAAAAACCAACCACAAACTCAACTAATGAGTTAATTTCCAGCATTTGAGACCAAAGCCGCATTGATAGAGGGATGGTGCCAACATTACTGTGCGACTTTTGGCTTGCTCCCCTGACAAGAGTAGAGGTATGTACTATACCAGTAACGCTGTTATAATATTGTCATATAGCTGGAATTTTATACCCAACAATGTGCTTCTATTGGTTACTTTGGGGTCTTATAAATTTGTGTTATATACCAATAAGACTGTTGCTAAGGTTTCTGCATGTGCAGGCAACATTGCCAAATCTATGATATCAGAGGGTAACAGTGTACCATTGGATATTTTGTTCCCATTCATTTAAGTTGAGTAATAAAATGAGAGATGGTAGCTATTATTTAAGCTTGTTACAATACATGTAAATCACTGGACAAAGTCATCATATATTTTGTGCCCTGTCACCTGTGCTCGGATTTCTTCACATTCTTGTATTTTGGCATCTCTTTCAGCTCTCATTCTTTGCACCGTTTCTTGACTTTGTTCCTTGATGTTCTTGATCTCAGTTCTAGCATCCTCAAGTTCTCTTTCTTTCCTTTCAATAAGCTAGGCGAAGGAATGCAATATATTACTATTTGTGTGGTGCACACATACAATGACAGAAAATACCACACAGACAATGCAAAACTTAAAGATGGCTAACTGTACAATTATGCATATTTCTCTTGGTTCATATCACTCACATCTTGCAGCTGAAGGTGTTGAGCTTTAAGAGATTCATATGTGGTTCTTAGCTTTTCTATCCTTATCTTTTGCTCTGTGACCACGGACTCAAGATTGCCCATCTTCTCCAACTCCTGAAGAATTTCGACCTGCTGCCCAGCCATGACACCGTCTTGAAAAAAACAAAAGCAACCATGCACATACAATTAGAAATATAAGATCACGTAGCTTTCAAATAATGATGGATAACTTTGAAACAAACTGATTCAGAGATTCTAACAGTGGTTGTTAAACAAATTAAACAATAACAAATTAATTTTATAACAAGCACTTTCCACAAAAATGTCATTAAAAGTGTATAACAATAAATGATAACCAGTAAAATTAAGACAAAACCTACAATCAGTGCCAAAATAATCATTGTTAAGCCACTGTCCTCAAAATATGGGGTATCTTACAAGAACAAAACAATCCACACCCCTCCCCATCCCCTCCATTCAAAGTTGGGGTGTTTGTTGATTTCTACAGGTAGCTCGACCAGCTGCACAACATTGCATGGAGGGGCTAGGGAAAGCTTTATTTTCCACTTTTTAATTTGGCAAAAAGTCAGAGAGTTCCTTTGGGGCAAAGTGTCTCAACTAATTTTGTTGCCAGTTGTAGCAAAAAAATACATAAACATTTTGAATCATCTTCCTTGGACATCCACAAGTGCATATCAATTGTCGAGAATCGAAAATGCTTGATACTTTACTAACAGGTTCATGAGAGAAACACTTTACATTCTGTAGTGACAGGCATTCATGCTTTCTGATCTGGAGTAGTAAGTTGTTCTTTGTTATAGATGTACAGTGTACATGACATGTAGCTTGCACTGGTTCTAAAGATGCTTCATTCCTGAAAAATTATTGTCGATTTTCAGCCAGTTGTATATAGTTTAAGAGAAGAAAAGGGTTTATTAGAACAAAGATTTTGCTTTGGATGTCAAGAACTTAACAAAAAAGTGATACAGATGCATGTTTTTAATATTTTGTTCTTCAGTTGTTGAATATCACTTAGAAAAAGATAATAAATGTGGCAGGGTGTTCTCTATAAAACGAATTTGCATCAAATCAGTAGTTCTTTCGACTGATCATCAGCTACCACACTGAGTATCTAATGATCTGCTTCTAGCAAGTGTTATTTTTCCGTTGTGATTGTTGGATCTGTTAAAAGCCGGGCAACAGAAAACAATAGTAAAGTGACGGGGTTGTTTGACTTTGACACTCAAGGCGAAGAAGTCTAAGTTTATTTAACAGTACAAGAAGGTAAACAATGAAACGATAAGAAGGACGCGTGAACGAAAATATGTTCAGATTAAATTACTGCAATTTGACTCACCTCTATTTGCAAAGATTCAACTCTCTTTCTCTTTTAACCCTCAACCAATGCAAGGCCTAAGTTTAAATCTTAGAAATAATTGCGCCTATAAATTTATACATGAGGACAATAAAGATGGCGTCCGTCGCAACCGTCCGCCATTTTTGTCGAAATAATCAACACTGTCAGAGGGACTGGAACGAGGCTAACGTTTCAATGCTTCTGTGGACATTCATGTACTGGTCACAATTTGTCCTCTGTATCAAATTGTTAGTTTTTCGCCACTCAATACTCTAATATAGAGTACACTGCTAGCAAGATCGAAGGAGACTCTATTCGCAAGGTAAATATAGAGCTGTTGGAGGTCTTAATTCAACAATTTTTATGCAGCTCTTTGCCGTTTCATAACCGCTCTGGACGTTTGACTGCGACCTGAAGTTGGAGAAGCTTTTAATTTCGCGATTTGAGGGAACTTGATAAATGACAACTTGACGCTGAGAAGTCAATGAAGTGTTTTTGTTGCTGTTTTTTTTTTTTGTTAAACAGTGCTATGATACGTGAAACATTTCCAATAGAAATCGCTCGAAAAGGCCAAAAGAAGCGAAAAGGCTCCGATTTTTCTTCCCTAGTACTCCTCGACTGTTTTCTACACGATGAGATAGTGACGAATGTGCAACCTGATAAACTCACGTAAGTGCATCACGCAAAATACCCTTCGTGAGCATTGGTAATCAAGATTCATGGAGAGTACTTGAGAGTACAGCTTTAAAAATACTCAAGGCCAAAGAAAAAGCCACAGACGATTGAGCTATGGAGGTAAATCGTGTATTAAAAAATTAAGCGCAATGTTAACAATGAGAAAACAAACACGCACAAATGGCAAAAATTAGGTCGCTTGAGTGCCGGTGATCAGTGGATTGTTCCTACGATATTTTAAATTATTAAGCGTAATTTCAGTTAAGCTTAGGCTTATAAAGACATTTGTTAATGTTGTGGGAAAAAGATGCAGGGTCGAATATACACCAACTAGGCCACTTGTTACTTACAGAAGCGAAAGATATGGCAAACCAAATAAGCTTAAGTTGCTCTTAGTGAATCAGATTTTTGAGTGCTTATTAAATTTCACTTCTTTATTATTGTTAACACCCCACATATGCAACTGCTTAAATATTATTTGAAAACTAGTCACAGCAGCAGACTGAAAATAGATAAAAAAAATAAGGTTTTCCTTCATATCACTATTGACTTGAATGATGCATTTTAATTCTCAGTGTGTTATATAAACCAAGTTTTGTTTGAGCTGATCAACTATATAAAACCAACAGAAACAGGTCTTTTTGCCAACAAATGAAAGCATTACCAACTGAAAACCTGGGACAGGGTTGATGTCAATCATATTGAAATCAATATTGTATCTCTCGTCTTGTGCCCACCTTGACCATACATGGCAAACACTAGTATGCTTTACCACAAGCATTGTAAAATAATGTTGATACTTAAAGCTCTTATTTTCTAAGCTTTTTTTAAAAAAAATTACCAATAAGGACCAAGACATTTTATAAGGAATGTGTGGTTCCAGGATTTTTCCATACCAATCAAGAAAGGTCATTAGAAATTCTGAGGGAAAGGGGCCTCTAAAAGGCCAAACTTTTTAAGGAAAGTCCAGAGGGGTAGGGGTTCAAACAGGGGAGAGTATGGTTTTTTCTGGAAGAACTTGATATTAAAATGGTGCAGAACAAAGTAATTATTGTTTTGTTTGGTTGTAGAGCAGTGAAAAAGAAATATCTCCATGCCTGTATGTGTCATCAAAGAAGGGTGAAAATTGCAGTGCAATTGTAAGAGAAAAGTTGGAGTCATTACAATTTGAAGTGCACACTGAATCAAGCACTGCAGCAGCTACAAAGCTTTGTTCTACAACCAGAATGTCTTTAATTGTATTAGAAGATTGTGAAGAAAAAGCCTTCATACAGATCATCAAGTAGGTTACAAGTTCACTTATACTTATACAATTAAGGACAGGTCAGCCAAATTTGTGGGGCAGGGCATTGCTTATAAATTTCGTTGTTTTTGTACACCAAGAGATACACTGTATAAGCTCTACTATTGACAACTTAAATGGTTTTCATTATTGCTTGATTTGTAGGGGTAAGAATGCCATCCATCTGTAAGATCTGTGAACATGCAATAATTATAATGTATTTAATGCAGCATTAAGACTTAGCAGGCGGAAATTGTGAATTGTTACTGAATAGTACAAGTCTGAAAAAAAATTTTTTACAGAGATCATAAGGAGGCAAGTCATTTTTAGGAATTCATGTTTTGTTGTTAACATCTCCTTGACCTTCCAGAGCTCCAAGTGCTTGCAACAAACATACTCCTGTTGTGTACATCTCTTCAGGACCCCTGTCAGGTATCATGCATGTGCCACATGAATTCAGTTTTATCACACACATTGTAAGTTGTTGAGTATATTAGCCTCTGTAGAGTCAGAGCGATACAAAAGTCTATTGCAAGCCTGAAAAAGCACTTAAATGCCTAAAAGTCAGCTTTTTATTAACTCCTTCGATATAAGACTATTAGTTCTGCTTTTCATTCCCCTACCGATGAAGAGTGATAAAGCACCTCAGTTTGCTTAGAAATCCACCCATTTATTCCTTTTTTCAGCATTTGACAATCAAGAAATTTTTAGTAAGTCCTTTAGCTGCTTAGAAAAAGCAGTTTTCTTGGCTTGGCCATCATCTAGTTGCTGAAAGTGTGAAAAGTGCCTACTATAATGAAGCAAACATTAATAGTACCTAAGGTATTTGGCTATATATTTCCCCTTACAAACAACAAAATTGGTTACTTTAAAAGGATGCATTCCTCTTTTCCAGAAGATCTCTTACCAAACATTGAGTATATTGACTGTTTCATATATGAATTGATACTGGTTTAGGTGTTGTGAGAGACTTGATGCAAGAGCAGTTCATTGATGAGCTGGTATTCAAGTGCTTGACACTGGAAGATGATCTGGGAAGGGCTGTTGCTCGTCTGAAAACACAGCCTGGGCAGTTTGCTAGTAAGTGCTCTATTTAGACACTAGCTGTTATTAAAATAAACAGCAGGCTCCAGCTAATCAAACAGTGGAAAATGCTATCCATGAAGTATTTGGAGTGGTTTCCCCTATAGCTATCCACTGAATAGTTATTTGTCTGTTAGACAGAAGGCCTTCAAGGGGGAGAGGTGGGGGGGGGGGGGGGGGGATGCTGTCGCTTTGTTGGCCATTTGCCTGTAAAGAATAAATGGTTATAATTTTTTAATTAACCTTTCTCCCTTGAGGGGACCATTTTTGAACAATACCATGATTAGAAAACTTTCCAAAGGAAATTTAAAAAAAGTTTTAAATAAGAGAAGAGATCAGAGTTTGTCATTTTGCTACTGAAACAGCCAAAATGCAAAAGTGAACAGATGAGGCTTTCACTACTTCAAATTGGATTGTCACTATCACAATTATTTCCTCCTTTTGCATTGATTGTTGGTGCTTTCTGAGAAGGTTGTCGCCTGTTTCCAAGGCCATGTTGCCTGTTGCTTCCACTCCATGGAAGCCCTCAGTTAGGGTCGTTAGGGCTATCCATCCCTCAAACAGCTGGGGCCAGAAATAAGGCTGTGGTCTAAAAAAAGACAATTTTTTAAAAAAATTAGCTGAATAAGGCCAGGGTGCCACCACTACTTAAAAGTGCCTTTTCAACAGAAAAGATTGTTTTGGACTTCTTTAAAAAATTCCATCATAATTTGTCTGCAGTTACACCCAAGTCAAAAAGGTCCGTCCGCCCGAGAAAAAGAACACCTGATCATGGAGCAGCCTTTTCATCCCCAAATTGCATGTTTTCAGGTAGGTACCTGTGTTAATTTAAGAGAAAACGTTTTTTAAAGCTTATACAGTGGAACCCCGTTAATGCAACTACCGTTGGGCCATAAAATCCTGGTCGTAATAACGAGGTGGTCGCATTAACGGGGTCTTCAAAATAATAAAATGACCCAGTGGTTTTTACGTTGGGTTTGATAGAATATGGCCGTAATAACAAGGTGGTCTTATAAACGGGGTGGTCGTAAGGCGCGGTTCCACTGTATACAGTTTTCATTCAGTAGAAGTGTTGATGACACCACTAATAACAAGGTGCTGAACATTTTATGTTAACTAGACTTTATAATAAAATATAGCTCAACTCATCATTGCATTGCTGATCCAAGCAGTTATCTATGTAACAGTAATAAGTGAAAAATTTTTATAAGTTAGACTCCTTTACTTTGATAGGTGCAGCAACTTCATCTGTTGTGTCACCAACACCACATGGGTTGGATTATGCACAAATAAATTCTCTCATAGCGACAACGCTATTTAAGCAGCAACAAGACTCTGCTCAGCATGAAAGTGATCCTCATCTCTTCTTAGAAGGTGCACTTTGCAGCAATGTTGCTCAGCCATGCCCTGGACTAAGCTTTCATACTCATGAAGAAAGCAACAAGATGATTAAACCAGACGGTTGTGCTAAAGGAATGCACCCCTCAAGCATTATGGCAGAAAATCATTCTCTGCCGAACATACATCAGTGGTTTCCCTCTGTTACTATTGCTGCTAATGGCAGACGAGAAGTGAGAACACACAGCAATGTCAAAAGGGAAGAGAAATGTTTGGCTGGAGGCAAAGAGGAAGAAAATAACAAGACCCCCGTAAAAGCCAGTGATAAGCACTTTTCCTCACCCAGGTAACAAATTTGGTTGCTAGATGGGTGGCTAGTTATTTGGGTGGGTGGCGAGGGAGAGTTGGAGGGTGGGTAACTGGTTAAGGGGTGGATGGATGGCGGTGGGACGCTTCTTAATTGTAATTGTGAGGTCTGTCAAGCATTAGAAATGAACTGATTTTGTAACTAAGGATAAAAATATTCGAGAAATTTCACATATTCTTGATGCAATGTCTTGCTGAGTTTAAAGACTTCAAAGTAAATATTGTGCAGGCTTGTATCTGCAGGGGAATTCTCGCTTTTAATGCCAGTTTACTAGAAACAAAAGTACTCAAAATCGCATTTTGTAAATCGGCGTCGTTTTCCAGTTGTTTCTTCATTCAATTTCATGGACTCAAGTTTGGAAAGAAAAAGGAACTCCCCGAAACAGACAAAACAGCGAAAGAGGTCAAGGTCATCTGCTGCGGGCGGGACAGCTGCTGAGAGGAAAGAACTGCACTTAGACAAGGAAAAGAAACGAAGGTATTGCCGATGGAATTGAGTTCAGTAAAAACCCGCAACTAAGAACCTGGTTTTAAGAACTTGTTAGACCAAAATGTGCCATTTAGGCCCCCTCTATATAAGAACCTGTTTAGCCTAATTTTTGAAAGAGAAAAACAATTCTGTACACTTGGGCAACATTCAGAATCCTCTTTGGAGACATAGGTGCCTCATCACTCCAACTCACTGCAATGTAATGGTATGCAGATTTTATATAAGTAAAAAGCTGAATATACCACTAAATACTCTTAGCTTCATTGTTTGTTTTTTCTTCAGGAAATAGGAACCAATTTAAGGTCCTACATAGCCTAATATTGTGCTAATTGCCATTTATGTAAGAACCTGTTTAGGCTAACTAGAGAAAATGGAGGTTCTTAGTCTCGGGTTTTTACTGTATTATATAACGATACTGTATTTTTGAACGGAGCATGCTAATGAGATTCATCTGAAAAAGGGATAAGTCCGTGCGCATTATACTACTAACGTCGTGTCTTCTTCCGATCTAATCAGTTATAAGCTTAGGGAAGGTGCCCCGTTTATTTAGAGACAGTTGAAAATTGGAGGGCAAAATGGAGAATGTTAAGCTTTTTTCGGTGTATCACATGTAATACTACCAATTTCTATTAGTTTTTGCGATAACGGTATAAAACCAAACAAAAGTAGTAAACTCGTTATAGTTTGCAATAGCCCTGACATTGGAATTTCAATAAGTTCTACCACTTCTCCCCGGATAAAATTAAGGGTGCGTTCCTTTGAGATGATCCGAATCACTTTCAGGATCAGTGATCCGAGATCACTCGGATTATGGTAGAGCAAATGAAGCAGTGAATCCACTCTGGACAAGGATTCATCGGTTCATTTGTTCTACCATGATCCGGGTGATCTCGGACTACTAATCCTGATCCGGATCATCCCAAAGCGGAACGCGCCCTTTAACTTCGTATTCAACGGCAACATCATTACAGTGCTTAAAGGAGGTAACCTGGAGCCTCTGCTTACAGGGTAGAGGTGAGGGGCATTGCGGGCCAATTATTTGAGGGATTAAAGAGACGAATGCGTGAATAGCGCAGTATTTCATGGAACTATGGAGTTAAGTATTAGAGAGATTTAGAGTCACGTTTACGACAAACGTTCAAGTTAGGAAAAGAGCAGCAAATAACAGGTCGATACTATTCTCATGGATAGAACTGACGTGAATCTACCGATTTTCGTGTAGTTACGATGGCAGTAAACCACAAGCCAAAGGGAGAACTTGGCCACGTTGTAAAAACTCGTGTATGCCGTAAGCGCGACTCTAAATCTCTTTATTGTTAAAGGGTAGCTATGCCATGAAAACAAATGCGAATACAATAACTACACGTTTTTTGTTGCCCATTGTGGCCAGAATTGGCCACCTGCAATCTGTAACCAAAAAGGAAGACAAAGTATGAATTGAGGCTGTATGCAAAGACCATGTCACAGGAAAAAATAACGGATTCCCATTTTTGGATATTTTTGGGTATTTAAAGAATACTCATAAAAATCCCAAATTTGGCAAAGTGAGACAAGTCCCAACCAGGGAATTCCCAACCAAGTTCCCAGATTGGGACTTGTCTCACTCTTCCAAATTTGGGATTTTTGTGGGTATTCTTTAAATACCCAAAAATATCCAAAAATGGGAATCCGTTATTTTTTCCTGTGTGTCGTATCTCTTTCTCCAGAGAACGAATTACACAATCATGGCACTGGCTACGTCAGCTTGTACCTAACTGTGACGCGTATGCAGACAAGGCTACAGTATTTGAGATGAGCGTTGCATATTTACACCACTGCTGGAAATACCATGCACCCATTATACAGCAAGTAAATAAGGTGTGTTATTTCATACCTACATGTATACAATGGTATAGTGAATGACAGTCTTAGGCGTTACGTGAGTAAATGATAATGATGGTAATGATGCAAGTGACGGAAGCCAGATTTGTAGTTTAAAACAAATCATTTGGGCCATTTACACAAGGGAAAATAAGACGCATTTTAAATAAGATGTAAACTGTCCCGTTTTTGAAGCTAAGTGTTACGTTTTTCTAGGGCCCGAAGGCAAATTTTAAAACCCAAACCTGTTGAATTGTAACACAGTTCGCAGCTCACAAACTAGCCAATTTGCCTCTTTAACTGATAGTTTCATTGTAATCATTTTCATAATAGTTGACACAAAACAAAAAGGTGCCGGGACGTCCAGGTAGTTACACAGTTTTATATCAGGTACTCAAAGTGTACTTACACAGTTTTATATCAGGTACTCAAAGTGTGAACACAACACCATTTTGTGCCAGTACCCCGGCTCTAGTTCCCTTTACAAGGCATGGGTTTCCGGTGCCCACTATTGTTACTGCGCACAGTTTCTGCGCATGCCAAGGTAGTTGCACGCGACGCAAAAGAAATGCACAACACGCAGGACACGCGGACTGGTTTTGTTTCCTCTAAGTCTATTATCTACTCTCACATAGTCAATACCTGGGAAAAAAAAACTTCCCATTAGTGGGCACCGTCCTTAAAAGATTGGAGAGGGTCAGACTCGCTCTGATAGCATCTGATAGATCAAACCTGCAGGGGTCAATTCAGTGTTATGTGTGCAGCTCTTACCGAGTGATTCTGTGCAATGTTCCTTTTTCTAATAGGAATTTCTGTTCCTGAATACTAGCAACATATCCTCAGAAGATTTGGAGAGAAATATTACCGAAATTCTGGAAAAGGAAGGAAGAGCTTTCGGAACAAGGGTGGAGTCCGGATCGTGTAAAAAATCGTAAAACACAGATTCGATTCCAGCATTCCGCTTCAGTGCTTTGCTTCAGGATCCGTTGCATCTTAAAACTTTCTCTCATCTTTAAAACAATGTATTTATTGAGATTCCTGCAAGGAAAATGTTTTATCCCGTCTTTTTGTACTGGTTTTTGTTAATAAACCGTCCTTGTAAAATTTGTTGACCTTTTTTCTCTTCTCACAAAACCGATATGCCAAAACTGCATTTAGTTCACAAAGTTCCTTACTTTCATAATGCGTGAAGCTAAACGTATAAGTTCATGTCGCGATCAGGCAAGGCCACACCGTTGCCAGGGTTCGTAATCTTTTAATCTCTTCAAACTACATGACTTTTTCCAGGTTTCAATGACTTTAGATATAGCTGTCACTTCCGACAACTTTCAAAACTTTCCTTTTTTTAGGACATTTTTGGACCCGATTCACGGTGCAACAGATTACACTTCAGTATCCACCAAAATGTGTGCCATTTTTCTGTTTAATTGCCTGTCTCTATCTTACTTTGTCTTATTAGTAGTTTTGACGGCTGTAGTAACTAATCTAACCAACACAACTTCAATTTTGCATGACTTGCCATGACCAACAACTAAATTCCATGACTTTCAAGGTCTGGAAAATGAAATTCTTACATTTCATGACTTTCCAGGTTTTCCATGACCTGTACGAACCCTGTGTTGATCTCCTAGACTATGTCCTTTACACAGGTGAATTTGGCATTGAGTGAAACCCGCCCAGTAAATCAATTACAGGCGCAAACGACAAGCGGTCCTTCCATCACTGTCGTCCTATCCTACCATCAGCAGTTCTTATTAAGACGTATGGAGACGCTTTGTAGGGAGAGCAGGGGTACTTATCATTAAGATGAGAAAACCGAAATTCCGGTTGGACAATCAATTGATTCGCCCCATTCCGTTTGGGAAGCTTTAAAAAATACAAGGACGGTCTTTGATAAATGTGTTTAGTCTCTCTCTTGGAAATTTGATAAGAAATGAGGAGGCGATTAATTCTAAAACGGAACAGGAGGTTTTCCCCTTCCTACTTTATCGAAGGTCGAGTATTCTTCAGGATATTTACTTTTTATATCGTATTCGACGATTTATTCAGTACGCCTCATGTATAAATACACGAAAATCAAGAGCCTCGATTCGAGAGAAATTATAGCAGTGCCAAAGACCAAAAACGTGATGAACATGGCGCGTCATTTAAATCATCGCCGAAAATAAGCCGCATGCTCATCACAAGAGTCGTTTGAGCTCATTTGCATACAGTGAAAGTTAACAACGCCCGACCAGTAAGCCACACTATCGAAGTTTTGCTCATTAAGATTCTTTTTTTCTACCACTGAAAAGTTCAGTTGTTCCAAAGTAATCACCGCTTTCAAGCAATTGAATTTGTGGGCCGACCCGTTCAGGAAAAGCTCGAAATCTTTCGCATTAGTCTTTCCTAAGCTTTCTTCGTAAAAACATACGTGGCTCCGGTCAAGCAACGATTCATATCCCCAGTTTCCACGGTCTCCGCTAGGAACGCCTGGGACCATGACTCCCTTTTGGGGACTAAATACGAAGAAAAGAAAACGGCTTGCAGATTATGAGTTTCGCTGCTACATAAGCGAGACTAATAAACTATCGTTTGAGGTGATGTAATTACAAAAGGTTAGAGAAATCAATCCTATCTGGACAAGGGTTTATTATCCTTTGATTCGCCATGATCCGAGTGATCTTGGATCATAAATCCGAATCCGGATCATCCCAAAGGAACACACCCTCTTCTTTAAGTTTATTGGCTATGTCAAAATCGCTCGTACGAGCTCCTTGGTATTTGGCAAGAACATTCGTTCAAATGAATGTGTTAATATTCAAGCATCCTTTTGTACCCAATGAAAATGTCCGATAAGAAAAGCAAACAAACAAAACACAAATAGATTGAGACGACATGCCTGGGTACATAAGCGTTGACTTCTTTACGTGAATTACATATGTAGACTGTTTGTTTGAGATTTCTGAACTTTGTAATCAATTTTCGCAAGTCAAAAACTGTGACAAAGACAAGAATAAATAAAAATTCATTTATCCTTTAACTTCTAAATATATAAATAAATATTGAATAAACCTACAAGGTGTGGAGAACAGACGGTAAAGTACATTTACGCATAGTATAAAGGCCTATTATAGTACAAAAGGATACCTAAATTTAAATATTAACACCGGTATTACTTTCTGAGACTTAAATAAACACAAAAATAAGTAAAACCAGGAGCCGATTAAGGTGCTAAAACCAATAATCCGCACTCGTTCGAACAAATGGAAATAGTTTTTCAAACAGTGTAGTCCCGGGAACTGAGGGGAAATCTGCCACGCTGAAATCCCTGTGTAGTTCCGTCTATCGAGTTGATACCAAGACCTATCAGCCGTCTGATATCAGATGGCTGTTCATCCAAGTAAGGCTAAACTGTTACATCATATGTAAAACTCTTCCATCTGGAAAAAAAAAGGGAAATTGTACTTCATGTAATCATGCTTATACACGCACATACGCACCCCTTTATTGTGTAAGTACCAAAAGATGGCGTAAAACTGTGACGTAAAAGTTTGAACCCAGGAATCATTTCATAAGGAAGTTGGGAATGATCGTCCGGGTAAACGTAGTCCTGAATCGGACTACTGTTGACACTGGACTCGAGCTAAACTAACTACGGTAGAATGACTCGACAACGGATAATTTGACTAAAAACTGTACAATGGACGGATCGTAACAGATCAATGAAATTTCGAGTCTTCATAACCAGTAACATCACGGCTCAGCCGACAAGCGACCAATAACATCAAGATTTAATTGACCAATCAGGCCAACTGGTTCATTTAGCTTCCTAGCTTTGCTCATTATTTTCATTAAATTTGATTTAAATGTTGTATTGGTATGTAAACCTACTAGACTGTAATATCAACCATGTACATCGTCAAAAGCATGATAAAGATCATTCTATTCTATTTAAAGAGATCTAATTGGACACTTTGAGGTTGCACAAGAGACTGGGATAAAGAACAGCACTGTGGGACTGTTTGGGGGAACGAATGCTGACCCAGTTTCCTGAGCCAATAAAATGAGCGATGGCGTCTCCAAAAACGTTCCATGGTGCAATTCGACCTCAAGATCAGCCTACGAGGAGGAGGAGAAATCTGGTCCTCTGGAGCTCACACGCGCGTAGTCTTCAACTCTCGCAATTTCACTCCTATTTACAATTACATGTCAAAATTATATGCTATTAGATACTTACCGAATGATCATTATCCGAAAGCCTCATCTTGGGAGGAGAACTGCGTCGTATCTTTGCAGGGGTGGAAAACACCTCATCACAAGAGAAGTCCAAAGCTGCACTCATGAAACCCGATGGGGTGTTAAATGCTGCACTGTTTCTTGGAGTAAGAACTGAGGACACCCTAGGATCCTTTCTAGTTGAAAGCAAATCTTCCGGACTGGACGGCGATAAACTTCTTCGTTTATGGTTGCTTTGTGGAGTCTTTTGCGAACACATCACACCTGAAGGTGTTTTTATTGTTCTTCTGGACAGAAAGGGAGTGGCTTTGTACTGAGGTGCGCGACCAAACAAGGAATCTGGGGTGTCAACAACATCAAATGTAACTCTTTTGATCATCGTTGGCGTACTTGTTGCTGTGTATCTCTCTGTGATAGGTGACTGTGAGGCATTTTTTAAAGCGCTTGGTTTTCCCGTTGATTTCACTGGCGTGGAAACGTCCATTTGGTTTACAGGGTTTATCTGAGACACGAACGACAAAGCGTTACATGTTTTCTTACTTTTAATTCATCGTCATGATTTTTTTTTTAAATTTTCTTTCAACATTTCATACTATCCCATCCACCATTTTTTCCCAATCCCATCTGCGATAAATTTAATTCTGGACCCGAATTCCCGTGGTTGCTGTTCTTTTTGCTCCTTTAACTAACCCGGAAATCTTCGTGGGGAAAAGCAGGAATCCTGGCTGGCCCTCGCGGTCCATGGAGCAATTTTTCCTACCTTTTCTCGGAAGTACTGTGTGTACCTTTTCTGTTCTAAGAATGATGTTTTCTCAGTCAGCAACACAGGCGACTCGGACAAAGAATGACCTTTCGGCCACACTCTTTTTATATATAAGAATACTGTTTTTCCGGACAGGCTAAATATTCTTATTTTGCTATCGACTTAAGGCTGAAAATGTTCTTAAATTATTCTTAATTATAAATTATAGCTTATGGTATTTCCTGGGGTTTCAATCACCAGTGTTCTTACCGTATAGTAAAAGGAATAATTTTCTACGGTTAAGCTAAAAACATAAATTGTGCTGTATTTATAAAAAAATTTTCAAATTCTCAGTCTCGCGTTTATTCTTAAAATATTCTTAAAATTTTGCAAATTTCAGCCTCAATATTCTTATAGGAAAAAAGAGTGTACTAATCCAGATATTCTACCTATAAATACCGTTTCTTAGTAGGCCGAGCTCCCGCTCTTTCGCACGCTTTGGCCGCAGAAAACAAAAAATCTCCTGCTCGCGCTTCGCACTCGGTACAAATTGGTACAAATTGGGCTCCACTTGTGGGTAAGTCTACCTAACACATACGAACTACAAAAAAACATGCCAAAGGTATCAAAAAGATCAAACCTTGGAACGAGGAACAAAAGGAGGTGTACCGGGATGCACTTTCTGAAACTGCAAAGAAATTTTAAGAAATTATGTGAACATCTAAAACCATTAAAAACTGCAGAATTTTAATGAAAGTTACTTGTTATTCTCACCCTTTGCATGAACTTTTGTTTAACAGGTCCATCAGGCAAGTCAATCACATGGTTGTAGAGCTGTATTAAAGCCTCAGTCGTTGTTTGTTGAACGGTTTGTTTATGGACGGTTTGATGCATCTGCTGACAAAATGTGCGCGTGACCGGCAGTTCCTCCTGTTGGGTTAAAATGACGTAAAAAAGGTTAACTACTTAGCTAGCCTCCTACACAGACGCTTCTCAGGGCTGTGTCACGTTCTTTGCGTGAGGAAGCCTAAGAATATCTGACTAGAACGCTCAGCCCAATGACTCTTTATAAAGTCCAAACAAAAACACTGCCCCATAAGGCCTTTTTAGGAGGGGAGGGGGGGGGGGTTGGGGCTCCTGGCCTTCTTGATACTTAATTAGCATAGGGAAGAACTGTAGAGAAGGAAGAGGCAATGGGACGGGCATTCCGGTAAAGTGTAAATCATAACATGGGGATGGAAAAAGGGAAGGTGTCAAGTAAAGCATGTAGAAAACAGAAATACAAACTGAAAGCCCTTGATTTTCCTTTTTATTCATTTTTTTGTTTTTGTCTGGAGAAGTCGCTTGAGCACAGTTACTCCAAGCTCACAAGTGAAAATCGTTGTTGCATAACAGAAATACTATAAGGGTATGTATGAAGATTTTAGAGATCGTTATTTAGAGGTCAAATTATGTAAGCCTTGACTAGCTGTAAATTCCCAGCTATATTTAGGGTTAAAAAATTGTAATACTTTCGGTCAGTTAAAACCAACTCACGCTTCCCTTTTGAACAATTGCTTCTGCTGCATCAATGTCTTCTAAAAGTCCATTTGGAATCTGTAAAAAGCACATTCATCAGTCAATCAGGTGTTATAAACGCAACAATAATAACCCAGTGCACAAGAGGTAGAGAGAACTGGATGGCTCAACAACATCACTCAAACAAATACGGAGAAGTATTATATGGATTTTGTCTGCAATAGAATTGAGAATAACATTGAATAGAATAGGATTATATGTACAGTTAAACCTGTGATAAGAGGACCCATGTTGTGTCAATGCCAAAACTATTATACAGGGTTGTCACTAAGATTTCAAGTTGCCAGGTATATGCAGTGGGTCAGTAGGTGGGGTTCATCTAAACAGAAAAAGGGAGTTCTTTTGGTCTCATTTTCCTTTTGTTTCCTATTAAAAATAGCCGGGAGTCATGCTCATAGTAACAGGGGGAAATCCCCGGGCCTCGGTCCTTAGTTACAGCCCTGATTATAAAATGCAAATAAGAGCATCAGCAACCAGCCAAGTCCCATGCTTGGCTTTGCCAGTAAAGCAAACCAGTGTTGTAGCCAGGATCCTGACCTGTAGGAGTCTGTTCCAGGCACGCAGATAGTAGAAAGCAGCACGAAGTAAAAAAATAGTGGAATTTTTTTATTTCCCTCTCTTGTGCCCCTTTTTACTATGCACTACTTCCTACTATCTGAATGCCTGGCACAGGCTAGGAGTCTACATAATTTTTATACAAGTCTTACGTTACTGCATAACTATTCACTCTAAATATCCAACGTACAGTTTATGAAACAACCCATGCATTCTTTTCTAAGCAATAGCTATTTTATTATTATTATCATTATCATTATCATTATCATTATCATTATCATTATCATTATTATTATGTAAACAGCAAATATGAACCAGGTGAGCTTAAGTGTGAAAACATGATATTTTCACATGTGAAAATAACATATTATGTTGAAGTTAACACATGAAATGATCACCATTCTTATGACCTTACATAATAAATAACACCTATTCAAGCAAGCAAATTTTTAAAGCAAAATGGATTCGAATTTCATTGACTGTGTTTATAAAATAAACGGAACATTACACGTTATATGGCAGCTTAGAGATGTCTAGAAGCATGAATGTCACTCAATGTAACTAATTATGAGTAAACCTTGAAGAGTTCTTCGGCATGGCAAATCATGGAAGTGACCAGTTTCTGCATGTCTGGTATGTCCTCAGGAAACTGGCTTAGACAAGTTATTTTCTGACAAAAAACACAAATACAATTGGGTAAATAATATTGCACAGTTCCAAATTCAAGGTATCCATCAATTCAAAGATCAGATCTTTTAAATCAGTATGCATTTCTGAACCAATCTGAGAATCAAGTGCAAAATGATGCCTGTAACTCCTCATCACAAGTTCTTACATGTGTCATGTAATAATGATTGCCTCTGTAAGTTTTAAAATGAATTGCACCTTTTTGAAGTCCATTATGTTAGGTGAAAAAACCAAAGCAAGATTGTGGGCTGTCATTTTACTAGTAGCATTCTTAGCAACCAGGTTGAGAAGCCCCAACAACTGCTGTAGGAGAATTCTGTTTTGAGGTGGTACCAAAAGAAACAGAAGCTGTAATGCTTCAATCAGCTTGGCCTCAGATTCATCATTGGGGATTTCTAAAAGCAAGAATTAAGAGAGAGCAGTTTTGCAATGTCAATAAAAGAGATTCTCCTGATAACAACAACAAATTAAGATAAAAAAAATCACGAGGCTTCTGGTATTTTGGGAAGTGTAGGCAGTTAATGTTATGATAAAAACAGCCATAAGAATAATAGCGGGTTGTCAATACAGGGCTGGCCCCTGGTGACTAAGTTTTGCCTTTGGGTGGCCAGGAAATAATTTTCTTTAGCCATTCAGCCATTCGACCTCATCCTTCAAAAATGTCCTTCAGCCATTTGTTTGTATGGCGGTTCTGTTTCATATGGCTTGGCTATCCGTTTCTCATCCATCACTTGCCATGCATTCAGCCACTGAAATAGATATTATAACTAATAAGGAACATTTTTGCATGAGAGCCAGAGGTCACATGCTAGTTTGGCACAAAACCAGCACAACATAATTTTTTTGAGGTGACCATGTTAATGAAGCTAATAAAAGTTTAAAAAATAGGCAGACCAATAACACAATAATTTACAACAATTCTTACAACCAGTTAAAGTAGCTCAAAGAATAAGACAATATACAGTCTTTTATTTAAAAAGACTATTGAACGCATGAAACTTGCCTGTGATTTTGCGATAAGCATCCTGAGGTGCATGGGTTAGGAGTGGTTCTGGAAGATCACCAAGAAAGATCTTCAGAACAGATGCTACATCATGGGGAGTGAATCTACCACTGTCAAAGTCAACATGCTCTTCTTTATCAAGCAAGGATTTTAACTCTTCCTCTCTTTTTTTACTGCCTGATACCCTGAATAGGCCTTCCTTGCTCACATCTGAAAAAAAAATGACTGAATGGCCGTACATCCTACAAGCTTCTTACTATCCGTTACCAGTAATTAAAGTTTACTGACTACAGGTACACTATCAAAAAATAATGGCTGTATTATGGCTGTGTATTTTCCAGTGAGGTATGGTATTTGTATTTGATAAATTTGATAAATTTGAACACCCAGTATGGTCAGCAACCTGCGTTGCTGAATGTAACAACAATAATATTATTATTGATCTGGTAGAATAAAAGCTGGAATTCTGCAAATGTCTTGTCTGAGCCAAGAGATTTGGGAATCTAGTCTAATCAAGTAGTGGGTTAAGATTGTAGACTCCCAAATGCACAAATTTGCAGAGTTCTGCCTCCAGGAAATACTGTAATCAACATCCTTTGGGTCTGATATTTTCAGTTTTCCCTGGACAAGTTCTCTGGTGTGAAACCAGAACAATCAATATTTCAGAGGTAAAATTCATCTGATTTTGCTCCTCCATTTGTCTGTCTATAAAGCAACTTTTCTAGGCCAATTTGATCATCAGCTTATCCAAAGGCCAACTTAATTCATGCCAGATTTTCTGATAATGAATAACTCCTCTATCAAGATAATCTGTACATCTTCTAGTGTCATTTGAATAAAGAGCATCTGCCAATTTTCCAGTTAATACCAAGTACAAGATATAACAAAAAAAAAGATATGAAAGGGTGGCTAACTACAAGATTCTCCAACCAAATTTCCTTGTGTTTTCTTGTGAAACAAGAGGAGAATTTAACAGTACATATGTATATACATAAAAATTCACTGAGGACTTTATTTTCTGCAATACTTAATAAGCTGATGGCCAGTTCATGTATGTAATGGCAAGGATGGACCCAGCATGCAAAGAAAGTGGTGTCCGACAGCCCAGAGCTGGTTGATTTTACTATTGGGCTAGTGAATTCTGTTCTTAACTTGCCCAACTGTTGAATTATGATAGTTAGTATGGCTAGTACATGTATATGCTAGCTACAGCTTGTCTAAATGGCAAGCTGTAAAACTGACTTTCTTTGCATCCTGTGTACCTGTCCACAATAATAAATTGCATGATTATTTAATAAAAAAGACAGCTAAACTCACGTGACTTTAAGAAAACAATAAGTGTCGAAATTCTGTGTACAGCATCCACCGTTAGGGAATGGCCAAATATTTTATGGTTCCCTGTTGAAAAATCATTATGGTTACAAATAACTTATTACATTTTATGTTTAACAAACAGTAACTCCTTGAATGTTGAAATTAGAATGCAGGTAATACTTGCTTGCAAAAGATAAGTTTCCATTAGACAAAATACTAAGAGTGCCTTCCTTGACAGTAACTACACGTAACGCCATTTACATGGCACCCAGATGCATATTATTATAAGTGTGTTTTACTGCCTAGGAGATACATGTAGATGACTTACCAGTGTTGTATTTTATTTTGATATTTGTTGCACGTTTTTTAACTAGGTACCGGTAGATCATAAACCTTTCATGTAAAGTATCTCAAATCTCTAGTGGTACACTCTACATTTGAACTTTTTTGGGACAGGTTTACATCAGGTATTCTCAGGGAGGGGATGTTGACATTGATCAGTTCATCACGCAAGTCATCTTTGCATGGTTACAAAAACAAAACAAAAAACAAAGAATTTGAAGGTTCAAAACTTTGAACATTGGAAGTTTTTTCACATTCTTTTTATTTTACTTTGTCTTGAAACCTTAAACACGAAAATGTCAAACAAAGAAAACAAAAATGATATTAAAATGGTTTCTTAATTATCACCCAAATAATATTTTGGATTAGTACCCAGTGGGGTATTGGTATGGTATGTTCATACTTGATATGTTTCCCAAATACAGTGCTACCTGGGCACTAATGTGAACCACCCTTTTTTCAGGCACACACACCAGAATTTGGGCACGGTATTGGGCCTGAGTACAGTTCAGAATTTGGGCACAGTACAGGACTCAGGTACAGATCAGAACAAAGTCTTAAAACTCGGTTTTCTTTCAAGCCTGGTCCTTACTAGGAACGCAAGCTTAAGCATAAGTGTGAACATTAGGAGCTTATGTGCTAACAAGGATCGCCTTGACACAAGCATAATAAGCATGAACACAAGAAAATCACTTCTTAGGCTCATGCTTACATTATGTTTATACTCTTATGATTATACTAATGCTTGAGTTTTCGTCACTAGTGAGGACTGGGCTTAAGTTCCAAGGCAATCGTCACTGCTAATTCACACATGTATCCATATCTTCCTGCTGAGCCAACACCAGGGGACCTTTCCTCAAAATGCCCTGTAACTTTTTGAGCCCAAAGGCAAATTTTAAAAACCATAACCTGTTGTATAGTAGCAAGTACAGTTCCTAGCTACTTTAACTGATAGTTTCATAGTATCATTTTCAAAATTATTGAAACTGTGATCTTGAATGCAAACATGGCAAAAATAAAAAGTTACAGGACTTTCGAGAATAGGCCCTAGGTGTGAACATGGAATGCATCCATTTAGGATGATCCGGATAAGGATCACTCGGATCATAGCAAACTAAATGAACCGACAACAAATCTTTCCAAGGATGGATTTGTCAGTTACCTTGATGTGCTATGACCTGAGTGATCTCAGATCACTGATCCTGATCCAAATCATCCCAATGGAACGCACCACAAACTAATTCGAATAATCAGATCATGAAATGTCAAAGGAACCGGTGAATCCACTCAGTGTAAAAACTCATCGGTTCATTTGATGCCACTTGATCCGATTGATCTCGGATTCCTGATCCTGATCCGGATCATCCCAAAGAAACGCAAAGCTAGGTTATCAGCTCTGTCACTTACTTTGAACGCAAAATCATTCTAAACTTGTGAAGGACATACCTATTCATCGAGGACCAACTTAAAAAGTAAAAAAACTACGCACCTTTTCTGCTCATTATTTTGTTTAGTTTTTCCGTTGATTTGGAAAAAAAGCTCCGGTGAGGTTTCACAGTCGTTACAATCTCCAGATTTCTAGTTACGTTTCCCGTATATTCAAGTTGCTGTAAGTCCTCAAGAATGTCCATATCCAAAAGTCGCGTGAGTCTACTCAAGCAGACTCTTGCGTGAGAGTCCTTGTAATCTTTTTTATGCATTCTTTTCTTCTGCAATAACTCACGGCAAAATGGCTGCCATCAACAAAGACTTTCTTTATACCGCGAGAAATTCAACCGTCCCGTCACTTACGTCACTCAACGCCACTGACCAATCAGCGATTAAATTATTTCAGCGGTTTCGATCTGTAGCAGGCTCGCTCGACCACAGCATAACCAATCTATGGAGTTTTACAACATCTTCTTCTATAAAATAATCTTTTCCCCGCCTTTTATAAGAGGATTTTCTGGGCGAGGTTTTAAACTGCCTGACCTACGGACAAAAGGGTGTGTATATAACTTAATTTCTGGCCGCTAAATCCTTCTATCAAGACAGCTAACATGACGGGTCTAAACACTCGGGTTAGGTTATATGATCGCCGCTTAAATAGAAGTAACATAACAGCTCTCTTGCCATAAATAAATAATAAGACAAATAACATATGACAAAGTACATTTAACGAGCTTGTAAGAATGAATTTACAATTTATCGTTGGTGACCATAATCTAATTTCTCCTTCTACACGACATAAATTATTAACATGATTGTCACGATGATCACCATACACCACGTTTCGTGATTTTATAAACTGCTTCGTTATCCATACCATGTGAACATCTGCATTCTTATACGATCTTGAGCTCTTTTCTCTCAGTTAAGTTTGAACTACCATGTATGCCTCCATGGTCCTGACTAGCCGACTGTGTTCTCTGACCCACTTTTCGCGTGAATTTATAAAGGTCGCGTGTAGCTTCGCTTCGAGGACGAAAAAACACAGCCGCAAACTCGTTTTAAAGAAAGAGGCATTTTTCAAGTCAAGTCTTGTTTCAAGTCTAGAAGTGGCCGTGGGTAAAAGAATGGTATTTCATCATATGACATAAAGTAGGTGGACAGTTACAACAATTCGCCCCTACGTGCAATTTGATACGTTCAAATTCCACGGGTGTCGTGATTCTCCTCACTGGACTTCGATGACACTAGAAACAAGTCAGCAACAGAGACTGCGCGCGTGGATTTTTTGTTCCATTGTCAGAGTGAAAGTCATGCCTTCCAGCCCTTTTGGCTTATTTGGCGTCGAAAGTGACGAGGAAAACGCGACTGAATTATATGAAAATGCTTCGAATTCATCTGAAAGCCCTCGATATCGACCATTACATTCCTCTCCCAACTCGACTTTCAGTGAGAGGTTAAAGATTGCAAGAAAACTTATTCCTTCGTATCCTGGCAGAGCAAAATTAGTGAAATCCAATCATGAGATGACCGGATTAAAGAGAAAAACAGATGAAGAAAACATCAGCGGTGGATTAGAAACTAGTAATTGTCCAATGGTTCGAGAGTTTCAGAGCTTCCTCCGGGAACATGCCATCATCATGGAGTTGTAAGCGCTAACTTACCTTCATGTTGATATATTTTAGAAGCTTATAAACAGATCTGTAGTGATGAAATTAGCGCTATAGAAGTGTACATTGTTATTATTAACGTACCTTTACATTCAGTTATCTCGCATTGCATGATTGTACTATATATCCTTGAAATATGTTGGTCGCAATTGTTTTTTTGTTGTTGTTAACCTGTGTTTGATAATAATTACGGCAATGATATTTCACACTTCACGAAACCCAGCTCGATAGTAAACTTTTAATGACAAATTAAATGCCCATTATGCAGCCCCACCATTGAATCTCACATCCTCAAAAATTCCCAACAATTAAAAGGGACAGTTCAAGGAAAATTCAGGAAGGGTTGGGGGAGAGCTATATACATGCTATATATGCAGAAAGCCTACCAGCTATATTAAGATACCTACAATCGGCAACAAAATGAGTTGAGACACTTCGGTCTAAACTGAGCTTTTTTACGTTTTACTGACTTCAAAAGGGTGAAATATAGCTTTTCCTCCCCCATCCGGCCCTCCATGCAATGTTGTGCCGCTGTTTGAGCTACCTTTAGAAAGCAACAAACAACTCAACTTTGAATGGAGAGGACAAGGGAGGGGTGTGGATTCTTTTGTTCTCTGAAGTTACCCTATTTCAGTGCAATGTCTCAACAATTTTGTCGCCCATTTTAGGATAGCTCTTATGAAGGCAGGAAAATCATACCTGGATACATCTAAGGCTTCTGTTTATGCATAAGAACAGTGATTTTGGCACGTTTGCTAAAACAGATGGAAACCACACCACCACCAAACCCTCTCAACCAATGGCTCCAGCACAATGTTCAAAGCGTGTGAACAACTTGTTCCAGCTCTGTGTTACTGCTGTTCATACTAAACTGGACACAAAAAACTATCCGCTATAGTGTGAACATAGCCTTGGAGTCATTTGTTCAAAGAACACTGCCCAGAGCATCTCAGTCCACCACAATGCGGCTCTCAAAGAGGGACTGCATGTTAAGAAGTCTTTAAATATTTAAGACAATTTAATTTTAAGACAAAGGCGGGGGTAGGTATGTGGTCCCAGTCCTTACTTAGTCTGCCCATGAAAAGCAACAGTGGGACCAGGGGGGGGATGGGGGGAAGGGGGTAGGTGCTTGGAATTGATAGAGGCACAACCAATGCACTAACCCATAATATTGTGAACCCATACAACCCCCAATTCCCCCAAAAAATGGTCGGGTTTGACTGCTCCCATAATTATATGGCTGCATGGCTCTGTAAGCAGTGAAGATGAACCTTGGAAGTCATCTGTTTTCATTGCTTATGTGGTCTGGCAAGGTCAAGCCTAATCTTGCCCTGCACTCAGGATGGCCCACTTTATTCCTGCAAAAATATTTTTTTTGTTTGGTGAAACTCGGTGTCAGACTCACTCTTTATAATTTATGATAGTTGAATTAAAATGGACGGAGATGAACGTAACCCATGAATAGCTCTGCGCTTTTTCCTGGGCAATTCCATGTAGCATGCATTTTGAATGCATACTGTTTATTATATACTTATATATGTGAACAAACTTAGTCATGAAATAACCATTCGTAGGTTAAATAAAGTTAAACTGTCTCTATACTGTTTCACATTGCAGCAAGTATTTGAGTCAAAATCCTCTCAGTGGAGTCTATGCAGTACCCTCTCTAAACACATTACAAGGTCAGTTCAATATTGTGGATACTTACTTGCTGCTGAGCTGCTATTAGTTAAAACAAATGCAGAAAAAACAATGTACTTGTCTCCTTGGTCTAGTGCAATGAGCCTTAATTAGAATCGAATCTGTCGCAAATCATGAAAATTAACCAGTTCAGTGGCTTAGATTTTACTACACAGAGTTTTAATAATTTCATTTCAAACAAACCAAAGAGAATGTCAAATGAGAAGGACCAAACAACTTGCTGTCTTATCATTGTTGTTTTAGGTCTAGGAAAACAGTTAGGTGCTAGTGTATGTCATGACAGGTTAGCTTTATGGAAAGAAAATATAAGTTCTTGGAGATATGTGGTAGGGGAGCCATGGGTGGGAGGGGTGATAGGGGTGGAAAGAGACTGGAGGTGTTATTTGGAGTACTTGATAGAGCTTTAATCATACAAGTTAGTAGTTTTTTAGCAAATCCTTAGAGATATGTGGGGGGAAGGCCAGGGGTGGGACAGTGAATGTAGTGTCAGAATTTGAATCCATACTTTCATTCACCATTGTCAAATAAACAATTATATGAATTTGTATGCCTGCATGAAGTATTCGTACCAGTAGGCATGAGGTTGCCTTACAACTGCCTATAACATTTTGGTTATTAAGGGTTTAGCTCAGTGCTTTCTTTTTTTAGTGTGAACAGTTTGACTGCAACTTCCAACAGATTATCATAACCTCCTTATATAATGACACCTCTCTAAATTAAACTGGCTGCCTAGCTTTAGTCCCTGTCATTTTTCAGTCATTTTCTTTGACTTCCATTAAGATGGACTCTTTATTTAAGCCCTGATGAGCAAGTCTCAATGGTGTTCATCTTAGAGAGAGATAATCACTGGAGCCACAGCTTGTTTTGTCAGTTACTGTATTACTATATTATTAAATGTAATGGCTTGATCAATTTTATCGTTAGTCTGGCATGGGATAATATTCATCAGAGCAGGACCTTACAGAAATGGAATCTTCAGGTTTATAGTTATTCTACAGGATGAGTAAGTAAAAAACAGTGGATAAAAAAACTTGACATTGTTATATTTTTTCTTTAATATATTTTATCTATCTCAGTTCTTAATTTTTAGCTATACATACAAAGAGTGTTGTGTTTTTACACCAGTAATTATACGGAGACAGCAATAGACCAATTGTGATATATTAGAATTCACACTTGGCTCCATTAGGTTGGTGGAATAACACAAAAGAAATCATATTGTCAGGCTCAGCAATTGAAAAATACATCTCTTTTTTTATTTTTCCCCCAAGCTATGGAGCCAAGTACAAATTTTATCAAAAATTGGTCTTAAACAACCTGCTACTTGTTGTTGTTGTTGTTATTTAACAGCTTACTGCTGTTAAATAACTGCTGCTTGAAACTACATATTTTAAACAAAAACTTTATATTGAAAAAGAATCAGCATAAAAGCTCAAATATAATGCAAAGTTGTGTTACTGGCATCTTTTCTACTAATTAAGCCAGTCTTCATCAGAAACTAATTTATGCAGTTAATTTCAAGTGTATTTGATAAAACAATGCAGCCCGACTGTTATGTTTGATTTTCAGTTTCCCTGATAGCAGACCTCTTCTCAAGTTTACTACACCAGTGTTTCATCCTCAAGTTCATCCTGTTAATTGGTAAGTGAGGACGCAGTGGCTGAATGACTTGAGGTGAATTCAGAAAGAGGAAGTGGCAAGTTGTTACATTGTAGTGTAATTTATACTGGCATATGCACGTAAAATGTATGTGCATAAATAAAATAGAGACAATGTATGAAAGGCTGCGCGTAAACATAAGAGTTGAGCAGGTTCAACTGACTGTTTTGTTTATGCGCATAACCTTCCATACATTGCCTCTATTTTATTTACACGGGTAACATTTTTGTGGGCTCACATAAAAATTATGCGACAGTTGATCCACCTTTAGTCCCTTTCCTCTTTTCCCCAGTTCATAGTCAAAAATGAGATATCATATATTTATTTATTACAGTTAACTCTGGGATTTAACCTGTTCACACCTGAGAAGGATTGTTTTAGAAATGATGAATTTAAAAGCCCTTGTCTTCATAAATTTCATCAGGTTCAAGTTAACTGACAGTTTAAGGAGGCAGCCTAATTAAAGTAAGCATCAGGCTGTTGAGTAAATAGAGTAGTTTCAGAGCAAGCTTAATAATGCTGATCGATCTTTCCAATTTTGCCTCATTGTTTTTGTACCTTTTTTAGGGTTCTGAACCTGGAGGTTTCTTTTCCACAATGGGAAAGAGGAAAAAACAGTATATGGTGAGTGGCAGAGCTATTATGGAATCTTTGGTACTTATTTCAGCATAAAAAAATCGTACTTTGGTCAATTAACAACTTGACAAACTTTTAACTTGATAATAGGTCATTTACATGATGGCACCATTTTACTGTGCACTTTTTAAAATAAGTATACCAGTATCCATTTCACTCTTCCTTTTTTTCAATAATTAAAAACTGCCCATGAGTAAATGGCCTGTTCAGTCCCTTCTATTCTACTAAATGAAGGATAATTCAGTCCTCACCATACTGCTGAAGGAAGGATAATTCAGTCCCCACTATTTATACTGCTAAAGGGAGAATAAATTCAGTCCCAACTATACTACTTAGAGAAGGATAATTCAGTCCCCACTATACTACTAAGGAAAGGATAATTCAGTCCCTACTATACTACTAAGGAAAGGATAATTCAGTTCCTACTACACTGCTATAAAGGAAGGATAACTCAGTCCCTACTATACTGCTAAAGGAAGGATAATTCAGTCCTTACTATACTACTCAGGGAAGAATAATTTAGTCCTTACTATACTACTTGGGGAGGCATAATTCAGTCCCTGCTATACTGCTAAATAAGGAAGGATAATTTAGTCCCTACTAAACTGCTAAGGGAAGCATAATGTAGGCCTTACTGTACTGCTGAGGGAGGTATAATTAAGTCCTTACTATACTATTAAGGAAAGAATAATTTAGTCCTTACTATACTGCTAAGGGAAGCGTAATGTAGTCCTTACTATACTGCTGAGGGAGGTATAATTTAGCCCTTACTATACTACTAAGGGAAGAATAATTTAGTCCTTCCTATACTGCTCAGGAAAGGACAATTTAGTCCTTACTATACTTCTAAATTGCTCTTTCCTTAGTAGTATAGTAAGGACTATAATTATTCTTCCATTAGGAAGTATAGTAAGGACTAAATTATCCTTTTCTTAGCAGTATAGTAAGGACTAATTTATTCTTCCCTTAGCAGCGTGCAAAGAAAGTAGTGTCCGACAGCCCGGGGCTAGTGGATTTTGTTATCGGGCTAGTTAATTCTGTTTTTAACTTGCCTGATGGGCAAGTGATGATTTTTGAGGAATTCGAATAACAGAAGAACTGTGAAATCAATTGTGCTCGTCAAAAAGCTTTTGGGGCTAGCGGAAATGACGTTTGGGCTAGTAACTGCTAGCTTCTTTGCACGCTGCTTAGTCCTTAAAACTGCTAAGGGAAGGATAATTTAGTCGTTGGAAGGATAATTCAGAGACCACTAAACTGCTTAAGGCAGGATAATTCAGTTCCCTCTTTAGTGCTTACTATACTGCTTGAGGAGGGATCATTCCTTTTTAACTGTACTGAAAAGGGAAGGATAATTCTCACCAGGCACATTCCAAGGAAAGATGATTTAGACCCTACGGCTAAAGGTGGAATATTTTAGTCCCCAATATACGGTTGAAGAAAAGATCTCCTGACGTAGGCAGCTGCTTGAAACAGATTTTCTTTTTCAGGCAAGTCCTTAAATTTTTGAAGAGTTGCTTTTATAACGTGGACACATGGGGAGGAACAAATGAAGCTGCCATCGATACGTAAGTGTTTCTGATCTCCTGTTAGGAATGGAGCAGAATGAAATCTATGTGAGTGATATTTCCCATTTAACGCCTGAAGACTTCAGAGCGACTAGACACTTCATAAACAGACGTATGGTATCAGGAATAGGTCATAGAGGATCACACCACTCGTGGCTGAAAGTGTTATCTTATTAAAGCTCTACAAGAATAATTCCAGATCTAGATTAATTTGCCAGGGCCCTTTAATTCTAACCTTGAACGATTAAGGTAGCTTATGTTAGCCGACACCATCGGTCGGTATATCGCCCTCGTGTCGGTCAAGTATCAGCAGAGTGACAGGCAAGTATCTAGTACACCGAATCGGCCGAAAGCGTGAATAAATGTATACACTGTATAAAAAGTGCACATTACAGGGCGCTCCAACGACCTTCCATATGTAACACACATTCTTAATTAAGCGAGGATCTTGGTGATAAGAAGAAAAATATGGCGAATGTTTTTAAATCATTGTGTTTAGAATTCACAGCGATATCGAGAAATTCAAAGATGAAGCAGAACTATGTGCAGCTGATTCAGTCAGATTGTTTGATGATGAACTCAGTCAAGGCAGAAGCTCAGGTATGTTGGTAATTTAAAATATGTTTTAGTTAAGCTCTGCAACAATTTTTTACTTTCCTCCACAAAAAATTGACCGCTTCATTTTTACAGTCCATACTGGAGACCTGGCTCCAGTTCTTCAAAAGGTGGATAACGCTATCCGCTGGATAAATCTCTACCCAGAGTTGTGGATAGCGCTACTGGTTTTCGTAATACGTATTCGCTAGATACCGAGTTGTAAGATGGATATCGCTATCCAGCGTTTGAACAATCCAGCCCTGCAGTGCCAATCTAACTATGCTGTCACAAAACCCTGTGGTGTAATCGTTTAATTAAACCTCTTAGCCAGTGCTATCAAATGATACTATTTCACAAACCGTAATTTGAAATTTCCCTAGAATTCTCTCATTGGCCTTTATATTTGGAAGTGCAAGCGCTTACTTGCAGAAATCTACCTTACTAGACAGGGAGGAGCGGAGACGAAAGCTCTCATGTTCGTATCGCATAGGCGACCCCAAATGAAGGCTTAGTTTTTTGTTGGTTCGATCTCTTATTATTTTTCCCATGTTCAACAGATGACGATGGAAATGTCCTCAGCCAGAAGAATCTCAGCGACGTAGCATTTAGAGAAGGGAAGAGAATGATGTTAACTGGGGTAAGAATAGGACGCGTTAGGTCAATGTAGAGTGCCCTTTTTGGAAAAATCCGAATCTGGGTTAAATATAAGCGCTTGCCTGAATCTCAAGCAAAAAACATAAATTGGACAAAGGATCTTTTCCGTAGCAACAGTGAGTGCTATTCAGAGTACAGGAACAACACGAAACTACACATATCGTCACTTAGTCTAGAAATTGCATGCAATAAATTGCCTTTCAAATAGGGAGATGTGTCCGGGCCGCTTCACGAAAGAGACCCCATTGTGGTTTGACTCTCGCAAGCGCCCACTTTCCGTAGGGCGACCACTAAATCATCGTGTGTGGTCACTTACAGGAGGTTCCCCTGTACATTCATACACTCGTTATACAACTGATCTCGCGTTACGGGGAGCCTGTAGTTAGCAGACACCCACAGCATCCTAGCTAGTCTCCGCTTAATACGGTTTCGTTTTCCATACTACAAGGGAAGACTCAATGACGTTTGTGTCCCCTTTATTGCCTAGTTTCGAACCCAGCAGGGCTGGGATAAACAACACGAGACCCAGATAGTCAGAAAGAGCATATTGAGGTTGGGAAAAATCTCAAGTTTGGTGTGAATCGGGCCTATATTGAAAGAAAAAAATAAAATTATAAGAGATATATGGGTTACTGGACACACCGTCCGGACGTCTATATATTTCTTGTTAAATTTTGGAGTTTTTGAATGGCTGTATCTCGTTCAATGTAAGCCCAATAAACACCAATCTTGCAATTGTTGCTAACCTCAATGTGCTCTTTCTGTCTCATCTCTCTCTTTTGGGTCTCTTGTGTTTATCTTAGAATAAACGGACTATACCCAGCCCCTCGCAGTTTGAAAGTAGGCAATACAGGTCTCCCCTAAAATTTTATATGGGTCCCTCTTAATACAGGTTTGACTGTTCAACGTTCAACACTTCGATACCAGTAGATACCTAAGCTAAAACATTACCGCCTGTTTCTAACTATGCATATTCATTCAGTTTGTTTTTGAAGGAGCCCGTGTTCCATCCGTGTTATTGATATTGTTTGGTGTATTATATTACATTACCAGGAGTTACCTTCATGGATGCCATAAACTTAGGGTTGGGGCACACCAAGAGTCATGTTTCAGGGACAAGTCTCTCAGTGCGCGACACAAATTTGGGCAAAGTTGTCCCCGCGACATGTGGCATTAGATTCAACTTCAAGAGGTCAAGAAGCATGTCGAGGAGACAAAATGTTACAAGGACCCCATACACCTTCGTGTTTTCTCCCCGTTGTGCAACATGTCCCTGCAGTTGAATCGGAATAGTTGAGCCAACCAGAGACAACGACCAGAATTTTTTGTGATCATGCATTGGGAAGGAAGGCAAGCTAAATTATTTCCCGCGACATGTTCGTATTTGTGAGACATTGTGACTTTGGTCCTGGCCTGCCACATTTGTCTGTTACACAGCCCTATTACACGCCAGTTCGTTTTACTGCTCGTGATTGTATGCCTATTGCATATGTCTGCTAGACATTACTGTGTGTACTGCAGAATTTATCATAGTTGCACGTAGCTGCAACAACTCCTTGCGGCCTGTATCCTAAGGTCTCCAAACCTTTGACGTGAAATTTACGCCTAAATTATAAACAACGGAAAAATCGACGGGCCAGGCGCTCGTGGACTTACAGTATTTAATATATCATTCAAATTTAAGCTACATAGAGATAATATATATAATTTTTTATTTGAAGTGCTATTGAAATTGTGTATTTTAATAAAATAGCTATTGTCTCATGAACCTAAACAACTGTTCACATTACGGGATGAGTATTTATTTAGCATACTAAAACAGAAGTAGTTGCATATAGGTAACTGTCCATGTGCTATTACTATTCGACTTCAAAAAAAAGGAACTATGGACCGAAGTTTTGGAAATAAATCAATTTTGTAACTAAGCGGGTTTTAGGCGAAGTGTTACGACCCAGTTACTGGTGACCTTAGTTCCCAGATTTTGAGAAGCAACTCTTCTCAGGGACTTATTTTAATCCATACGCTCCTCAATTTAAATTCTTTCTCAGTCCTCTTCCACATTAATCAGATTCCCTTGCACAAACAGGCCCTGAACATCGCTGCTATCTATACTTGCAAATAATCCCTACACTTCTTTGGCCAGCTCTACTCCCACCCGTATGAAGATTTACAGTGCGACTAATTGAACCAGGGCACTTGGAAGAAGATTCTCCAATCACAACGATTTCTGAAAACAAACGATTCTCAACTTTTGAGGCAAGCGGACCTTTCTTGAATATTCATGGATTTGAGGGCTGTTCCCTGAAAGGTCAGGATAGTTCAAACGGTTTTAAAGATTTCAACGGTTGCCCAGTTAAACCTTGAATTTCATTGGTCGGTAACACCAGCACAAAAATGGTTATACTGAATAAACTTGCTGTTGTTGGTTCGTTTGCCAAAAAACTTGAGAATCTTATGTTTTCAGATGTCGTTGGGATTGGACAATCTTCTTCCAAGTGCCACGGTTCGAGTAGTCGCACTGTAATACATTCGTGGACACCATGGTCTTCTTCACCACTGTGGCCATCATGCGCACGGTTGGCATCATGGTTCTCATGAGCACCATGGTACCATTTTCATTGCGGGGCCTTCCTGGGCGTTGTGATCGTTGTTGCACCGAGGTCACACTGGGTATTTCTGTCATCTTGGGCATCAGGGGAGCCATGTTAATTATAGGAATGATGGACATAATGGTCATCGTGGGCACTGATCTTAAATAGCAGTCGTTAGCACCATAGCCAAAGCTGCCACAGAGGGTGCTGTAGTCATCACGATCATTATGGGCACTGTGGTTTTCGTGATCATCATGGGCACATCAGCCGGCCATTGTGGACACCGTGGTCATCGAGGTCGCTTGGTACCGGGGCCACTGTGTTTTTTGCAAGCAACATGGGCTCATGGTGATTGTGGTAACTGTGGTCACCGTAGTTATTGTATGTGTTGTGCTTGGTTTAAGTTTTAATTTTTGGGTATGGTAAAATATGATAATGAGTTTGTAACAAAGGAGAATAAAATTTTAAACCAAGGATAAAAACCAGGGTTCCATGCAAACTGTGGGCATTTTGGTCATAGAGGTCTCTTTGGGCACTATCGTCATCGTGGGCACCCTAGGTATTGTTATAATTGTCAGTACGATGGTCATTTTGGGCACCGTGGGCACTGGTCAACATGATCATTGTGGATATTGTCATGACCATTATTGGCACTGTGAGCACGGTAGTCTTTGTGGGCGCTGTAATCATCGAGGGTACCTAGGTCATATGGGCACAATAGCAACTATAGAACGATAGTCATCTTAGGCACCGTGGGTTCTGTGGACATGGCTGGCACATTATTGTTAACATCATGGTTATGTCGAGAAATACACGCAATGAAGAAAATGGCGTATTTGGCAAAAATGGCAGAAATGGCGATTAATCACCAAATTGTAAACAAAAATTCAAATGAGATGGCAAAGGGGCCCTTTTGAAAGTGGCGTTTTTGGCGAAAATGGCGTAGTTGGCGAAAATTGCAGAAATGGCGATTAACCGCCAAAATCGCCAAATTGTAAACAAAAATTCAAATGACATGGCAACGGGGCCCTTTTGAAAGTGGCGATTTGGCGAAAATGGCGTATTTGGCAGAAATGGCGATTAATGGCCAACGCCACTCTTCAAGAGGCTACTTTTCGCATTCAATTTGAATCGCCAGCCTTCTGGCAATTTTCCGCCATTGCACGCATTTCTGGATAAAAAAACCATAAGTGTTTCAGCCCGCTTGAACCTAGGCTCAGTCCCCAGAAAATTCTTAAATAACAATGACCAAGATCAGGTTTTATGAGCCCGTGAGACTGAGCACCCCAACCAAACCCTTGTTTTCATTAAAAGCGCTGGACGCCAACCTGGTTGAGGTCATTGTTATCTAAGGTCTTCCCAGTCTCCAGCCTTGGGTTTCTCGATGCGCCCGCGGTCTTCTCCAACGGAAGTACCGCGGGCGCATCGAGACACCCGAGGCTGGAGATTGAGCCGAGCTCGAACCATGCACGAATAGATCTTGTGGGAATTGGGTTAAATCTACTAAAAACTATTGATTGCATCGCTATTTCATTTTATTTCAAACACAAGATAAAAATTGCATCTATGTAAGTCAATAATACGAAGAATTTAGGTAATAAATTAGAATCTTTATAAATCAGAACTCCGAATTGGCCGAATATAATACACTGGTTCGGTGTTCTCTTAGGTTGTCGTATAGTTATACTCTTCATCTCGTCTTTCGTTAGATTGTATTTAGGGGCTTATCAACTAAAGAGTTTTTGTGATTCCGTTAAAGGTCGCCCCAATCACCAAATGTCCGTTTTCATTTTGTCTGCTTTGTTCATAAGGCATCCATAACAACTCTTGCAAACTAGCACGGTCTCTTCGTAAGCTGCAGGAGCTGTTAATAAACAAGACAAAGGAAAAAGTGATATTTAATACGACCACAAAGATGCAAGAGTGCCTGCTATGCTCAGAGAATCCTGTATAGCCAAGTGACCTACCTAGGTGAAATACACGATTATACTACCTTACGAAACGGTCGTCATTTTTAAAGCACCTTGGCCTCACCATTGGCTTGAATAAGACTAAAGCTACGGTAAAATGGGAAAAATAAAAACGTGCAACTTGTTTTGCAAAATTGCTGCAGAACGAGATGAAAAGCGAATCAAACCTGTCTTGAAACAAATAAGGTCGTTGATGGTTGCCAAAGGTTGCTGCAGAAAGTAGAGAGTAGATCTGCAACAACCTCATTTGTTGCAAGACAGATTTGATGTGGGTGGTAAAACGCGCAACATAGCTATTCAACTTGTTTTGCAGCAATGTTGCAAAACAAGCTGCACGTTTTTGTTGCCTGTTTTACCACAGCTTAAGGAACGTAATGAGGGGTGGGATCCAGGAAGCCATCCTGAGTAAAGTACCGTCGCGTAGCAGATAAATATTATATTAGACTTTGAATTTTGAGCACATACATCAGAACACAGACAGCATGAACAAAAATGTCGGAATCAAAGGCTAAATCCCCCACACGCATGAGGAGGAATGGTAAGAACCTTTTACCTAGTAGAGAAAATAAGGTCACTCATGTGGATGTGTAGGAGAAGCATACCTATATTTCTATCAGTGTTTTGCAAATAAAATAGGAATGTTTATATACTGAACCTGTAGCGCCAAACACAGCTCTTTTCACACGTTTCGAGCAGCAACGAGAACAAAAGCTGTCCCCACAATGCCGGCAGTATTGCTTTGAATGGAAAAAATCATAGAATCAATGACAAAAAAAAACAAACAAAAACAAAACCAGAGATCGCAACATTCCTTTAACCATAGCCCGATGTAGTTGAAAGGTGGCGACAGCTGCTACTTTTCCCACAGAGTAATTTTTAGGGAGTTATTATAACTCCAAAAATGGAGTGGTTACTTTAACTGATAATTTAACTCCAAGTTTGGGTCATTTTTACTCCTGAAAGAGAGTTCTTTAACTCCCAGTCTGGAGTTAAAATAACTCCAAAAATGGGTGAGGTGATACTGAAAAAGTGGTAAGGCTGACTCCTTCCCAGTCGTCTCTCTCTATCTCTCCCTAGAGACGCGCGGGGTGTGATGAGAAGAAGGAAAGCGACGGGTCGAAACGTCAATAGCACAATTCTTCATGTCAACACACTCTAGTATCTAAATTGTTACTCACTCTCTTTTTAAGTAATGAAGAAAATGAAACATCGCAAGAGGCACAGTTTCCTGAAAAAAGACGACAAAATACGTTGCTAGATCTCATCTATCGGTCTATCCCTTAATTATCTTAGCCGCACGGTATTGTCGACCCAAGCCTCGACCCTGTTTCATTTTGTGTACTCACTGGGGTGAAATACAGCAACGGTCCATTACCGAATAGACCAGAACATATACTTCATCGACTACTAAGGCTTGGTTACCAGTGATCGCATCAACCACCTACAAACTACATCGAGCCTAAATAACTGGCGGGATTGTTATGCGCGCGCGGTGTACTTCCTTGGCAGTGGAGTTGTAAGGGAAAATCCCGCTTGCCACTTGCCTGCCACATTTCTTAGGATTTTTTGAATGCCGCCCACTTTTGTCACCTCACTTATGGCCAGCCAATCAAGGAAAGCAGTGTAATACGAACCTGTGGGTAATCAGTCACGCACAAAACAAAAAACGAGAATCCGACTTGCTACAAACAACCTACGCCTAGTGTGTAAAAACATAGAAGGGAATCACCACAATCACGGTCAAAACAACTAAATGTAGCTACAATAGTCACTCAGGATCCACTAGGCACTTCGGGAAAAACTAAAGAGGCCAAATTTGACTAGCCCCCAATCTTATCGCAGCTCCACCGCTAAAAAAAAACAGCATTCGTCCGCTAATTCCGCCAACTACGCAGGCTATTTGCAAACAGGGCCTACTGAGTTGCGCCCCTTTATATGCCTGCCTTTTAGACTAGATCAGAACTGAACAGGAGTTAAGTGAGAGCAAGCACAACTTACCACTATTGATCCGCTTTTGTTTCTTACGGTAATCGCTGAAATGAGTGACCATGGACAGCCCTGAGAAGAGTCCTAGAAATAAAGATGACAATCACAGATCAGAACAGGGCTAACAAACCACTGTTTTGCTAACGCGTGTCCTCAATAAAGTTTTGCCGTTTTACGGCCATATTAATTTTCTCTCATAACTTTGTTACAGCATCTACAGGATAGACCATACTTGGCTCCAAGGCTTGTGGGAGAAAAAAAAATGTATAATTCATTTCTGAGCCTCAAGATGATTTCTTCCTTGGGTTGCAAGGGTGGCGCAGTGGTGAGAGCACTCGCCTCCCACCAATGTGGCTCGGGTTCAAATCCCGGCGTCGACGCCATATGTGGGTTGATTTTGTTGTTGGTTCTCTCCCTTACTCCGAGAGGTTTTTCTCCGGGTACTCCGCGTTTCCCTTCTCCTTAAAAACCAACACTTCCAAATTCCAATTCGATCTGGAACGCACGGACACGTTTCAACGAGTTCTTATGAACTCCTTAGTACTTCGTGGGTAAACAAATTACAACAAGACGCCTAAAGTCGTTTCCATGGGATGCGTTGGTCTATGGAAGCATAATGGCGTTCTATCTGAATTTGGAAAAATTAGAGAAACCGGAAAGATGTGTCATGTTATGAGCATCGATGAGTAGGTTACCTGTATGGGTTGGTTTAATGTGCTTTAATATGACTGAATTTATCGTAGCCTGCGTGACAGGCTAATATTTCTCCCCAATCCACATCCCCTTTTTGCCTCCTCCCTATCCCCTACCCCTTTCGACACCTGCTACGCAAGCTAAATTTATAGTTGTCAGTGGTCGCAAGGATGGAGTTGATCTTGTTTTGATCTATCGCTATGTAGTTACTTTCATAGCACGATTTGGATAAGAAAAAGATGTTATTTTGCATCAAAACAAGGTTTACCCGTGTGACTTAAATTGGAATGTTAACGGAAACAAGTAATGGAGCACACACGCATAATGCTCTCTAATTAACCTGAACAGGAACTATATGTATAAAGATACGTCATATCTTGGTAGTAAGTAGCCACAGGTAACTTTTTCAAAGAGAAATAAACATTGCAGTTTTAGGTTAATGGAACAAAACAAAACAAAACATCCGCTTGCTTTTTTATCCAGGGTCGAACCCAGGGTTACAATTAAAGTTCGATAAAGTTCCAATGTTTTAATCCAAGATGAAAGTTTAATATTCCAAGATGCTCTTGATACGGTTAAAAATTAATTGCAATGTGTTTCCAAGGTCTCAAAGTTAACATAGTTCCAATGATTATCCCTGATTCCAAGGTATAATAAGTTTACTAAGGTCCTGATCCGTGTCCCATCCAGAAGTCCAATCCATGCCGAAAGCGAGTCGTCGATCGACGAGGACAATATTTTCGCGATTTCACCGCCAATCGTCAAGGGTACGAGTTGAAATTTACGCGATTTAACCTCCCATCGTCAAGGTGTTTTCGATAAGAAAAGAAAAAAACTGAACTCTAGCTGTGCTCGGCAAAAACTGGCGAACTCCGAATAGAAAAATCTATCGGAAATCACGGCCCGCAACCAGACGCTACTAAAACCTTATGAAAAAGCTAGACCTAAAGAAAAAAGAATCATGAAGGAAAGAAATAATTTGGCTTAGGTCGCTTTTCGTGACTTGCCAGTATCCCGAAGGATTTCGCTGGTTAACAAGCCATTTTAACCCACGAGTGGGAAAACTCAAGCGCGATAAATTTGGCAAGGAACGTTCTGACTTCAACGTTCTTCAGAGGAAGCAAATCGATTAAAAATCGATACAGACTTTGTACAATCTGATTGGTCGGCTTGGAAGAAGAGATAATCGATAAAGATTTTAGGCAATCCTATTGGCTGGCTTTGCAATTTTGGGTACAACCGAACCGGATTTTTACCGTGGGAGTGCCACAGGCATCCCACGGAATTACAATTTACAATTTCTGTTTTATTCCCCAAAGCCTCGATGCCAAGACTGGATTTTAAGTAATATATCAAACATGAGACGCAGTGTTTCATCACCAGATGAAACACCGAGAAGAGAGTTGAAAATACGACGCGTAGCGGAGTATTTTTGACGAACTGCGAGGTGTTTCATCTGGTGATGAAACACTGTGTCGAATGTTTGATATTTCTTCTCAAACAAAATTATTTTTGAAGGAGAAATTAAGGATGCAAAAATGAGCAGTTTTTCATCCGATATCCAAACACTCATTAAACATTAATTTCCTTTGAATTTTCTTTATGAATTATTAATGAGTTTGAGAAGCCTGGTTTCCATATGATCGTCCCGATCGCCCTAGTCGTTTCAAAAAATTTTGAGACGATCCGGACGACTGGGACGATTGGTAGTTTCCATATGATCGTCTCGATCGCCTTAAAGACAAGAGGCGCGTGGTCGTCAGCGAAGTTTCTAGGTCGGACAGTGGAATAGCAAACACGAGTTTAGCAAACAAGCCAAGCATAATGGTGCATTTAATCGGAGAGCGAACCTCTTGCCTTGCTATCTGCTTTTTCTCTCGATTTTGTGGCGTAGAAAACCTACAAGAGTTCCGCGAAGACATAGTATCACGTCTAGAACTTTATGGAACGGACTTTCTCTTTTTCAAATAGCGCCCACACGCCGACTTCGGCGGCGTTCTGGACGAATTTATTCCCGATTACTGGAGCACTAGTGATGAAATCTGGGATAGCCTTCCATCGCCCCCATCGTTTCAGTCGTGTGAGAGCGTTTCCACATGATCGCTTCCAAATTTACACACTCGTCCCAATCGTTCGGATAGAGCTCAACTCTATCCAAGAGACCGAGGTCGTCTCAGTCGTCTGGGTCGTTTGCGATCGTTCGGGTAGTCGGTTTCTGTCTGATCGTCCCGATCGTCTAAACATTATTTGACACGACTGGGACGATCGGGAAGATCCGAACATAAACAAAACGAATCTGGTATATTCAACAACACTTTAGCCTTGAAACGAGGCATCGACGATTAATTATCAAAATAGTTAAACTCGCCACCATTTTAAAATATAAGGTGCATTGTTGGGACAAAAAATAATTTTTGAAGATGAAGTGGAGTACCGTCGGAAATCATTAATTAAACTACAAAACAGCAAGATTTAAATGCAAAACAATCAATGAGAGAACTTCAGTTGTTACATAGTTTTTCCCCTGTATTAGATAGCACAACTCAATAGTCACGTAAGTAGAATGAACACGAAGATGTCCTATACAACTAGCTGAGAATTCCAAAAATTAATTCCCAGCAAGAAAAGCCAGAGTTAACCAATCACAAAAGTTCATTCCCGCATAACGAAATATAATCATCCATCCAGAGAATTAAACTCCGGCAAAAATTTGAAGGCCACACGATAAGTATCGACATCAAAAACAACAAAAAGAAATTCGTCGACGACGACAAATGAGCAGCACGTTACAGGAAAGAATAAATTATTAGTGGTGTCTGAAGAATCAACAACCAGCTTACTTGCTCGTCTCTTTGTTCGAGGCGTGTCCTGTAAAATACAATAGATGAATAACGATACAATAGATGAATAACAACCACAATAACCGAAAAACAACAAGCGAACAAACAACGAAATCAGACGGTGAAAGTTTGTCACCCTACTTCTGCATACTCATGAAGAACTTAAGCGTCACTCGGACTTCCGGTCCACCACCTCTTCAGCGTTCCCCCACCCCTCCTCCCACTTAATTAATGTTGTGGCATAGCGCAAGTTGCGCGAAGCGAATAACAAACAAAGTTGACAAGCAAACTTTTCAAGGAAGGGAGGGGAGTGAAGGGCAAGAGGACGTCCGGACTGTTCCGTTTTTCGAAATAACTCTATTTAACGAACGCGTGTCAACAGTTTTGTAGCCAATGAACACGAGAGCTTTTGGGACATAAATTATGCAAGAAAAATCACTGTCATTAAGAACAAGAATTCAGCGGATATAACTAGCGCTGAGGCTCTCTATGGAGAACAAAATCGTAGCCCCTTTTTAGTTCTCCATTAATCAGTAGAACGAAGAATTTCAAAGTATCATCGCATTTCATTATAATATGACGATGTACCTTATCCAAAAGTACGCGAAAATTGAAAAAATTAGAGTGTACTACAGAGAAACAACTCAAATAACCTCATCCTCCTCGACATCGTTTGCATCCTCCGAACTGTCGGATTCTGACTGAGAAGTCTCTTGCTCCGCATCATACTGAAGAAACAAGCACATCAGATTAGCTTACATTCAACCCTACCTAGTTCATATAACGAACACCTCTGTAAAACGGACACCTTGAGTTTGTCGCTGCCTTTCTATACTCTTTTTATTTTACTTTCTATAAGACGGACGCATAGTGTTCGTCCCAAAGGTTCCCACTAAAGGTGTCCTTCTTTAGCGAGAGCCGACTGTATTTAGCAATGGATATGCCACACAGGATGTAGTCGACTCGACAATCATGGCTGATCCTATCAGTATGCAGGACGTGTGTCACACACAAACTTAGTCCTAGGCACAGCTCACCAATAAATCCTACATACATGTAGCTGAGGTATAGAGTGCCCGAATGTTATCTGATACATTTAGAGGTTAAATTCCCTTGTAGATTTTAGACTCTCGCTCTGTTCTCTTGTTCGGGTTTTTATTTGGCTATTGGGCGGGCAGGCTTTAGCCAGACCTTAGGCATCCACGAGGAAAGATCTGCAATCGCCAAAGGAGCGAGCCACTCGGGGGCTCTGGCGTCAAGCCCACCGCTTAGAAATCTTGAACTCTGCTTTTTTCAGCACTTTCTATTAAGGTATTTCTGACGAAAAATCAATCTCTTCCCGCTGGGGATTACTTTCCCATCTGAACTTTTCTTTTTTTCAATTTTGCGATAATCCCTGGGCAAGGCAAGTGCCTCACTCTTCTTCTTGCTAACTACGGCCCTAGCGAGGCGAGCAAGCAACAAGCCTAAGGTAGGAATGGGGGAAGAAAGGGGTGCGATAGATTACTCGCTTTGCACCAAGTAACATAGTCCTGTGTATGACATGACTCCCTGTAATTTTATCCAATAACAAGCTAGTATTCACACAACTTGCAACCTGTCTTGCAACCTGGTTTGTCGCAAGACAGGTTTGAGCGTGCGTGGTAAAACGCACAACATCGTTTTTCAACTCGTTTTGTGGCAGTTGCTCGTTTTACCGTAGCTTTACGGGACTGACGTTTTCTTTTTGATCCTGGCTTGTTTCATAATCATGTTTGTTCAATAAACTGTGCATATCAACTTTGATATACTTACCCACTCATCATCGTAGTCATTATCTTGTGCCTCTGTTCCAATTTTTGGATAACTTCTACTCAAACCTTTCACTTGAGGGCTCCAATATCCATGTGCGTATATTCCTTTTTTCAACTGCTGTAACTTTATCTTAGATTGCATTACTGTGCGTCTAAAAACTGTAAAAAGAAAGTTGATCAAAGAAAGTCGAGACAAAGGAGACATGCTCACATTAACTGACTTTCGTATTACGTGTCTACACATCGGCCACACCTTGTTGAAAACCTGAATTTCCGGTAAAAACAGCAAATATCCCTAAGGTGATGAGGTATCTTCCAGGAAATAAAACTAATATGAATGACGTCAGTAAAAGAGCAAACAGACACCTGAAAAACAGAACAAAAGTGCTTTTGGGGTCTGTAATCATGAACAGAGACCAGAACAGAAAATGTAATTTGCAAGTCATTAGTGGACCACTTTTATTACTGGGGACAAACACAGTAGGTTTCAAGGATTTCTAAGTTTTCTTTAATCACTGTTTTGGTTGGTTAAAGAATCATAAGAAAGAGAAACTGCTCCGACCTCCGATGCCTAATGAACACCCTGCTCATTGAAGGTGAGAAACTGTTACTTTAAAGGGGGTACTAATTTTTGATATTTCTACCAATGATTGGAGAGAACAATTGGACAGAGGGTGTTGGCTGGGATACGTGACTTTCACTTAAGTTATTTCTGGATGTTTTATAATTAAACGGAAGTCTAATTCCTGAGGCCCGCACACATTTAATTGATTGTTTGAAATTTCCTGAAGTCCATGGACAACTGCCTCAAAGCAAACAATGCAGACTATTGTAATGGACACACCAAGAGAGAATAAAATGAACCCTTATTCTCTCTTGACAACACTGAATAAAAGTTTGTGGACCTCTCAGGAAACCAACTTCTGATTAATTTTAACCGTTTAATTTGTCTAAAAATAACTTTGGGTGAAATTCACATCAGTTCCAAGGCTTAAACTGGGCGTTTCCCTCTCTGTCTCATTATTCTCTCTTGCTATTAACCCTTTAAGCTCCAATATCCACATACAAATTCTCCAAACTGGTCATTATACATTTCCATAAAGAAAAAGGTTGAAAAAATTTGATAAAAGATCAAAGCATTTTCCCTTCAGTGATCATTTTATCAGTTCTCCTAACCTTTTCTGTTGATTGTGTACTGATACTGTTGGGAGAATATTGATTTTGGTCACTTTTGGGACTTAAAAGGCTTTAATCAATAACATGTCACATTTAAGCGAAGTAAAATCTACAGCAAGAAAAAGGATCAAATGCCAATGTCAATGGGCCACAGACCATTTATGCTGAAAAGAACACAACTCAATAAAGAACTTTACTTAAAGAGCAAAATAAAATTTATCAGCAGGCCCCAGTTGTTCAAGAGGTAGACACCACTATCCACTGGGTAAATTTCTATCCATTGAATAGCGCAGTTGGTTTCCCTAATACTTGTCCACTGGATAGTGATTATCCGGTGGATATCTCTATATAGGCTGGATTACCAGCTGCTCTTCAGGAAATGAACCTGTGTTCCAGCCAGGAGAACAGAGCGAACAGCAGAAGTCGAGCTTAAGCTCTATCCAACATTTTAACAACTGGCACCAGAACTGGCAAGTTGTGCATTTAAAGTAATAAATCACAAACTCAAAATGACACTCCAACTTGTCAGTTCTGGTGCCTGTTGTTAAATAATGGGTAGAGCTTAAGCTCGACTTCTGCTGCTGTTCTCTCTGTTCTCCTGGCTGGAGCTGAAAAATATTTCACAATCCTTAAAATCTACATTCCTCTGTCCGGGTCCAAGAAATGACTTACATCTTTGAATGATAACTATCTTCCCACTTGCAAATCCTGTCGTTAATGAAAACATTTATAAGTGACTTAGATATATTAATAACAACAAAAAGTCAACCCAAGCAACGATAACTTATGCAAAACGCTACCTATAAGCTGGTGTTGGATCTGTTATATATTATGGGGTGATGGAATCCTGGATATCAGTTTCAAAATGCCATCCCATTTCTCTGCCAGAAGCACTTAATTTCAATCCCAATTATCTGTTTAAAATGAGTTAGTTGTCACCTACAATTATTATTTAGTTTTCTGTTTTCAAGCAAAAAGCACATAATATAAAAATAATATTATCCTAACATGTAAGAGTGACGTGGCAAAACCATACCTATAAAATTTGTCAAGGTATTTACAAAAGCGGTCTTCATAGGTTTGAATCTGAACACAGCTGAAAAATATTAAGGCACAATGCAAATTTCAAAGTAATGCATCTAACTACAACTGCTAAAACATAGATAGTGAGGGTTATGTATTATTTCAATTGTCACCGAAGGAAAACATTTCAGTCAGCCCTTTAAAACTAGCAATATTACTGAAAGAGTTTGTTAAAAACAATCATTTAGTAACTACTTATATATCATTCTCAAGGTAACATAGCAGTAACATGTAGTGCAGCTGTTAAATCATGTCCAACAGAGAGATGAGTCCCTCTTAAAAATTCAGTCATTATAAGGAATAGACCTTCCTCCTTTGAATATTTTATTGCCCCACCGTAGAGAATATGATGATATTCAAGGCTGGAGTATTCTATTTTAAAATGGATAAGTTCATCCTCTGCCTCATCCCCAGTCGTTCGCAAGCACTTTTTGGGGGATATTTGAGTTAATTATTCAGGAAATCGTTCTGCACTTAAGCTTGTTCCCATCATTACCCTCTTGTGCTTATTGCCTTTCTCACATACATGCACTCTTTATTTCAAACAAGGGAAAGAATTAAATCTCCAGATCAATATATTGATCCATCAATATTATAATTTATTATATAGACACGAGTGCTTTACTGGAAAATATACCACTCGTAAAATTCATAAAAACTACATCCGGGACCCGAGTGGTTTATTTTCCATAATCTCACACGTAAGTTTATCGATGACGTAATTTCGGTCATTTCCCCCTATTATTTTATCAATGTTGTTTTGTCTATATAATAAAAAGAACATTACACGGTGGCTTGAAGATATGAATTTTATTTTCTCGTGGCAAAAACAATATTTTAATCACTCGCGGTTTTGACACTCGAAAATAAAATTCATATCTTCGCGCCACCGTGTAATACCCTCTATATAGTAACAAAACAACAAGCAAATGAGGTCTATATATGGTTTATGTAACTGCATCTTACATGTTGATAAATGCATGTAGGTCCTTGTGAGCTTGTTTCTTAGCTGCTTGTTTCAGTTCCTTGCAAGTGAGAGACAAAAATTGATTTCAGTACTGCTTGTGAGTAACTTAACAGAAGGATTATTGAAATGCACCTTCTAAATATCAGGGACAAAAATCATTTGCCTTTTCAGCATCTTCCCAAAGGATGTTTGTGGAACATGCAAGTGCTGTTGATGCAACTATAACTTACATGTACATGTATTATATCAGTTGCATGCATAATTATAAATCTATAGATACATACATAGACTGCATGTTTACAGGTAGTCACATATGTGGCACGTTTCTTGATAGACTTGAAGAGGTTGTGGTTCTGGTTTTGTTTAACCACCACAACCAGGCAATTTTTTTTAAGGCACAAGCTTAGGACTGCGAATACCAACCCCATATATCCATGTGGGCTATGTTGTTTTACTTTACAAAAACTTAACAGACAGGTCTTAGGGTTTTCAGTAAGTTCCTGATCATGAGAAGACTAGAAAGAATAAATATGTTTGCAGATGTCATTACAAAGGCAGGACTTTACTTTATTCTCAGTTAATTAAAGACACAAAAATGTTGGTCCAGTAGCCACGGTTTGAACCTGTAAACTCCCACTCATGATCAGCACACCAGCGCTCTCCAAACTGAGCTAACCAAGCAGTGGTTAAATGGAATTTTTGGCTGGTGTGGACAGAATTTGTTTTTTCCCTATATCGATCCTACATGCTATAAGCAAATACTTTTAAAATATCCTCCACTATAAGCCCAATTTTCTTTATAGGTTTGTTACATGTCAACAATACTTACCAAACTTGCATAATCATCTTCTTTTCTCTTGACCAAGTTTCTAATTCTTGCGTTTACAGCACCTCTTGAGTTTTTAGATCCCAACCTTTTCACAGCAGCCAAAGAAAGTATGACAATAGAGTATAACAGTGGAAATAGAAGAAGATACACTGCAAAATTAAGAATGAAACAACATCAAGTTACCAGTAATGTTGAGATAAGCCCAAAGTAACATTTTAACATGATTTATCTACATGTAGGTATGTAACCAGTATGCACCATCGGAGGAGACAGAAATTGATCCCCCAAGGAAGGCAAGTAACAGGAACTCCAAAGAATGGTTAGCAATTATCCTGGATTAACTGTAAACAGAGCATTTGTGTTGCCATGGTAACAAACCCTAAATTTGCGCTAACAACAGTCTTTCAAAAAACCTGTCAGTTTAACTCCATGGGATTATTTACCTGGATATCTGATAGATAAATAAACAGAACCAGTCATTACCACCACACTGAGCCTTGGGGACTGCCACCTTGAAAAAAGGTAAAAAAAATTTTTTAAACATTTTAATATCAATAACGAGCTTATGGCAGGGATGCATATTTTAAATGAAACTTGGACATTTGAATATCAAAATGTTTGTTGGTAAACAGAGATCCTCCCTATAAACAATAATTTTTCATAGATATTTACATCCACACTAATTTCCTAAAATAAATTTTGCCACACTGTCTACCCAAGGGTAATTGCTCAAGGCTGGTTTTCACTCACAGCGCAGTCTGATTTGAGCACAACCGATTTGGAGACATAATCAGAAGCACAGTGTGTTATGATCTAGTGAAAACAGTACTCCAGTTCTGCTCACAACTCTATCACTTACAATTTAGTGAAAACCAGACTGTTGGAGACCTAAGCAGAAGTAGAAGAACAAAACCAAAGACAATGCATGGGAATGAGAAATATTGTGATTACTGTAAATGATCTCACAATGTTAAGTTTGTATTAGATGCCCCTCTTTAATAAATGCCCCAGTCTAATAGATGCCCCTCCCCCCAGGACAATTACTCCACAAACTAGCAAATAGCAAAAAGGAGTGCAATAATCATTCAATTTATGCAGTTTCTTTCTTTATTAAAAAGGGTTTGCACGTTGCACTTTGTTCAATATCAAGTTCAAAGTAAGGACAGGCCAACAATCACAACACCATGACCCTGATATCAAAGTTGAGATTGAAAAGAGCAAATGGATCTCTAGACGACCTAGATGTATCAATAGATGGACTGGATGTTCTGCTATTTATAAACTCTCTTCACATTTTCATCGGGATCAAATTTATTTTTTGAGCTTGTTACAGCTAGGTATGAGAATGAACATCTCTCTATTTTACATGCCTTTTAACTATTGAATACCCTGCAAGCAGAGGTTTCTCTTTTGCATGGCTTTTAGCGTTTATGGGCGTCAACAAACCAATTATGCCACAGACAAGCCACGTGAATGACTTTGTAAACGCTAAAAGCCATGCAAGGGAAAAACCTCTGCTTGCAGGGTAACTATTAAATGCCCACAGAATTAAATAAATACACCAGGCATCTATTGGTGCATTTACAGTTTTTTTTCTGCTTTTGCTTCTTAGCCTGTGTAAAACTATCTCCTCTCGTTTAATGAAAAATCAGAGATAGAGAGACTCTATTCCCCATTTTTTCGAGGAGAGGAGGCCGATGACATAGGAAATCGCTTTCAAGTCTAACAATCTAGTTTTTTATGACATCACAAGCAACAGAGTCATGAAAAAAGGGAACGGTTTGATTGTTACGATTAAGATTCTAGATTCCCATGCAGGTAATTTGAGGGAAGCAATTTTCCTTGCAACCTGCAAGGAAACTCCAAAACTGACTCTGTGGGAGGCTACTCCGATTCAGGCGAGTTATGATTCTACTTAAGACACCGATTTTCAGCTGATTTTTCAATCCCATTCTGTCACCACTGAAAACTGTAGTCTTGAGCAGTATTTGCTCGATAACGAAATATATAGTCACGTGTGAATGCTTCCAACTAATAAAGAACTGTTATTTACGGAATGAAGTCTCTGTTTACAACGCAACTTCAAGGCTTTTCATTTTGCTTACTGAAGTGATAGGACGTATTAAAACAGCTGGCTGACAAACCTGGTTATGAAATTGAAACTTTCATGGCATTTTACAAATGGTTCAGTCAGCTGACACAATTTTCTGTGACACAGCACAAATCTTCCAATATCAAATCTCACAACAACACCACTTTCTTGTTCAGTGATGAGGTCGCTATCTCCATTCGACTTGGTATCTTCTGGTTCATCTATTGTTGACTCCTCCATGATTCTGGAGCTCTCTATCAAACATGTTTTGGTGCTTAGTGACCGCGCTATGATTAAGCAGCCTCGCATTGTCGCCCAGGGCCCGGTAATTAATGATAACACAAAATGGGAACGGGCAGGTTGTGGTTTGGAGTGTTTTATATTTTTCTTTTTTTTTGTTTGTTTGTTTGTTTTGTTTTTACGTAAATATATTGACCGTATTGCGGAATAGGAATAAATGGAATAAACTAGAGAATTTACTTGTTTTGTCGTTCAGAGTCAGGAAATCTAGTTGAAAAAATATCTTAAGATGCACAGACCTTTAAAGCGCCGGGCAAAAAATTACAGTGGAGGAGATTTGTTTTGTAACAAAACCGCAAGTTTTGCGTATTGTTATCCGGGAATACGATCAATCTAACGCACCCTTAATCAAATAAGCTGTGAAAGCCAGTTGTTTGTGTTTCACTGCCCCACCGAAGCAAAACCGAAATATCAAAAGTCTCCTTTGCATTGCCGTTTTATCCATTTGTCTAAGACAATAGGTTTCCAAGTTTGTGGAGTTTGCTTGCTGATAACGGATTGTATTCTTTAGAGATTTCACAGGGAAAATTGTTGTTGCTTGAGATATCTTGTATAAGTCGTAACGGTTCGTTAGTAGGATGCCTAAAATGTGTGCAATCCCACAGTTAGTTTCGGCTCCATTATATCCTATATCAAAAGTAAAACATGTCAGGAGGAGCCACCTACAATGCGAGCACAGTTACTGACAAGGAATGTGAATAGGAAAACAGTCCAAAAAAAAAACCTAATGTGTTTTGGTGCTTCTTTGAAAAACCAGTGTCTTAAGTACCTAAATGAAGTGCAAGTGTCATTAATCGCCAGAGAAAAACTCCACCCCGTTTACATCAGAACCAAAGCGTTAATTGTGAATTTGGTTTTAGAGCAATCTTGCAAATATCTGAGCATTGTAAGAAACTCGGTGATTCACGCTGACTTTCTATTCAATTTGGCATTGTGAAGTCCAACACCCTTTAATGTTTTTACTCACATATGTACAAATATAAGCGATAATTCGGCATTAAAAAACTGGCTATATCACACATTTCCCGGAAGCCCTTTCTTGCAAACGTTTAGGCTGCATTTGAACGAAATATGAACGCTGCTCCATTTAAAAGGTATTCAGTTGCTTTTGGCAAAGAGGGGTATTTCTCAACCACAGCAAGTTACTCGCCGCAATGGCAAAGCTTCTCAGTATATTAACTTAAGTAACTGAAACTAAATTGAAATATAAGCGCGCCAAAGTTCAAGATATTCAGGACAATCGCATACACGCGCGGTATTACTGTTCAAAACGGAGTTTAATCAAATTTTTCCTCCTGCAAATTCTCTCTTTCGTACTGTATTTGGTCTGCGTGTCCAGCATACAAATGTTCCTTTCTCCACTTTATTCTCCTGTTCTGAAACCAAATCTTGACTTGGGTCTCTGACAAGTTTAACTCTCGCGCTAGGCGTTCTCTTTCAGTGCCGACCAAATACTGTTGCCTGTCGAAAGCTGACTCCAGTCTTTTCAGCTGATCAGAGGTGAATATGGTTCGCTTGCGACGTTTCTTTGCTTCTGGTTTTTCTCTTAGTCCCACGGTAAGACTGCCTGTGAAAAGGATAAAAGATAAGGAGTTGAGTAGATTTAGGGATAAACGCTAAGACTGAAACTTAAATTTTCAAGAGAGCAAGCAAAAACAGCAAGCTCGAGCGAAATCACGCGTGTGACCCCTCCACGAAAAGGGAAAATGTCACCTGCGTACGCTCTGAGAAAAGTAACGGACTACGGCTATGATTCGTAAAGAAACCACCGTGATAAATATCGTCATTTATTTACTATCATGCCTGTATGTTTTGAACATATTGAACGTCAATTATATTCCGGACTAAACGACTCATCAAATTTGCTAGTATTTCAGTATAACTTGAACATTACAACTATACATCGGAAATTGTTTTCTTGAAAGTTAAACAAATTTAATAAAAATAAAAGGTTATCGCCCTCTTACTACGGTTTATGTAGTGTATATTTAAGAATGATTAGATATTAATTTGCGTTCTACAACTTCGATTATCTATTCAATTGTCTTGTTGTCACAATGTAGTCAAGTGAATTTCTTTCTTTGAAAGCACTTTATTGAATCCATGAATCGAATGTTCATAAGTTGCGTTACTTGCCCTACACCATGTACACTGACTTATTTTGCGGCAGTTAACCTGGCGTGCCATGAATTTTTAGCTAAGAAAAATGCTAATGATTACACAAAAACCTAAATTTGAATCGACCCTCTAAACCAAGAGTATTTAGGTTATATCTTGTATTGATAAGCAGATAGTCGTTTTGTTACGTAGTCTAAATCAGTCTTCTATGATCTCTTTTGATCAAACACGAATAAATTAACGAACAATTACTTTTGATTATGTTTGAAAAAAATGTACAAAAAACAATAACCCGTAAAATAATGTTCAAACACCGAACGAGAAATCTTACAACTTATTTTTAATATAACGCAGCACGCAATAATTTGCTCGCGATTTGATTCTAAGGCTTCTTTAATAGACGAAACAATTAAAGAATAGATTTGAACATGCGGTTTGTCACACTGGCATCAATGCGAAGCCTGAAAAGAGCGTCAACGCATGTAGGTGGTATAAATCTTAACCTGAACGACGAGTTTTTTTTTAATAAAACGGGATGCACTGCATTAATAGTGGGGATCGAGTTTGCAAAAAAGAAAACTTATTTAGTTAGGTTTTTACCTACCATGTTGTCTGCTATGTGATGTCTCGCTGAACGGATAAAACAACTGCTGGCTTGTTGCAAAACAGTGAGATGAAGCTGGAAAATAAAAACTCGTTGGCCGGGAAATGACGCCGAAGGAGGTAGATGGAAGAAAAGCAGACCGTTCTGCTTTTGAGTAGAACCTTGGATCTCCAGGGATTTGCAGGAGCGAACTGGCTTGCAATCTCAAATGAGATTCGCTGGATTTCTGGTACGAAAGCGAAGAAGGACAAACATGCTCCGTGTCGTTTCTGCCATCCATGCAACTAGGATAGGGACACGAGCAATAGGAACGGAAGGATGACTGGTACAAGCCTCCCGACTGCATTTCACTTTTTTAAGAGCAACAAGTACTAATTTGAGAATATTATTAGTCTTGGTTCTTGCCCAGGAGCCAGCTTTGAGAATCTAAGTGGACAATAATTGAGTAATCGTATTTATTGATACCGTGTTGCCTGACAACTCGAAGGTTCTTACAAACACGTTAGCAACTTATTTAATCCAGTTATGAAGAAAACACGGCAAACGTAGCCATTGTTTGCGATTTATTTTGATGAAAAACGTTTTCAATGGCAAGTATGAATACAAGCAGTTCCCGAGATGTGTTGTACAGAGCAGCGCTCGTTAATTATGCAGTGTTTGGTATCAACATCAAAGGGGTCATGTTTGAAAACGTGCGCCCCATTGCGGTTCAGTACGCGCTAAAAGCTAAATTGTTTGTAATGTTGACTTTCTGTTTCCACTCTTGTCATAATTTTGATGTTTGCCCAGCATCTACTTGTTGTCAAAGTTTGGTTTAACGTGATCCATTAGTGTAATGTCCCAATTTTTTCAACAGGACAAACTAATTTTATCAGTAGGAGCTAACTAACGAAGTATACATGCTCGTTGGCCGCGCAAGGTCTAAAAAAAGGTTCGGTCTGAGCGAGCAAAACATAGTCAAAGGGACAGAAGTTGTTAGAGCTGTTGCGGAAGATAACTTTATCATTTAGACCTTTTAAAACTTTCAATCTATATTTTGCAATTGGTCCTACGGCCTCAGTTGTGCAAGGGACAATTTGAGGTAAGAGGAGATGTTAACGGAAACAAGCCAAAAAACGGGCCTAAGTCCAAAATCAACTTACCCTCTGAAATAAGAGTTTCAAGCTGAAAATCTATTCAATCAGGTGGTACGCTATCACTTAAATAATGATGCTTGTACGATCCTAATTAAATAATACTTTTGTAAAAAAAATAATAAAAAAAGGAAGTGTAACTGTGAACCCTTTAATTCTTTCAAACGAACATTACCCCTCACTAAACTTTATTTTTAAAGAAGACTGACATGCAATGACGCATGTTATCGCCGCAGAATCACAAAATTAAAATCAGACAACGACGCCCCGTTCAGACATTAACCTTGGTTAAGTCAAAATTGCTTGATTCCAAAAACTAATGTCAAGAAAATCATAGCGACCAGAAGTGCGTACTAAAAACGTCTCCGTGTGGTTTTGTTCTCTTCTCTTAATGCATGGCTGAAACATAAGCTGCAAAGTGATTTCGATAAATTCGTGATTATATTAAAAGAGGTGAAATGTGTTGCCATTTTACCAATGACTTCAATTATCACATTTAATTTATTCTCTGGCATTTCAATCGTATGAGTACTATTTTAAGAGTATGACAAATGATACGGTAAAATTTGATAAAATACAACAACCAAAGCCTTACTTTTCATATTTATGCTTTAATGCAATAAACCGCAAAACATGCGATTCTATATATTTTACATTGAAATAATGACTTTTCCCCACGTGGTTTCAAATCCCGTTTTGAATGACTAATGTACAAAATGAATTTGAGATTTCTTTTATTATAACCTTGAACGGACGTAAAGAATAGCTAATTGCCAAACAAATTAAAAATTGTATTCTTATTTTACAACGCTTTCTTTTGCTTGAAATGCGCGCTGTACAAATTTATTGATGATCCTTAGAAATGTTGACATCAATCTCTTCGCTTGCTCTGGAACAGTCAGAGACAACAAGAAACGATTATCTGAAGGAGTACAGAAACTACAATAAGGTGAGCTAAAAGATAGGGCAGAAATGTCTAGGACATTTGGCCGGTAGTCAGGGAGAGCGGTTTTCCTCTGCAAGAATGCGCCTTGCATTGTGTGCTACATAATGCAGTTAAATAGTTCAATTACATTCAAAAAGGAAGCCGGAACTTCTTAAACGACAAACAACTAGAGCTATATTTTTTAATGGCGTGGATAATGACTGAGATGACGGCCAACAAAATGGCTTAATAATACCAACGATATAAATGAAAAGGATTTAGAGGAAAATAGTGAAGACGAGTAGGCGTTCACTTTCCAACCTGAATTGCAATCATATTTTGAAATAAGAAAAGTTCCCAGTTCGGAATTATTTTCTCTAAAGAATTCAAATAACCTTGGTTTAACACAGAAAGCATTATCATATCGAAGCTAGTCGATTCGGCCACTAACCACTTGCTTACCCAGCGATCTGTATAAATAAGATACACTATAAGCTTATTATGAAGAGAAACTAGCTTGGTTTTTTCAGTAGTCACAAAGCAAAAACAATCCTCTTTAAAAACTAGTAGTATATTTCTACCAAAAAAAGGCTTATTGTGATCTTTAACCGTCTGTGACTTGGCGACGCGATGGCTGTAGCAACTGAAAGAAATGTCAGTGAAACGTGATTCGGTAAAATGTCTCTGCAAAACACTGAATAACAAAAAGCAAAGATATAGGATTGTTTCGGTCAATTTACTTATAATTATTATACACCAAACACTACTTTAGAGCTCGACTCTTGTTTAAGTGCTATCAAGAAAATTGATTAGAGAGTTGCAGCAGAAAGTAAAGAACAACACAAGGTATAAATCAATAAATAAATGATAACAATTTCAGTCTATACATGTGCCCCTGTGGTCTCTCGTTATGATTTATACCCGATATCAAATTTATTACAAAGGTTTTTATCATGCTTCATTCATGCACAAATTCTTACTATGAAAGATCTCTTGAGTGATCTTACGATTTACTCATAATTTGACACAGTTTTACTCTTTCTGGACTGATAAATTGTTCAATTTCGAGTTCTAAAATGAGGCCTCCCGCACGGCCAAAAAATAATTGGCCAATCTCTCCCAACGGAATTATAATTTTCACGGCAATTTTCTTCTCACTATTAATAGATTTAACAATGTACTAAGGTAGTATCAAGTCGTTCCCTGGAGAGAAGAGCAGGACTTACGAAAACAACTCAATAGATTTGGTTTCATTGAACTTCTACCCCCTAGCGATCAGATTGTTTTCACCCCTTTTGTTGATAAAGATTGTTTGCAAACTGCGGCCCACGGCTTCATTTAAACATAAAGGGTTTTTGATGGTCCCTAAACCGCCAAGAAATTGAACGCTGTAAAATACAACATGATCTCGAGCTCTCTGTTTGGCAAAATAGTTTTAGAAAGTCCAAAATTCTCTATTTATTCAACGCAAGAGATCAATATCATACGCGCACATACTTTTGTTTCTATTTTGTGGCTGTAATATTTATAACATGCGCAGGCAAACTTACGTAATGCTCTATTCTTAATATTTGACGTTGTACTCTTCAAATTTAATTTTGACACGGCAAAAAATTGTGCTAATTTTTTTTATAATGTCCTCAGTTTATAGCATTCTTAATGGTGGACATAAGTTTGTACATCATTGAAAAAATCTTTTTAAATTGTAAATACAACACAATCCTCTCATTCTCTCTTGAATGATAACAGATTTTCTTGTGGAGGCTGCTTAAGCTGTGAAATGTCGTAGTTCTGTGCAGTCAAACTAAATCTCATCCAGAATCTTAATTTTCACCTGCAGGCTTACGACGTCCTGGCTAAACCATAGAAAATATTCCAGGCGTACAAATTTGTCACTTATAAGGTTGGTAACGTAATAAGAAAGATTCGTTCTGGAAGGAAGTGGATTTCCGATTCACTGATAAATTTTTTAGTCTAGTGCATATGTCCGTCGCTGCAATTATGGAAACGAGGAAAAATTATTTGGGTGAAATATTACGCCTTGGCCAAAAGGTCAGTTTGATCGAAGAAAATAATCCGAGTCAAAGCCTCCTGAGCCCACATATAAAAGAAATCCATACAGGGCGAGGCAGAATAAAGATATTTACGATTGAGTGTCAAGTTTTCATGCTTGCTATTAAGCTGATTCGGTTTAGCTGAGAAAACTTTATCCCGCTTTTTACTCTAATCGCCATGATGTAACTAAGTATGTACGCGAGAATGTCTCAAACAAATTGCAAACAGCTGAAGTACTTAACTCACGTGTACTATGCAGAAAACCCGCACTTTTGGCCTGTTTATATTACTTAAATCCGTTTTCTATGAACAGTTATCACTTCTTAAGCACAGGCCCAGTTTAGTTAAGGGCGCGCGCGCGAGGCACACAGAGAAATCGAAACTTTTTTGGGATTATTTAGACCCGTTTATTAAGAGTAAAGAGAGAAAATCGAAGAATTTGTTTATTTCTAAACAAGCGTTTTGTTTTCAGTAACAAGAAAATCTTGCATGAGTCATACGTCTTGGCCTCAGTGCCCACACTTGAAGTAGATGGTGTTCTCGAATGACCAGGTATAAAACTTTCATACTTGTAACACAGTGTACCATGTTCGGATCGACTTTCAATTTTACGAACTTCACGTTATGAGACGAACACAGCTTCCAAATCTACATTTATAATAACCTTAATGATAACATTGCAAGGAAACGTTCTTGAAAAAAAAAAGCAGTGGTGAATAAAGGAACAGTGCTAGAACTCTGTAGAGTTATGCTTCCGTCGTCAACTTTTTGGTTCAATGAATAGACTCACACTGTTTTGAGCTTCTGATAAAAATTCCTCATTGTAATCTTTAAACGTAATTGCTCCGATAAAAAATGGGGGAATTCTTATGTCCAAAAGTTGGGTTTAAAAGAACACTTACTTGTCTCTCTTTTCGGCGGTTTTTACTTTAAATGTCCTGCGTTATGGGAACTGAAAAACTCAGGTTTCTTTTTCATTTTGTAAGCTTCATTTTGCTTCATTGTGTTCTGTTCAAATGTAGACGAGTTGTTTTCTTTCGAAACGTGATATTAGGGCCATTTATACGAGGAAAAATAAGACGCGTCTTACATAAGACGCGTCTTAAATAAGACGCGAACTTTCCGTATAAACGGCACATTTCGTCTAAAATAGGACGCGGCTTAGCTAAGACGTGTCTTATTAGATAAGACATGCTCGTATAAATTGGGGGTACAGTTCGCGTCTTATTTAAGACGCGTCTTATGTAAGACGCGTCTTATTTTTCCTCGTATAAATGGCCCTATTGTTTATTGGTAGATATCGCGAGAGAAACTAACAGAAGATTTAGATTGTCCAGGAATGGAAAAAGCCTCACAGTATATGTTTGCTCATTAATTTCTGGGTGATCAGTGTTTGCTAGAATGAAGATTAGTTTGAAAGACTTGGCGCCAAAACCTGCTTTCCAAGTCAATATTTGTTTTTTAGAACAAATTTCGTGAAGATTTCAGAATTCGCTGCAAGGGATGAGATGTTATATCGACTGAATTATGAACTTATAGTTATACAATTGCAAGTATTGAAAGATCAGGTTATTAGCCGACACTGAGACACTCTTCTCTGCCTTGTTATCCCCCGGATTGCTAAAGCCAATGAAAAAGTAAAATAAAATAAAACACGTGTCGTGATGGTAATGTACCTAAATGTTTTTTGAGTCCAAGATTCCAAGGTTTTGGCAAGTAAAAGAAATCTCGATTTCATACCACTGCCAACAGTCAGCTAAACAGTAATTTCCAGAATGTACATTTGTACAACCAGGCCAGCCGATCTCCTCTAATTAGTGGACGGAAAGAATCTACCCCCTGGCTGGAAAGTATTAAAAAAGTCCGAAGCCTCCTTGAAGTATAAACCGCAAAATGCAGTCACAACTAAATTAACAAGTCTCTTTCTTTTATAAAACAATTCAAAAGATCTCAGTTCAATTATCTAGCTACATTTTGAGATGTACCCCCTAGTTCAACTATAATATTCGCTAATTGCAAACTGCAACTAAATCGACCACCAACTGGGTTCTTTTTGGTTCAAATGACATCAAATCCAAATCTCCTAGGTGTTGGGGGATGAGCAAACTAAACTCTTGATAATAACATTTGAATTTTTTCTCTTGCGTTACCTGAGCAGCCCAAGAAAGGAAGATTTGGGAAAAGAAAGAAAGAAAAAGATTGCATGGGGGCTAGAAAAGGTTTAACGGCCCTAAGGGCTTGGGTTGCTTCCCAATATAAATAAATAAATAAACAAATAAATAGATAAAATAACGATTTAAAGGTAGCACATCAACAGAGTATTTCTTCGTCTTCCTTTCCTGGTCGAAATTCAGCACACGAAAATCAGCCTTCGATAATACACTTTTCCCCGGACCTCTACTAACTTTTCCTTTCAAGAGGAACGCTTGCGCCTTCCGTGTTGAGACGCCCCTTCCCTGCTTGCACAGAGAAAATACATTCGAATCTCTACTTAGGGCCATCTCTCCACAACGGCCATGTTTTCGTGGTCCCGGGTAGACAATTTACAAAGAAATATCAGAGACAACGAGAAATTTCCAAAACAGAGCACGTCTTTCGAATTTGGAAGGTCATAGATTCACCCTGATTTTACCCTCTCTACAAAGGCCTCCTCTCTACCACGGTAGTGGCCACAAAAGAGCGTATTCATTGCAGAATTCAGCATACGAGAGTCCTTCATAAGTGGAGGGGCGTGGGCCGAGCAGGAGCCTTAAATCTTTTTTGAATTTCTCTCCCAAGGCAAATGTTGTTGCTGTTTTAATGTAAAGGCTTCTCCAATTCTTTTTAATTGTAGAAAAGCAGTGTTTTTACTGTATATATGAAAGGAGGACTTTTTGTGGTATCAGAATACAAGTTTAGCACTCTGGATGTAACATCCCCAAACAAAACTTTGTCAAAACCCTCCCGCCCCCGCGACCCATCGTAAACTTTTATCTTTTCCAAGAGGGCTCATGGGTTTGAGTTTTGCAAGGAACTCATTCGCATCAGACTGTCCAGGGTCCTTTTCGCTCATATGCTGGATACATAGTCACGAGAGATGCATTCACCCAAAACAGTCACCGTCTTTAAATAATTGTCCACATACAAGCCTTTCCAGCGCCGAACCCAGAGACTGTTTCGAAAATTTCGCTTTAAATGCGCATGAAAGACAACTACAGAACTCTATGATCTGCACGAAAGAGGAGAAAGTGACCACTACACTTCGCTAATCCATTGCCTGAGGTTTTATTTTTTCCAAAACTCTAGTTCACCTTCTCGAGAAAGAATTCCTAAACAGCAACCGAAAATGAACTTCTTATCAAAACTCACACTTCTGCCATTAACAGCCTTTATTCTAAAGCAACAATCACTAAAAATTTAAATCACGATACAACTACGAGTCTAACGCGCAACGTCGATACTTCGTACACAACTTCAACATTATTCATTCATAGCAACTGGTCGATCCTTATTACAATGAAATACAAGCAGAACAACAGACAAATAATAACACATAAAATAACAGATCTGGAGGGAGAATATATGAAATCGGGCAACATGCGCATGCTCATAATGATGCTTTCTAATGCCATTTTAAATGAGTTTATCAACTTGTCAACTACCGTAAAATTTCGAAAATAAGCCCCTCCATGTATAAGCTCCCCAAACTCGTAACGCAAAAAACCCTCCGTTAAATCGCCCCTCCAAATATAAGCCCCCCGGGGGGCTTGTACTCGGAAATTGCCCTCAAATACAAAGTAAAACAAAGAAAAAACGGTAAACTTTCTTCCATTTATATGGCTAGCCCAATCGATTTTGAAACGCAAATTTCCCCCCGTAAACAAGCCCCTTCAAAAATAAGCCCCTCAAAAAGGGCCTTATAAGAATATAAGCCCCCGGGCTTATTTTCGGAATTTTACGGAATGTTAATCTTATGAATGCAAGCCCCAAATGTCGAGGACAAAACCCTTCCAACAGCTCCCCAGAATGTAGACGTGTATTTGGGTTTAAGTTTCAGTTTGGTACCACCTTAAAACCAAGTATTCGGCCAACCTCGTTCCCAGGTTGTGAATTGGAAAGGACCATGGGAACGAGGTTGCTATCCGACCACTTGAACCCTAGTCTGAGCACATTTCAACAGTGTTCGTAAGCTAAAATAAAAATACCTTTCAATAAAGGCAAACAGGCGTGCATTTTGTAACATCTTTTACAATTCGGTTGACTTTCTTATAGTAGGCAGAATCCATTTTGTTCTTTTGATTCATTATTCGGCTGCCCACATGTGTTTCTCACCTTTGTTTGAAGTGCTTTACAAAGACTTAAAATATCGCCTAGAAATACATAGACGAAATGAACATTTGGTAAAAAAAATAGACTCGTCAAATAACTGACAGAATCGCACAACTAACAAGTCTGAGGAAAACTTTTTCGTGCGCGTTAGAGGCAGCAGGATCTTAAGGATTACTTTAGCACACCTCGTTTTATAGTCATTTGCTAGTTACCAAAAAGCAAATACTTTCAATTAGCAAACAACAAGCCAATTGCCTACTGCAAGAAGTGGTCGTCACTGACCAAAAATCCCTAGCTTGTTCAATACGAACAGCATGTTGCCGTTTGATTTACTTATATTGGAAATTTTACGGTGAGGAGTTATATAGATTACATGACTAATGCTCAAGTGAAAAGCAAACAACGTTAGATTTGCCCCTACTCATCACAATTTTAGAGTTTTGAGTAAATTAAGCTAAATATATCTTGCTTTTAAAGTCAGCATCGCCTGAGAAACTTGCCAGTCATTATAGTGCCACCGGCGAAGTCAAACGTCCCGCTTCACTGTTTCTTATGAGCTACTGAGTACTAAGCCAGGTATAGTTTGGTCCATAAGCCTAGCTGAAGTTCTCAAGTAAATTACAATAAGATATCTTCTCCAATGCAATGTCACGATTTAACAGCGAAACTATGACGCACCAACTGAATACTAAGCCAAGCGTAGTATAGTCCATAAGCCTGGCTGAAGCTCCGAAGCAAAGTACAATAAGATATCTTCCTCATTGCAATGTCACGATTTAACAGCGTAACCTTGACGCACCAACTCCTCGCCGATGTCGACGGCACCATCGGTAAGTGTTACAACCAAATAATCTGACAAGCGATGAACAACTCTGGCCTTTAGCTCTCGATTTAATATATACCCCAGCCACCTTACTGCCTCTTGGTTCCATACTTGATGAATAGGGCGAATATTTGCTAAGCTGAGCTTGAGGGCTTGTGCCGGAAGTCGAGAGAACTCATCTTTCATGGGTCGTATCCTGTCAGTCGATAATAGTTCACTATTGCCGAAGTCCACGTATTGAACACCAACTTGTCCCGGTGATGGACATTCTAACACACGTGCCCTATACCATCTGCCATCTTGGCTAAACTGTGCACAGCATTCCTGGCCAGGTTGTGGGGCTGAGGTGGGCACAGACGCAGTTATACAATACTCGTTGATCTGCTCCATGAGAACATTAAGTGAAGTGCGAGCCTCTGCATCTACAACTTGACCCCAAATTTCTCCAGGATGAATCACGTCTGTCACAACAACGTCGAACTGATCTATGCCTGGGCCAGTCGTCTGAGCCGTTGCGTTGTCAAATGATTTGGCAAAATTGCGTTGAATCATCTCTTGGTTGATGGAGATCCCTTTTTGCCCACTGGGGTCGGTTTCAAACAACTGAACGCCAAATGAAAAACCTTCTCTTTCAGTGCTATCAACAATTATGAAGAAAGGTTGAGGGTTTAGCTGAGATGTAAGACGTTCTTTCAAGAAGTTGACAACATCAGTCGACCAATTAGAGCCTAACATTGGCTGGACCCCTGACAGGAAGCATTCCCTGGCTTGGATGGGAAGATGAGTAAATGAAGGTATGATTTTTCTGACAAAATCAACGGCGACAACGTCTTCGTTCCCATAATCAACAAACACTACCATCATCTTGGACTCCGAGACTTCTTCCTGAACAACGGCACGGTACCAACCTTGATCCTTACTGAACTGAGCACAACACAGTTCTCCCTTAACGGGTTTGTAGGGAGTGGTGTCAATGGTAGAGCAATGGGCAGCTAACTTTTCGCACAATTCCACAAGACCTTCGGCGTTTTCTTCATTCAAGACTTGAAAATACATCTTGTCTGGCCGATGAACTTCACTGATAAGGACTTTACACGACATGCCATGCGGAACATCAGCCAAGCGTACAGCTGAGGCGTAAACGCGCGTGTCATCGGTGGGATCTGCTGGGGCTGAATGCAATGGCTGATCACCTTGGTTTCCTGAAAAACTTCCATCAAACGGCAGGTTGGGTCTTGCTAGTCCCTGTCTAATGAGAAATTGGCTCAATGACTCCTGCGACTCCGGCAAGGACACGTCAACAAATAGAAGTCCCCTTTCCTTTTTAACTACTCGGGCATGAACGCGACTATTTTGCGGTGCTTGTGATAGTATAGCTTCTTGGGCATCGACAGACCAGCCATTAGGATGAGGAGGCAAAATTCCCGACAAAGAACACTTCAGGGCCATAGGAGGAACCTGGAGGAATTGCTTTTCTAGAGGGCGCACTTGAGTAAAGGGAAGAACTTCACTGTTGCCATAATCAAGGTAGTGAACATGCACGGAGTGATCTGGATTAACGAGGTCAATAAAGCCTCTACACCAGTCTCCACTTTCGGAAAAAAATCCTGCACACATTCGGTTTGCTTTGGCTTGAAAATGTGGATAACTTGCAGCATTGTAGTGAGCGTTCAGATCCGCTGAGAGCTGTGTCATCATTTGTACCATGTCATGACTTAGAACCTGGACAAAAATAGAGCTCGGTGAGGACACGTGTGTAATCATGGCGTCAAATGAATCCGAAACTGCAATAGACTGGATAGCGGGGTCAAACACACGTGACTCAAGATTTCCATCTGGTTTTCGAGATGATGTGCTGCTAGTTGAATGCCGACTTATCGGCGCCGAATGTTGAGAATGCTGTCTTATGTGATCCATGCGAGGGTCACTTCTTCCTAAACTCTGAGCCGAGCCTTCATTCAGCAAGAGTTGGCTCAAAGACAGGGGCGAATCCCTTGACATAATGAAGTCCACAAACAGCATGCCATGGTGTTTATCCAACACTTTAATGGCAACGCGATCGACTAAAACATTTTTTTTAATCAGTTCCATTGCCTGATCTGACCAGCCAGGAGGGTCGGGTTTCGCAATATTCGCTAAAGAACACGGCAACGCGAAAAATGGAGCCGAAGTGAACTGCTCTTCCAGTGGCCTGATGCTTGACAGAGGCAGCTGTTCAGTGTTCCCGAAGTCAACATAATGCACGTCCACCAGATTGTCAGGAGTGATGCCTTTAATAAATGCACGGCACCAGTCACCACTTTCACTGTACAGGGCTGCGCACAGCTGCTTCGGCTGAGGTTGGTAAGAAGTTGGTACTGAGGGGCCATAGAACATGTTCATATGCTCTGAAAGATTTTTTAACTTCTGAGCTAAGTCATGATCCAAAACTTGCACGAAGAAAATACCGAAAGACGTTACCTCCGTGACCATAACATCAAAGTACGATTCGTCTTGTGGCAGTGATGCTGATTGGATTGCAGGCTGATACACAAACGATTCAAGCAGGTCGAGATTGTGTCTTTGTGGACGATCTCTCGGTGGTGATGTAACGGGGTTAACGGTGATTTGATGCCTGGATAAGTTATCTGTGCTTTGTTGATTACGGTTGTCTCCTCTACCCAGAGTCTTTGCCAAACCTTGTTTGACCAACTCTTTGCCGACACTGTCGCCCGTTCCACTTAGTGTTATGTCCACAAAGAGTTTTCCTCTTCGTCGCCCAACTACGCGAGCACTACAGCGACTGTTTTCTGGTAGGTGAGTTTTAACAAATGCCATACTTTCATCAGACCACCCTGCTGAACCTGGAGGAGTCACGTTTGCTAAAGAACATCTGAGCGCAGCAAATGGAACAGCATTGAAGTTAAACTGATCAAGGAGAGGTCGCAACCGATCGGGTGAAACAAATTCAGTGTTTCCGTAATCGACGTAATGCACATATGCTGATCCATCGGGAGACGTTCCCTTAATAAAGGCTCGACACCAATCTCCACTCTGACTAAAGTGTGCAGCACAGAAAACATTCTCGTGTGCAAAAAATGGAGCGTAACTTACAGCACTGTAATGTTCATTCATATCTTGTATCAACCTGGCATTCTTAGTAACAGACTCTACACTTGCATTCTGACAATAAATGAGTTCTGGAGACACCACCTCTGTAATCAAAACATCGAATCTTGCGTCTGGTGGCAATGCAGCTGCTTGGAGAGCGGGCTCAAAAACAGCAGATTCTATTTGACTCCTTGGAGCTGCACCATCATTCTGACTGGGAGAGCTTACCGAATTTAAAGGAGACTTCCTCGGTTGTTCATCACGTGGGCTCTTTAACACAGGGGCACCTGGGGCTCCTTGCCGCTGTGGCTCCGAGATTTCCGTTCCTCTTTTGCCATCCAGCTGATGTTTAGTTCCATCTTTACGAATGAATGCACCTGCTAGTCCTGTAAAAAAAATACAAACAATAGTCAATAGGTGAACTTTTCACTTCGCAGTGAAAATTAGTGAATATTATAGCGAACTCACCCACTGTGACATTACAGGACACGAAAGAAATACAACCTACAAAGACAAATAAACCTAAATTCCCGTTACGTCATCAAAAATAAGTATCTTACGCGTGAAATTTGGGAAGAAATATTTTATCACTGTGCCAAGATCTCCCTTACTGTGACATTAAGAAGACAGTGAGCACCAGAAATATCTATGGAACGTTATTGTAGCAAGGAAAAGCCAATCGAGGGTGAGTGAACTAAACCGCAAACATCAGCGGTAATTAGTTACTGATTCTGAGGTTTGCTAATGTAACCTGATCTTTATTGTGACTGGTCACTTGACAATCAACACATAACTCCTTAAATATTTCAGGTGTTCAGGGTTTTCTGAGTTTCACAGAAATTACTTGAAAACAGCACTATGAACATCTTTTGATGACTGGACAAGGAATCTAACACAAAACGCTAACCAATGTAATTCAATACTTGCGCTTTAACCCGTTGTAGAAACCCACGCCCTAACGCGCAACAAGTGTTTTCAGGTAACGGTAATAAGGCCTTTTTATTTCGTTGGGAACTTATTGAAAGTTTTATTCACTTAAACTTATGTCTAGGAATTTTTTCCTGCGATTTGTGTTCAAAAACGATGCAAGCTAAAATTTAGTTGCTGTGTTAGCCTGTGAGATAACTTTTCAAAATATCACCCGATGAACAGTAGAGTCCGTGTTCCATCAGATTGCAATTAACGATTAACGTACTAAGTTGAGAGGTAAAGCTTCCGTACCTGACGTTACTAGTGAGTTGGCCACGGTCTGATTCCAGTTCTGCTGAGGATCAAGAAGTTCAACAATATTGACAACACCATGAGTATGAACAATCCTGCACATATATTGCTTATTAGCCACAAGAGTCTTGAACTCCCGTATTGCATCGGGACTCCAATCTTGTCCTTTAGGTTTCTTGACACCCGCAAGTGAACATTGGAGAGACAAAGGAGGAAAGCCTTGGAACTGCTGAGGCAATGGTCGTATAACACCTTCTCCCACCACCTCACTGTTGCCAAAATCTGCATACCGAACTCTAAAACTACCAGGGTTCTTCTCCAAAATTACAGCACGATACCACTGATTGTCCATCGAGAATCTAGCAGCACACATCTGCCCGGGACGTAAAGATGCCGTACTCTCTGGCGCATAAGAAGTTGTAGTCATTTGCTGGTTTAAATCTCTCATCAATACATTTAACTGATCTAGGAGCTGAAAATCCGTTTTTTGTGCATAGAATTCCCAGGGACTGACAACGGCATTGACGACAACTTCAAACGGTGATTTCCTTGTACTTTGACCGGTGGAGTTCATTGAAGAATCTTGTCGCTCCTTAGGAATCCTATTGTGGTCTGATTGACGAGGAGGTGATCTGAGTTGATGCGTTGCATTTTGTGACTCATATAAATTGTTTGACTGCTGAAATGATCGTCTCTGACCGTTATTGAAAACGGGTTTGGGGCCATTATGTTGACGTTGCATGTTACTTGATGCACCTGACTTATTTTCATACTGTGAGGATACATTTAAGGGCTTATGGTTACTTGGTGAAGAAAGGAATCTTTCTCTTCTCTTGGCAAATCCAGCTTCCATTAAACTATCGTTGATTGCGGTGTCAGAGTTCGTTTCCTTAGGGTCAAATAACTTTACAAACAATATCTCATTGTAATGTCTACAGACCTGTACTTTGCAATTCATGCCCAGAACTTTACTCTTGACAAGAGCAGTGGCTTCTGATGACCAACTTCCAGATACGTCAGTACTTGTTATTCCATTGAGTGAGAGCTTTAGAGCTTGTCTCGGAATCATTGCCAGATCTTCAGCTATACGACGCACTTTGTCTACTGTGATGTCCTCGTGATTTCCAAAATCTATGTATGTCACCCTCAAAGTACCTGTATTGTTAACAATGTCAACCTTTGCTCGGTACCAACAACTGTCAAAACTAAACTGCGCCACACAAACTTCACCACCAGTTGGAACATAGTTTTCGTAGACGGAGTTACAATAGGAGGCTTGAAGTTTCTTTTTCAGTTGATCCTGCCTCTCTAACGCTTCAGGGGTACACAGTTGTGCCCANTGAGTGAGAGCTTTAGAGCTTGTCTCGGAATCATTGCCAGATCTTCAGCTATACGACGCACTTTGTCTACTGTGATGTCCTCGTGATTTCCAAAATCTATGTATGTCACCCTCAAAGTACCTGTATTGTTAACAATGTCAACCTTTGCTCGGTACCAACAACTGTCAAAACTAAACTGCGCCACACAAACTTCACCACCAGTTGGAACATAGTTTTCGTAGACGGAGTTACAATAGGAGGCTTGAAGTTTCTTTTTCAGTTGATCCTGCCTCTCTAACGCTTCAGGGGTACACAGTTGTGCCCATACACAGCTAGGGTTTTCGACTTCTGTAACAGCCACTTCAAACAAACTTTCCGACACACTTTCCATGGAAAGTTGCTTGATAAAGAAGCGTCTAAGTCCACTGGAACGTTTTGCAGCTTCTGCAGGCCTGAGTTGATCTATCCCCGGGGCAGAGTTGCAACTTTGTTGTGTAGGAAGTGGCTGCTGGCTGGGTCCCTCGCTTGGTGGTATAGGAACCTTGGGTGAAATGTCTTGAGGCTTACTGTTATCTAAAGAACACGAAGATGACTTGTCAGTATCATCAGAATCTTCACTTTGTTTCTTTTCGCCAAACTGCACCTGGCTGATGTCAAAACCTAACGCCTTGGCAAAAAATTCAGGATTTGTAACATGAAAGCCATCTATTTTCATGGGACCCATTTCATCCTCTGAATCCGAGCTGGCCTTTGCGTCAAGATCCCCCAAGTTAGAATTGGTTACACCTGCTTCAGGTATATGCACAGAATCGCCAGGGGTTACTTTTGGGGAATCTGTATGCTCCTGAGTGTGTGTGGATGGTTGCACAGGGTCCCCAGCAAGTGCAAGCGGGGAATCTTTCTGCTCTTGGATGTGTGTAGTTGGTTGCAGTGTGTTCGCAGGGGAGGTAGGGAGGGACGTTTCGAACTCCTGGCAAGTCTCTGGTTTAGATGTTTTGCTCTCAGCTGCTGATTTTCGTGGACAAACAAGCTTATGCTTTGGCCAATCATTCTTTTGACATTCTCGACTGCAGTATGGGATTTTACACACAGAGCACCACTTATGCCCTAGTTGGCCGCAGAAACTGCACGGTTTTCCTTAAGAAATAGAAAGGAAAAAAAACAATTTAGCAAAGCTGACCTGGCCAGAAAATGATACAGTTGAGAGAAAAAGGTGCGAACTAGGGCCGAAATAATTTCACCTCGGCCTCCATACTTGTGGTTCCTATGGTTTACTTGATACTGGTCTGAAAAGCCATTTAATATCTCTCATTTTATCCAAAAGTTGACCCAAAACATTCCATTTAAAACTGCTCCTAATCATTCTTTTGACATTCTCGACTGCAGTATGGTATTTTACACACAGAGCACCACTTATACCCTAGTTGGCCGCAGAAACTGCACAGTTTTCCTTAAGAAGCAGGAAGGAAAAAAAAAAAGCAATTTAGCCACGCTGACTTGACCAGAAATTGATACAGTTGACAAAAGAAGGTGCGAACTAGGGCCGAAATAATTTCACATCAGCCTCCACACTTGTGGTCCCTATGGTTTACTTGATAATGGTCTGAAAAGCCATTTAATATCTCTCATTTTATCCAAAAGTTGATCCAAAATATGTAATTTAAAATTATTTTGGGGAACCATGCGAATACCAACCTACAGTTCAACAAACCTGTAGAAACTGTCTTTTGGTAGAGCAACTTGAATGCCTTGAGATGCTAAACAACCTCTTCAACTATTTTTAGTAATTGATTTTGGTAATAACATATTTGTCAACTACTCCTTTAATTAAACAGAGCTCAGCTTTGGCTAAGTCTTATAATTAGCCTGTACAACTTGTAGGTTTAGTTTGAAATATGCCTTTTTCAGAAGCTTTGTGCAGCAATGAACTCACAAAGACAACTTTGGAAGCTCAGTTTACGTAAAACCACAAGGCAGCTATTTTTCTTTTTTCATCCACACAGTACATAGATGCTACTTATCTAGTACCTGAAACTGTTACAGTAGACTGGGCAGAAGGAAGTAATGTATCCTGAATGCTTCTTTCATCTGCGCTGTAAGAACACAAATGAACAATCTAAGTATTATGGAAAGTCTTTCAGCCACACTCTGACCATACCAAGTAACTGGAATCTGTCATGGATATGGGCAAAAAAGGCTTTGATGAAACATTCAAGTCTCATGTTGTGTGTTTTCTCCTTTCATAAAAAAAGACCCATGCTGTTGCTGGTATTGATTATTGTAAGAACATTCATTATCAAAAAGTAGTCTTCACTCAGGAGATCTTAAGCATTTAAGGGCAAATTGAGTGGTTTAAAAAGCAGCTATTATATGGGGTATATAGAAAGATTTTCCCACATTATTAATTTTCTGGTAAGGAAGTGGAGCAAATAACAAGATGGTAACATTCAGTTCTTGAAACGTACAGTACATGTATTTCAACGCTTCCCACATCATCATCAACTTACAGAGGCCCATGAAGATCCTAGCCTATCTTTAGCTACTTTAAATTCGAGGTTAAATAAAGTATATGTACATACGTATGTAACGCAATGTTCGCCTCCTTTCATAAACCCCAGCCACTTCATTTCACCAACTACTTTGAATACAACATTAAACATACTTTTCAGGAACAAAACTGAGGTGAAACAAAGCCAGAAAAAGATACAGCTAATTTTGAATTTCTTTAGCTTTTATATGGGGTATTGAGCTTACTAGACTCAAAGCAGTCTTTTAATTTTCTGTGTAACAAGGAGACCAAGAATGGCAATGTCCTGAGATAACTTTGAAGAACTGTGCAGTTAACTAAAAAGATGGCCCAAGCAATTAATAAGCCTGATTAGTGTTTTCTGTAGCTAAGGAAGTAACTGAGCTAACCACTGTCTCGTTAGCTCAGTTGGGAGAGTACCAGTCTGTTAAGCAGGTGGTTGTGTGGGTTCATACTTCTGCCAGACCAACTCTCTGGTGGTCTGGAAAGGTGGATAGGATAGGTGGATTATAAATTTTTTCGCTTCATCAAACTTCCCAGTGATTTCCTTACACCACACTCCTACAGACTTTGTTTAAATATCAGACTATAAAGGCTCCTTGCAGTTGTATTGAACTTGCAGCATTCTGCAAATGCCCTATTGATAACACCTGCACTAGTTTAGATTTGTGATACTGCATACCTTTCAGATGGTCCCTTATCAGCACTGTCCTGTACACCATTACATGTAACACCATTTACTTTAGGCTCCAGTTCATCAAGGTCTGCAAGGGTAGGCTTCTGTCTTGTTTGTGCAAGTGCCACCTTGAGCCTGACTCCCTGCCCCAGATCAAAGCCATCAAACTTCTGTATAGCTGTCTCAGCTTTACATATAGTCTCAAAGCCTACAAATCTACAGCAAATAATTATTGCAACTTTCGTTAGAATCCAAGAAGCAACTCCAAGAAAATTTTTTCCAAAGTGCAGTAGTCATGCTTTAACATGCAGACTAAACAACAATCTTTTAGGACACTTCTTTTAAAACACCCTGCTATGCCTTGTACATGAATTAATTTTATCATGGCTACAAAGTATAGCTCATAGATACTACTGAGGGTAAATGAGCACTGACAAATTTCAGAGCAGATGCGTATGCACATCAGGTTAAACACGTGCACATATTTCCAAGTTCATATTATGCATTCATTTTGGTTTACTTAGTAATGGTCTGAGATGTAATAATAAGGAGAGAATCTGATTTTATGGAAATAAGAATAATACTTGTATGTTATGGTCCAATATTGCCCTTAGTTTTTAGGTAGGATAGTGTATAATAAAGTTGAAACATTATAGGAGAATAAAATTTGAAACAAGGAAAAAACTTGAACCAAGTCATATATTTAATTAAATTAATTACCCAATATTGCTATCTTTGTGCTGTTGTTTAACAAGTCTACAGAATGTCAGCTTTCCAACCTGACTGAACAGATTATGTAATCCTTCCTGGAGTTCAAACAAAAAAGTGGTCTTAAATTATGACACAGGTACAAACAGGCATACAAAATTACTGCATTCACTGGTTCATACAGATTTTTGGATCCAAAATTCAAGACCTTTTCCCAGACTTTTTCCAAAACAATAATTTCTTTTTCCATACTCAAGATTATCAAATGGGTGATCAATGGAGACCTTTAAAAAATAAAGGAAAAAAGCATTTTCCATGATGCGCTGCAAATGTACAAACGAGATTGAATAAGATTTGGCCAGCACAAAAAAAATTCCTCTTGTAACTTTTAAAAAACACTCTCAAGACTTTACCAATATTTTTTCCACGTCTGGAAAATTGCTGGGCAAATTTCAAGACTCTGTATGAACCTTGTGATTACATATACGTATAGTTACAGTTTTCATGTAGGTTGCCTGGCAGACAAGCAATGATAGAGAAAAATTGATAAAGAAAAAACCTATCTTTGGATCCTCATAACAATTCATTACTCCTTTCAATCTCGGAGTAAATGATGAAGTATGGAATGGATGGAAAAGTCTGGGAGAGACAATGATACTAGTAAACAGATGAAGAAAATGGGCAGAACGTAGCAAGAAAAATAACCGTGCAATGATACACTAATGCATTTGTGAGCTGTGACACTTCTTCCCACATTACAAAATATTTGAACAAAATTTTGCAATATCAGTCACTAAAATAAGCTACGGGTTGTGTTAACACAGGGTTCGTACAGATTTCTGGATCTAAATTGCAAAACTTTTTCTAGACGTTTTCCCATACAATAACTTATTTTTCCATACTCAAGGTTAGAGAAGGAATGAAGGAACAAAGCTTTTTCCATGACGCGCTGCAAACATACAAGCAAGAATGAATAAGATTTGACCAGCACACACACACACACGCACACAAAAAAGATATCACTTGTAAAGCACTTAGTGTGCATGTAACTTTAAAAAAACTCAACACTTTTTACCATTTTTTCAAGACTTTAGCTCTATTTTCCAGACTTTTTCCAGGTCTGAAAAACTGCTGGGCAAATTTCAAGACTTTTTCAAGAATTCAAGACTCTGTACAAACCCTGTGTACACTGACAAATTTGTGAAATCACTGTCTTGAGCATCATTCCTTTCTAACCCTTGTGAGGCAATATATGAAAGCAAACCACAATGCCTTTCATGCTTCTTGTCTTATTCAAGATGGCAGCAAAAAAATGCAGCTGTATAAACTGGTACAGTCGCTGTTTACAAAGCAAATCATGAGGTTGCCACAACTTGGCAAAAACATTCATGCATCCTATGGTGTATTGTATCATGGCCGTTGTGTTGCAATTTGCCTATTATTATGGGAAAAGGTATGTTGTGGGTCTATAGGAAAATCACTCCACACAGATACACAAACACTGTACATAGTTTCCTGGAAAATCATCCATAGGTACCAAAACTATAAGTTACACTAACACTGTATTGGAGAAAATTAATTAAATACTCAGTGTACCTGAGTCATTTCAGGTGGAATCCTTCCAACAAATAACCTGACATCTCCTTCATTTTGAACAGAAGAATACATTGACTGCTGTGATGATCCCCTATTAAACAACACCACAAAAGCACCTTAAGAATTAAATAAAACTAGAAAATGGGGCTATATAGTCTGCAGGTCTGTCAAAAAGTTTTTAAGCAGCAGGCTGATAATCAATGGTAGGCAGCTTTGGAACTCACAACAAAGGCACAAGTTCTTGAGGGCCGAGGCATCTAGGTACATTTTGATATTTAGACTCTGCAAAACATTCATTCAATCAAAACTGGGAAACCGATGCTTTACAATTTCATTCGATGGTGCTCATTTTTTGTTCGCAGTTATGGTAGAAGGAGGTGACAGTAGCCGGCCAAGGATGGCTAACTAGCCGGCAGTTTTGGCCGGCTACTGGCCCTTAATGACAGCCCTGAGTCTGACTTTTGGCTTAAGGTCGATTTCCACTGTCACGTAATATTTTTACATGCGTACATGCATAAATAAAAAAAAGGCAATGTAAGGAAGGTCTTGCATGAATGTAAAAGTTGAACCTCCCTTAACTTTTACATATATGCACGGCCTTTCATACATCGACTCTGTATATTATTTATGTATGTAAATTTTATGCACGTATGCGTGCAAAAATTATGCGCAATGGAAATCCACCCTTAGATGAGACAACAGTAAGTCTGTTGCAATTTCCGAAGGCTTGCTAAAATCTAACAGCTCTGTAATGCCGTTTAGGGGGGTTTAATACGCAGAAAAATCAATCAATCAACTCAACCAAAAATCAGCTTAATTATCATGCATTATCATAATTTTCTCCTCATGTCATGTAGTAGCCACTAAATTAAGATTTTTTTATCTTTTCAACTTTATGTGTCAAGGCAATGTATTAGTAGTGTATTTTATTCCATTAACCGCCCTAGGTGCTTATTAAATTTTTGGACCTTGAGAGTGGGCGCTAATTCAAGGTGGGCGCTTATTAAATTTTCACCATTTTCAGCATGTGTAGTATGTTAATTTTGCAACAAAGCAATAAACGGTAATAACAAAATGCAAAGATTTAACAAAGCAAGGTTTCTGTAAAATGTTCTGAAAAAAAACTCCATCTGCAGGAGGGTATCTTATCTCTTATTTGAGTTTGAGTGGGAGGGGGAGGGGTGGGCACTTATTTGTGGCTGGGCCCTTATTAACTTTTTCTGCCTTTAGGATGGGAGCTCATGCGAGGTTGGCGCTAATTCGAGGCTGGGCGCTTATTCAAATAAATACAGTATCTGTTGAACTATTTTGGCCCTTTTTCTCTGCAATTCTTTATCATTCTCATTTGCTATCTTGTTGAAATTGTGGAGAAATACTAAACACTAAAATACTGCCCTTTGTCCACCAACAGTGATGATGATACCATGTAAGTTTAACATTTTGCTAAATGCAAAGGGAGGTGTCTATGAAGTCAGCTTAAAATTTTTTAACCTAGGTTGATTCTCAATTTTCTTTGTCTCCTAGCCCTAAGCCATGAATAAATAAGGCTAAGAGACAAAGGAAATAGCGAATCAACCTAGGTTAAAGAATTTTAACCTGAATTTAATTTTGACCTGTAACATCTATTCTTGACCTTTACCCTTCGCGCTCTTAAATCAATCCAGCTTATCTACAAGACTGCTAATAAACATTAAAATAAAAATTACTCAGTGAAAATGCCATTCACTACAGGGAAAAATTTGTATGTGAGACCAAAAAAAATATTGCACCAGGAATGAGCAAAGTTTTGAAAAACTCACCCTGGGAAAGCCTTCTTAAGATCTTCAATACTTGGTTCTCTATAGCTGTTAAATATTTTTGACGCATAGTCTTCCACCATGGGATTCCAGGCATCAAGACCTTGCTCTTCAGTATTTCTATTTTTGATAAACACAGAAATTCAGGACAATACACACAGAAAGTATTGGCACTATTGCCAGCTTGGCAGTACTGATTAGAAATGCAGCAAAGGTCACAGTACTTCTCTTCAGTAAGAAAAAACCAAAATGTAGCTTAAATACACTCAAAGTAAGACATAATACAACTCTCCTAGTTTAATTAAGTGTTAAAATGCTTGAATTAGTGCTTCCACTTCGGGAATTTCTCAGACATTAGGCATATTAAACATATTCAACCTTTGCCTGGTTAGCTCAACTGGATAATTGCGCTGTGCCAATTAATTGCACTATCCCCTGGATAGAGATTTATCCATCGGATAGCATTATCCACCTTTTGAACAACTGGTGCTGGAGATTAGGATTCCAGGCAACAAGAGAAGCCCGCAACAAATAGTCAATAAATATTTTAGTTGTAAATTGTCTGATGACCGACTACAGGGCTGTGCTCTAGCAGAGCTCAGAGGCCCTTGGGCGACTAGAAAATCTCAGATTTTTCACACAAATCATATGCTGGGCACCCTAGATTTTACAATTTCAGAGCACTGGGATCCCTTCAATTTTCCTTACAGCACAGCCTTGGACTATTATTTGCAACTCTAATAATGAGCAGGACCTAAATGTATGCCCACTTCAAGAACAAAATAGCCGAAAAACTAAACCCTTTTGGGCAGCAAGTAAAAAGCTTATATAGGGAAGTTTCCCTCCCCACCCTAGGGATAGAANCTGCCCTTTGTCCACCAACAGTGATGATGATACCATGTAAGTTTAACATTTTGCTAAATGCAAAGGGAGGTGTCTATGAAGTCAGCTTAAAATTTTTTAACCTAGGTTGATTCTCAATTTTCTTTGTCTCCTAGCCCTAAGCCATGAATAAATAAGGCTAAGAGACAAAGGAAATAGCGAATCAACCTAGGTTAAAGAATTTTAACCTGAATTTAATTTTGACCTGTAACATCTATTCTTGACCTTTACCCTTCGCGCTCTTAAATCAATCCAGCTTATCTACAAGACTGCTAATAAACATTAAAATAAAAATTACTCAGTGAAAATGCCATTCACTACAGGGAAAAATTTGTATGTGAGACCAAAAAAAATATTGCACCAGGAATGAGCAAAGTTTTGAAAAACTCACCCTGGGAAAGCCTTCTTAAGATCTTCAATACTTGGTTCTCTATAGCTGTTAAATATTTTTGACGCATAGTCTTCCACCATGGGATTCCAGGCATCAAGACCTTGCTCTTCAGTATTTCTATTTTTGATAAACACAGAAATTCAGGACAATACACACAGAAAGTATTGGCACTATTGCCAGCTTGGCAGTACTGATTAGAAATGCAGCAAAGGTCACAGTACTTCTCTTCAGTAAGAAAAAACCAAAATGTAGCTTAAATACACTCAAAGTAAGACATAATACAACTCTCCTAGTTTAATTAAGTGTTAAAATGCTTGAATTAGTGCTTCCACTTCGGGAATTTCTCAGACATTAGGCATATTAAACATATTCAACCTTTGCCTGGTTAGCTCAACTGGATAATTGCGCTGTGCCAATTAATTGCACTATCCCCTGGATAGAGATTTATCCATCGGATAGCATTATCCACCTTTTGAACAACTGGTGCTGGAGATTAGGATTCCAGGCAACAAGAGAAGCCCGCAACAAATAGTCAATAAATATTTTAGTTGTAAATTGTCTGATGACCGACTACAGGGCTGTGCTCTAGCAGAGCTCAGAGGCCCTTGGGCGACTAGAAAATCTCAGATTTTTCACACAAATCATATGCTGGGCACCCTAGATTTTACAATTTCAGAGCACTGGGATCCCTTCAACTTTCCTTACAGCACAGCCTTGGACTATTATTTGCAACTCTAATAATGAGCAGGACCTAAATGTATGCCCACTTCAAGAACAAAATAGCCGAAAAACTAAACCCTTTTGGGCAGCAAGTAAAAAGCTTATATAGGGAAGTTTCCCTCCCCACCCTAGGGAAAGAAATGCCAGGGATATGATGACATCAGTAGTGCAAATTGCCACTCAGACCCAAAATGCAGGCATGGAAAAGTTCTGCTGTTGATTCCCCAGTTTGGGTAAGATTTCCACACAGCCCTATACATTCATTCTGCACGCATGTTTCAACTGTATTCAGATAAATTGTTTGTGTGAAAAAGTATGAGACTGCTGCTTGTATATGGTGCTATGGTGAAATCCTAGCACTAGTTCTGATGGATTTTTGATGCTATTGCTTGCTGCTCCTTACCCAAGTACAACTCAATTTCTCTAGACAGGTTCACTAACTCTGGAGCGCAAAGAAGTATGTGTTCATGATCAGTTTTTAGAAAACCTTGATTTCTCCCATACATTTTCTGTAATTTGACATTATCAAAATTACAGAAAAAGTATGGGAAAATTGAGGTTTTCTAAAAACTGATCTTGGACTACTATGCACTCCAGATTCAGCTTATTGTTTCACTGAATTCATAAGTTACACTTTTCAAAGAGAAAGTGGCAAATATATGTATTCAAGAAGAATTAGCTGGCTCTAAATTCTAATACAGATCTCTGCATTTCCCGCCATCCTGCCCTGATTACCCATGAAGCAACTATGAACGTGAACCCGTCTATGCAACTGCTATCGAATTCGATCAGAAAACCAGACCAAAAACGCCAAACACGCAACAAAAAGACAAGTTGGAGCGGACATTTTGCGTATTCGAGGCAATGAAAAACTAATAAACCTAAAGCTACCGTCAACTCTCACCACTGATCTGGAATGTTGCATACCTATGACCATTGTGGGGCAGCTCAGATTGCACATCGTCCATGTGCGCGTTTGCGCTTGCTTCCTCCATCGCCTTCAACAATTTCGAAGAGACTTTATCCCTAGGGTTAGCTTGAGAAAACCTAGAGTTTGTAGCCAAAAATTCGACTTGGTCTTGGTTTTGAGGTCTCAAATGAGCCTCAGCACTGGTCCAAACTGGTTTAAATTCGCCGCTTCTGAGCTCGCGATCCTCTGGAATATCGAAGTAATCTTCTGTACCCTCGGAGGACATCAATTATTGGTTTTCATCTGTTAAGAACAAAGCATTAATGGAATAAGAACTTACATTCACATACTCTTGTACTATCGGGTAAACTGACATAAGAAAACGACGAGAATTCGCCCCACCTAATGTTCATCTCCTAATAACTCTCCGCCATATTGCCATCCTCGTGGGACAACCTAATTCCCAGGTCCTTCGCAGAAACACTATTCTCGTTCCTAGTCTCTTTCGTTTGTGTGACGGAGAGCAAGCTTTTCAGAGGGGTTTCTAAATGACCTTTTCGGGTCCGGCTAAAGCCTCTCAAGTATTAATCTACGAACTTTGCAATTTGACGCGATGTCAGGCGGTCACCCCAGAGATTGTGGCGTGACTAGCTCCTTCAGACGTATGAAGTTAGCCTCCCACGCAGACGTTCTTAGGGCCCCTAAGAACGTCTGCGTGGGAGACTAATATGAAGTAGGATCAAATTAAGCCTGCACCCAGATTAGTCTCCTGGGTTGTGGTGTAGAAGCTGGAGCAACCCTGAATCGCGTTAAAAAGAAAGTGAGCAAGGTTATCTTGACAACACTGGAGATAAATGCAATACAAATTTTCTATCTCGTCGCAGCGGAAAATGGGAGCTTCAAGGCCCGTTTACACGTTAAAAGAGAAGGAACGGCTCGGTTAGAAACAAGTACCGGTTCCAGACGAAATCTTCTGTTAACACGTATAAATTCTGTAATGTGCCCGACAGAAAAAGGCACGGTACGTGAGAGCCCCCTTGGAACCGGGGTACTAGACTATTTACACGTTGTTTTCTTCGAGACCGGTAACGATAGAGCCCGCGATAATTAAATAAAACAGGGGCACCCAACGAGGATATAGTTCAAAACCACTTAAACATAGCATTGTTAAACGTATTTTAGTATTTAAACCGTAGATATAGGGATATTTTTATCCCCTAGAAATTTTCCATCTGTTCGGATTTCCTAGCTGAAAGTCTAATGATCCGAAAATTATAGGGATCAAAACTTACCTTTCCGAAAATTTCAGCCAGAAAAAAGGCTCCCGAAAATTCAAGGTGCCTTTTAAGGGTAAAAATCCGTTAAAAATGGGCAATTATATCATTTTTGAGATGTTCGAAAATCCTAGGAGAGGCAGGCAAGCAAGAAATTTTACAACAAATGTTCCGAAAATTGTAGATCGCAAATCGTCTTCCGAACAGATATTTTCCGAAAATTGTCGTTGGGTGCCCCTGATAAAACTGCTTCGATTAGTTGTTCATATGCGCTTATACATACAGTAGACTGTGAGTATCTCCGACAATCATGGATGCAGGTTTACAAGCACTTTTCTGGTTTCTTCTAAAGAAGAGAACACGAAATTCACGTTTGACAGCGCGTGCGATTCGTCAAAGTTCTTCTGAGAAAATGTACCGAATTAGGAGAAAAACAAGGCTTACGGTTTTCCTATTAACAGCCCTTGTATCGCACCTCACAGTCGAAAGGAGCTTCTGGCAAATTCCAAGAACAAGCGCTTGGTTTGATCTTACATACTGCACTTACTCTGACGATCAGTGGTATGCTAGCTTTCGAGTGTCGAAGAATACTTTCCAGTTTCTTCTTCCAACACGCATGTGACGTACGCTAAACAACTGACGTGGAGCACCACGGGCTCATAAAAAACGTAACAGAACGGTACCGAAAAAAGGGCGAGCGTTTACACGTTGAAAAGAAAACAAAAATGTGGGTACGGAACCGTTTTTTATCGGTTCCGTTCCGAAAGGAGTCCATAGCCGCCTATGGACCTTTTTAGGAACGGAACGGATACAACTGGAACGGGTCAAGTACCGTTTACACGTCGAATTTTGTCGGAGCCGTTCGTCTTTTTATCCGGGCCGTTCCAATTTTTTCGGTCGAGTAAACGGGCCTTCAGAGTCATATATAAATAGAGAGGAGAAGTCGTTACGTCACGTTGCCATGGCAGCATCGTAAAGTTGCAGTCAAAATTTCACCGATCATTTCAATGCAATTTGATACCAGGTACAAGTTGCAGAAGCGACGAACAGATTCGCTTTGCAAATAATCAATTCATGAATGAAATCTTGACCTGGTTTGACTATAATTCTTCGTATAGGTAATAGCAGGATTTGTAGTGATATTTGGCATAAATACCACGAACGATATTTCGAAATTGTTATACGTAATTTCACGAGCAGTTAGGCGAGTTAAATTTGATACAATTTTGAAATATCATGAGTGGTATTTATGCCAAATATCACGTACAAATCATGCTATTATTTGTTTATACTACTACCCACAAAGGTTTTGTAATTTTCACATGTAGATATTTCAAATTAAGCTGAAATATCACTGCTCTAAACCAATCAAATTGCAGAAATTTCTCATGTAGTAGTATAACTTCAGAAACCTGCGAATTAAGCTGAGCTTTCTTCGCTTTCGCAACACTTTTTATTTCGTGAAATGTGGGGCACCAACCTAATGTATCGGTCAAATCGAAGCTTCAACATGCCCCCCCCCCGGGCATACCCCGGGTATTTGACACCTTTGCCGTCCCAGGGAGGAGGGAATTTGATTATCAGAGTCTTCCAGGGGGTGGGGAATTTGATCCCCATGCTTTAGGGGTGGGGAATTTGAACTGAACCCTCGATTTCATGTAAAATCTTTGGAGTGGCGAGCTATCATGGGGGACGCGGTGTTAGAGGATTTTCGTGGAAAAGATCGTGCCTTTGTGGCCAATTGGTTACGAGGAAAGGGCTTAAACAAGCGTTGTGCTGTATTTGAAGTATTTAAATTTTAAAATTTATAATACTGGATTCAGGCTTTGAATGTATGAATGTATTTTATTGTTGTGTTTTATACAATGAAATACAATACCTATACCGGCGATTCAATACAACAACATAAAATAAAATAAAATAAAAAGCTCAGGTCAACTACTTTGACCTACTGCAAGTATGTTAGTTAAGAAGTTGAGCGATGATGCATATCAGTGCATTGGTCATGATATAGTAATCTCAATAGATGGGGTCTTTTTTTATAGAACGCTTTGAGCATTCGGTGACCTTGTAGCAGCGATCTCCGCCGCTTTGCACGAGACGTTTGTTCGTAGTAAATACGCTAACAGTGTTTCTCAGTTTTTGTTATATTTATAAAGATTTTGTTCGACAACTGAAGGCGTTTCCGCCGTCCCTCTGTCAGTTTTGTGCCTGTGAAACGTCCCCGGGGTGGGGGCATTTGATCACCTGAATGGACCATAGTGTGGGGCATTTGAACGGCATTTTGGCCCGGGTAGGGGGGAATTTGAACAATAATTTTCAAAAAAGTCAAATGCCCGGGGGGTTGCCCGGGGGGGGGCATGTTGAAGCTTCGATTTGACCGATACATAATCACTACTTTCGGCACAGAACAGCGAAGTCAACGAACTTTTAGCAGTAAATTCGTTATTCATTTGTAGCTGTTAAATAATACGACAGCTCCAGTAAGCAATATTTCATCGCAAAAAATAAATAATGAAAAACATTTAAATTTTTTTTTAGGAAGCGCCATCTGAACATGGACGTATTTAAAATTTTCTTTTCCCTAAAAATTTATTTCAAAAGAGACATTATTCGCGCCCAAATTTGATCCCGTCCGGTTGACGGCTTGTTAAATGAATGTATCAGGCGTTATTTTTTTCCCTTTCGAGTCAAAGCGGCAAAAAATAATAATAATAATAACGCCTGGTCTCAGGTTATATGCATGCCTATTATCAAGTTAAACACAGGTTACAGGCTTCCGTACTAGCTAGAAAGTTTGACATTTCGCATTGGCTACCCTCTGGTGCGGACGGTCACGTGATTACCAAAATTTCTCGGATGGATAGATTACCAAACTTTCAAGTTAGCTTTGGGGCTTCCGCTATTACAGATTTACAGTGTACTATTTAGTACTCGATCTTTTCGTGAAATGAGAAAAGTGTTTGAGGCGAATACAGGCCTGGAGTGTGCAGACAGACTGAAAAGGCACTGAATTGATTGCGGACCATATATTAAGGCCTACATTAAACAGAAATGTTTGAATAGGACTTGTTTGGGTTCTATAAACTTTTTCCAACAAATTGTAAGACATGTGATGTATTGACCTACTCGTTCAGTTATTTGCTTTCTTTGTTTCGTGTACTAATGATTAATGCCTCGGTGGCGAGTTGTGCGACTTTCACAGGTAAATATCTCAGACCAATATCCATTGCTCTCGAGAAAAATTCATGTGGTCAGTAATTTTCTTTCTTCTCATTAAAGCCAGTAATGACCGATGAACATTCGACAATATCGATATCTGCTCTTTAGTTGAACGAGCAACTAGCAGGATTGATATTTATTTATATCACAAATGATATTAATCTTGTTTTGACAATAAATTAAAATAAAATACATAAATATATGAGATAAAAAAAGGAACAAAGTCAATAAAAAAATTCAAACGAAGAAAATTTTACGAATAACCCTTGTTGCTCTCTAGCGGTATTCTTAGTCGTTCAGTGGACCATAACTCAACAATCATATTCAGGATATTTAATCTTTTTCCCCTCAAATGTAGAAACGGTATTTAAATTGCGATATCGCTTTTTTTGGCGAAGCAGAAGTTTATAGGTATGATGGGCTGCTGACCAAAGATATTTCTCTGGAAACTGTGAGGTGAAGTGATTGTGTTTTTCAGTTTTCATAAACCAGCGTTGTCGGATGTGTTAGATTTCAACCTGCTCGAGCAAATATCATTAACGTCATTAAAAAGTTTTAATATCTGACCTTCCCTCATTTGAGTCACGCACGTATCCCTACCTTTTTTCACACCGGAAGAGAGCTCTGGCATTTAGAAAGCGTCAGAAGTGACGATTTTAGTCCCACAATGACAGATAAATGCACAAATTATGTCCTTTGTCAATATTTATTTTGTTTTTGGTGTACAACTTCTTTCCAATGCACCGAGCTGTCAGCTTCCCCAAGCATTCCTGCAGAATTTCACTTCCGTCCATTCATTGACCTATCGCGGGCTCCGGTGTAATTTATGCGTAGAAGATGGCCACCCGAGAGGTAGCAAATAATTTACGCGAGCAGAGGCAGTATCGAAAGGCCCGCAACCGGTCTGAGGGAAATGACAGAGAGCAGAATTTCTCGGTGAAAAAGAGGAAGAGGATGGACCCGGTTTTTGTAGAGAAATGGGATGCTGCCGCTTTAAAGGTAAGAGTTTTACGATACACGTCTTCTCGACCGTTTTTTGCGCGGGCTTTGAAGAGCAACGCATTGAAAATTGTGGGAACGACACTGTTTCGTACCAGTTTAGGCGTGAAAGTCGCTCTTGTTTCACTCTCTCTGTGAAGCTGTGTTAGTTTGGTAGCTGTCTGACTTTATGCGCGAAGTTGTGTATTTTTAGCCTTTTCACACAATACAATCTAAAACAATCAGCGGAGCAGTGCCCGCGTTCAGGTCGAATAAACACTCAACAGAAAACTCTTTTCGCGTGACCCGATTATTTTCGGTCTCAAGGGATCTCGACCATTAAATAAAAGTCTTTCAACCTTTAATATTTTTCACCGCAAAGGATAGGTTAACTGCGAACTTTTGCTTTAAATAAAAACAATAAATAAATAAAAAGATGGCGAAGTGAACTTGTATACTTTCAAAGAGTTCGCCTTTCAAAATACAAAAGGATAGCAAGCTTTTTTACCTGAAGTGCTGGTACAAGTGAACCGTAAACTGTTTATTGTCGAAAACACTTTGTGTCGTTTATTCAACAAAGGAGTATGTGATTTTTGGATTTCCGGCTCCAAAAATAGGAGTGAAGCCCGAGTTCGTGTCCTGTTCATTATTTTGACATAACAACAGCACATCACATGGAGTATGCATAGAGGTTGTTGTGAACCTCAAAGCTCTCGGGAGTGGTATTGTTTTATATAGGTTCTTCGTTCGAAGAGCTTTGATTTTGAAAGTGAAAATTTTCGTCTATCAATTTAGAAAATCGGCCGATGATCATCTTTCATTAATTTGTGATGACTTTTCTGCGCACCGGGAAAGAAGCCATCTTTCGGAAGCCATGTGGCTTATGTATAGGCGTTGTTTAAGTTTAGGAATAGAAATTAAAATCCCCTTAATGTTTTTTTGGTTTTACCCACCAGTTTTGCGGTTTCCTTTCTTTGTTACGAAAAAGAGAGAATAGGTCATCCTAATTGTTATGATATTTAGATTTAAGTCCTGCCCTAAGGGAATAAGCTGTAAGTTTCTTGTTTTTGTTTTAGTCCGATCTCCGAAAATGAACCGAAAATGAAATTTTCATTATATAATGGCTGCTGCGTCTACTGTACAGTAATATAAATTAATATATTTCCGGCTTTAAGCGTAGTTTGTAATTTAATCACAGCTAATAAATACCATATTTGGCCAGTTTACGTCGGAAGGGTGTTTTCAGTTCTCACCAGAAATTACGGAATTAAACTAGCATCAATTTGGCGCTCACTCTAATATACGTGAGAAGCTTTTAGCCGTGTGTGGGCTGTTGGATTTTACTCTTTATTATGTATGTTATCACTGCTGAGCACCCGATTAGTTTCAAATGTGACGAGTATATTCATCAAGCTTGATACTTTTGACCTGTTGATTCTTTTTTTCAGCTGCGAATGTTCTTGACCCTTCAATCTTTCTGATAAGGGCTGGGTAATTAATGCATTTAATCTTAGTTCCTGCCTCACCCAGCCACCATGACAAAACAAACAATATCCCCAGTATATATAATGTCATTTTCAACTGTATCTGTCTTAATCCGGGCAGAACAAGGAATATTCGCTGTGTATTATGGACGATAGTTTTCTTAATAATATCACAGTGAATGTGGGAGAATTTTGTGGAAACTGTAGAGGGGTGAAAAGACATCATGAACAGGTGAATGAATGGATGCTTTGGGAATTTGTCAGGAAACCTTTTTTGATTTTATGAAGCAGAGCTCTGGGAAATCCTGCCATTAAGCAGTGTAGCCCAGAACGAGCCCTATGGCAAAAATATAATTTTTTAATAATATTAATTTATTATATTTTTAGTCTTAATATTTATAGTAAAGGAATATTAAGATGATTAATGTATGTTACTTTCTTGCTTTCACCTCTCACCATTATTACCAGATGTTTTTTGATAAACAAATGATAAAGTCTAGAAACAAGAGGACTGTGTTACATTATGTATTGTGTAGGTTACTGTTTCAGTTATTGTTATGTTCTTTTGTTTATCCATAACTCTCTCTACCTTTGGTTCTGTTAATAGCAGCCTGCTGTAAAACTGTCAGAATTAGCATTTTTTAATAAAGCTTACAAGCATTTATTCCAGACAGACACTGTTATCAACTCATCGAGAATTGTGAAAAATTATTCCTCCATACAAATTATTCTATACCAAAGTTGTTTTTCTGTACGTAGGAACTTGATGACTCAGCCATTCAAGAGAAGATTGACCATGAGGTGCATATACGAGACGGAATAGTTAAATTGTTGGCTGCTTGCCATGAGGAGGTTCAGGCTCTCGAGGCATCCAAGAACCTTCTCACAATCAATGCTCGTATCCTTGCTCTTATGGCATTGCTACAGAGACACAGGGCAAAGTCAGTCTTGAGGCGCAAAGGATCGAGGTATATTTAAAAGTGTGACATATGTAGAAGTGTGAATAGCGTGTAATAACTTTAAATGATGGAACAATATCTCACGGGAATATAAGTTAATATATTTAGGCAGTTATTATGTTAGGTTTCTTTGCATTCTCAGAGATCTTGCATACATAAGTTGAAGTATGGGGGAGTGTAAGTAGGTTTTTTGAAGCAAGAAGCAAGACTTGTTCATTACGTGTCGGTGTCCGTGTTTTAATGAAAGTGTGTGTCACTGAAAAATATTGAAGAAATGAGTGACAGAATGTATCTTGCCTCATTTCATGTCTAGCATAGAAGTATAGCAGTTAGTTTGTTCTTTTGTTGGAAACTGTTATTCAAAAGTAAAATAACACAAAATATTATTTTATTGTTGTACTTCAGTTTCTGGGCTGTAAATGTAAAATTAGGTCAAGCTAATACCAGTAAATTAGCAGCAACCTTCTCAGAACCACACAGGATGGATTTCATTGCTGTAATTTAGAACATAATAAAACCTATGTATACTGTATGTGCATTCCTGACCATGCGTGAGATGAAGATGGCGGGATATTGACTTGTTCCTTTTACAGCAAACTTTTAATTTGTTAATTGAGGATTCATTAAACGGTATATCGCCCAAATGAATTTTTTCTCCTTTGAACTAAGTGAGTACTCCTGATTTTGCATCCCGGCAAGATAAGCCTAATTTTGCCTGCTTAGGTAGTCAATTAGCCTGGTCTTGGATCCAGCCTTGTAATAAAGATAGCATTTGAACACTGTTATGTGGAGAGATTCTCTCCAATTGAATCAGCTCTTTTTGTCCTTTTAAATTTCAGTTCAACATCACCTCTGGATTTAGATGATGATGATGCCCCTTGCAAAGCCCAGCTTTCCCTCTCAGGTAAATTAATCAATGATTGATAGCAAGGTTGTGCTCTACCTAAGATAATAATATTGTAGAGAGCACAAAAGCTCCCCTGCAAAAGCATGAATATTAGCACCACACTGCTAATATGGTAACAAAGTAAGAGCAAAAAGATCATTCAGTTTGATAAATTTTATTAGGACATGTGAAGGGTTGAGCTACAACCAGTTGCAAAAATACTTTAGAGACTGTACTTTATTTTGGGTTCAATGGTCTGCTTTAATATGATCTTGTGTTTGTGATCCCCCTCCTCCCCTTATCAATAATGCCAGCAATACAAGACCATGCTTAAAACTTGGANAAAAATACTTTAGAGACTGTACTTTATTTTGGGTTCAATGGTCTGCTTTAATATGATCTTGTGTTTGTGATCCCCCTCCTCCCCTTATCAATAATGCCAGCAATACAAGACCATGCTTAAAACTTGGAGGTACAACTTTGATCAGAGAACAGGGGGAGATGAGTATTGTATCTTATAGAGGTGTGACTAGCAGCAATTTGAAGTAAGAAAGGCCGGTTTTCCATCAGAGTGTCTCAACATTTTTTGGTTGTAGCTTTCAGGCCTTTGAAGACAATTTGTCCCTCAAGACCTTTGTAAGGGAGAAACAAAAACAGAAATTATTAGGGGACAAAGAGTGTTTTGTCATGACCTTATTTCCTCTTATAGTAGATGTGTTTCAGTAAACAGCCAGTCAAGGGTGAAGTATGCAATCATGCAAATTTTTATCAGATTTCCAAATATGGTTATGTTGTCACTGTGGAAATAAATTTAAAGTGACAAATTGGCACAAAATTGCAAGAATGTTGCAATGTTTTGCTCTGTCTCAATATGCTTGTGTTGAGCAATACACACATGCATGATAAGTGACACTTAAGGAAAATGCAAAATTAAGCAGGTACCTAAAGAAAACATGGTAACCATTTACAGGGCTTGAAAAAAACTTCAACTCCAGCATGTCCTTTGGGCAAGCAGCTCTCACATTTTGCTTGCCTGGGGCCTGCTTGCTTGTTTTAATGTTTTTGTTAGAGGATGACTTGCCTGGACCCTTGACCATTGGGCAAGTCAGCCTCAGAAGTTACTCACCTAGTGAGGAAATCTACTTATCCCAGGCAACCGGATGGGACTTTTTTCAATGGCAAAAACAAACAAACAAACAAACAAACAAAAAGGTTGCAGTATGGTTATATGGCCCATAATGAGATGGTCATGTAGTTTATTGCCACAAAGAAGAGAAACAAAATACCTTCATTACTTAGTACCAAAAAGAGATTGTTACCTACCAGAGAAGTTGACTGAATTGTTTTTTTTGTTATTAAAGATGCCTTGCAAAGGGTCATTGTTACTTACTGCATTGAGTTATCTGTAAGTAGACAATTTACTTGTAACATTCTGAATCACATTTCCCACTTGAAACTTTCTTCTTCAGATATCCGGGTCCCTTTGATGTGGACTCAAGATGATCACAATAAAACCAAAACAGGTACATTGTTATTAAATCGTCATTTTCTTATTCACAACCTTGTTAATACATGATGATAAGATTACCAATGGCAAATAGCAGATGGAAATCATCCATTTGCTGTAAAAGTGGTGCTTAACCTCAATCTCTTCAATATGACCAGACAATTATTACCTCTGGTGAGACCAGTTATCAAGTAAGAAAGGCAAACTGTAAATCTGTTTTTAAAGTCATGAAGGTGATATCTCTGATATTCACTATGTAGTTGATAAAGGCTACATTACTAGCAGGGAGGTCAGTCATGACCACCCAGTTTATTTTGTCAGATCTTTACAGCCTATCAGTGTTAGTATCAATGGGGCTTCACTAGTATTAATTTTTTTTCTCCCTTAATAATCATGACATATTCTTCCAGACTATTGCTCATGCAGTTGCCAGCTAGTATTTTCATCCAGAATATAGAGCATTTTTTACTTAATTTTTTGTTTTTTTATGGTTGATAATGTTCTGATTGGTCTTCTTCTGCATCATTTTTTTTTCAGAGCAACATCTCTACTATGTGTTCTGTTTATTGAAGCTTGATGGCCAAGTGTTGGACACTGCTCTTGTTGAGACTGATGAATCAGAAACAGACATTTCCTTTGACAACATAATTGTCTTGTATGTTTTCACTCTTATGCTAACAAGTACTCCAGCTTATAGTCTGCATACAATAATTTGAAAACTCAAAAGGTGCCTCATTAACATTGTTTCATTGAAACTAACTTTTGTAGTTAGTTGTCCTGGGACTAGTAGTGGGTGCCATCTACTAGTCCTGAAGGCAATTCTACTTGTCCTGTCTACCATCCATCATCTGGCCATGGATGCACAACCATGTAATTCACACATTAAAAAATCATAGTAAAGCATGACTGAAGTTTTAAATCATAATAATAAACACTAATGAAAAGCATAATCTTTTATCTTGAGTTTCTTTGGCTATAAGAAATTATTTATTGCTTCCTTTGTGGAAAGACGAATTTTCGTTTTTACTCTTTGGAAAATTTACACAATACTGACAAAACATTTTTCCCATCGGTTTCATAATTTGTAAACGAGTGAATGACCGTTAGTTTCGAGCACTGATTAAACCGTCCACAGCACTTCTACTGTGATCCCAACTCTGAGTGCATGTTCTTGGTATCTAAAATCTGCAGCTATGTTTTATAAATTAATATATTAGCTATTAAACTAGACTACTTCCTGCAGGTTAGTATGCTTAATCCTGCTTAGTTTATTAGATCTGTTTGATTCTCCCTGAAAAATAGCTCCTCATGTGAACAGGTCAATTAAATAATACAGTCAACACCTTTTATAGGGGGCACTGTAGGGTCCCCGATTTAGTGTCCTCATTAGGGAGAGTCTGTGATAGCAGGAGTTTATTTCAGTCAAACATCTGTTATTAATTTATTTTGCCCTAGGATTTAGCTGCTGTTTGTTATAGTGAGGTGTCTGCAAGGCGAGAGTTTATTTTACTTTGTTATTATTTTTAGTTCACTACTGCCTTCTATAATAAACTAACTCGCTGCAATTTTGTTTTATTTTCATACAGTGACAATGTGAGTCATGATTTCAGACTGGACATAGAGATTTACTACACAGTGTCATCAGACAGTGCAGCAAACAGATTCACAGGAGCAATGAGACCTCTTAGAAGAACTGCAGCAGGACCTGAAACTCCTAAATTTATACTTGCAGGACACACGCAGCTAACAGTTGACCACCTGAATGACAGCGTCAAATCGCATGATCTTAAAACTGGTAAGACACAAGCTGTCTAGGAAGTACAAATTTTTTCATGCCTGCAGATTTGATGAGGAATTCGTTTCAAGGGTTTTAAGTTTGACATTGGTGATTTGTCACACAGTTTTCACTGCCAGTTAGGTGAGACTGGAAATAGGGTATGTATAGGAGCAGCAGTTTCATGGCAATTTGTCTCTATTGCAAATATCCATGCAATGTATTGATTGTTCAGGGATTTCCTGCTCAAGGGATTCTAAACATAGCTAAGCAAAAAACGTTTACGCCAGATAACGCTTGAGGTAACTGCTGCTTAAAGATTGGGAATATAAGAAAATAATGTCAAGCACTACTAAATTGCATCAAAAATTGCCACATGCTTCTTATTGTTATCTTGTTCTTCAGTCAATGAAATAATGATAATATTATTGTAATATTGTCAAATAAAAAATTATGACACTGAACTGGTCAAAATAAATGTCACTTGTTAATATCAGTGCCAAACTTTGAGGCCAGTTTTTGGCATGTTGAATCAAACTTTGAACTCTCACTAGAAGAAATTCAAGCATACCGTATGGTGATTTTGTTACAAATAGTTATGGTGAGTCCTGGGACTCTTCTTGTGAAAAATCATGAGTCCCTGTCCCATCCGTCAGGGACGCAGGACATAGAGGTAACAAAATCACTGACCGTATAGCATTTTAAATTTGAAAGTCTAAGTGGTAGAAAAGATGTGATTTTCACTTTGCCTTCATAATGTAGGTTTATATGGTGCTAGCCCGAATCGTTGTTGAAGTCTTAGGAGGTTATACGGAGTCAATCGGGAAACCCCAGTCTAGACGACAGCAGATCGTCGGTCTGGACGTACACATCTCCTTGGCGTTTACTATGGATTCCTAGAAATACAGGTATCATTACAACAGTAATGGAACTAATGACAAACATAAAAAAAGTTAACCCCATTGCTAGAGCCAACAGCACTCGTGCATGCTCCGATTGTCCTGACCTGGCTGTCTATATGGAGAAGAGTTGGCCCAGCTAGGAGGGTGACCCTATCATCACAAAAGACCCTCGTAGCTGGGTCACACCTCTAGCCAAGCCAACTTTTTGTTTACCCATTTTAAAGGAAATTTATGAAAAGTTGACTCTCCCATTGTAGGTTGGATAGTCAACTGACCTTTCTACCCAGGACAACTTATTGCCTGAGTGACTCCTGATCTAAAAACCAATTCTCCCGTTGATTGATTTGAATATACAGAGCAAACAACTGGGAGAATCTAGCAGAAAATCAGAAGTCCCTTAGAGCTTTATTCCACTGCGCCTTTATTTAAATTTCTTTATCATAAAAATTATAAATGCCTTCTAGAAGTTGACTATGGCTAGAAGGGTGACCTTCTTTCATGGGACAGGTTTTCTCCATATAAACAGGGTCTCAGGACCCTTTTTCCATGGACCCCTTGCGTTTCTATAGAAAGGCCCAAAATTATGCCTGATCTGTTGTCAACTTCTTTCTTTGTTCTAAAAGTAAAATTAATCTAAAGTTGATGTGGACTTGCTAGCCTGTTTTCTTCATTGTACTAACAAATTGGCGAAAAGCAGACAGGTGCCTTGCTCACATTTTGCCCTGACAGTTTGTGTGTTGAAGTCAATGTTTTTTTTTTATCGTGTTATATTCAGATGAGGACAGGCAGCCAGTTTTCATGGTGTCGACTATGGTGTGTCTTGAAACATGCAACCATCAAATGCTGGAAAAGTAAAGATGACTCTATTAACAAAGAACCTGTTGAACTGATAGAAATCAAACCAGTAAGATGATCTCATTCAACCTCACTTAACTAGAAAAATATATAGTCTCAAATTGTAAATTAGTGTAAATGATTTGAGCTCGGTTAGGCACCAAAGAGCAACACCGCAGCCCTGATTTAAACTACAATAACAACAACAACTTTATTCTTTGTACAAAAATACAAAAGTTGGATAGTTTTTCCCGCAAATAACTGGAAAGCTAGTCATGGCAGGGCAAAACAAGTACATGAAAAACAAAAACCTTAAACTATTAGAAAGCCTTGCAGAATGTAACTAAAATAGATAAAACACAGAAATTAAGTGATCTAATTTACACAGCGCTTACTGACGTATAATGCATTAAGACAAGGAGTCACCGACTCTTAAATGATAACACAGAAAAAGAAAAGCAGACATTAAAACCTTTCGTATGTACCTATGGGGATTTGAATATAGTCATCCTCCTTTCTAAGATATCAAATAGCAATTTTCCGATAACTATGGAGGTAGTAGTTTTAGTGCAATAGGATATTGTGCGATTCGGTCATCAGTATACAGGTACATGCTGCTCCAGCTTAACTGGACTAGGTATTGAATTTTGATCAGGTGTGAAATAGTTTAAGGAAAGGGGATATCATATTGGTCTGAAATAACGTAGGGGATTCAAGAAGCACAATATACAACCCTGCTCACATTTCTTGGACCACCCCCTTCCCACACCTTGGCAGGGAGACATAAATCCCAGATTCTGGGCTTAATCAATTGAACAAGTTTGATTGGAAGTGGTTCCACCCTGTAGTGAGTTTGCCCCCCTAAAAGTTAGCCCCATCAGGAATCAAGTTTGTCGCATAGTGAATTAGCCCCCGCTAGTTTGCCTTGTAGGAACTTTGTTAACCACTTGCTTGTGTAGGAACTATATGAACCAAGGACGTGACAGTAAAAAGCATCAATATGACTATAGGTCCTGTGATTCAGTGTTGTGTACTGACAGTTTTTGTTCTTGTTTTGTAACCAGAATATGGAGATTGCAGACACAATCAGCCCCACGTTTCAACAGCGTCATATTCTAATTCTTACAAGCCAGATGCCTGAGAAGGAGCCTGTGCTAGCCTCTAACTCAGATGAAGAGTACGCCGGGTGGAGAGATGCTTTGTACCAAGCCATTCGTGATGTGACCGCTTGGAAGGATTCTTGTAGGCAGGAGATGAACATTGTTTACCCAAAACCAAAGAGACTTCCCTCGGTCGAAACCAAGACTTTGTATGATTCAATAGAGGTCACGCTTAGTTGTACGACGGGTAAGTACACTGTGTACGTTTTATGATTTCTTTTCTGTCACTGACAAATACAGCATCAAAGCGGTTTCTTGCAACACTGTACTATTAAGAGAAAAAAAAATTAAAAAGCGTTTTCATTTATTCACGTCGTGAACCTACAGGGTTTAATTCTATTCGCCATTTTCACATACATCTCCCGTAATACACCTTGTTTTCCCCCCAATATATTGCATGAGCATTATCCTTTCCCTTAGGATAACATAAACACCCAGGGGCCGAGTTGTTCAAAGGCTGATTAGCGCTTAACCCGGGATTAAATGTAACCAGGGTTTCTTTTTCTTTTGTTCAAAGCATTTTCTCCGATAAGTTTCTCTGTTATTTCTAAGAGAATCCAATCTTATCATCAACTTGTTGACAGAAAGAATTAAACTGAATTTACTTTTTAAGCATCCAAATCTGATTTCAAATTACGCAGTAACCCAGGGTTATCTTAACCCAGCTTTGAACAAGCCGGCCCAGGAGAAATGAAAACAAAGGCTACGCAAATTTTTTTTCTTGTGGTGGGTTGGGGGATCAAGTTGTATTATGGGAGATGTGCAAATGGTGAATGCTGGATTTTGGGAAACTTTATCGGCTGCGGTTTTAAGGAGGGGAAGGGAGGGGCAGGAGTAAGGGGGTAGCAATTTTGGGGTGCACATAATCTCCTTTAGATAGTGTAAGTTATCTTTCTTCTATCATGCAACCATTTCCTTCTCTTGCACCGCTATAGTGTTTTATTTTTAATTTTAACTTGCACTTGCACTGAATATGACTTGATTTCTTCAGATGCTTCATGACCTTGCCCGCCATCTTGCTTGGCTGGAGCATGTAACTCAGATAAGTGAGTATTCTCTCCTCATCATGCAGCCATCGCTTTCTCTCTCACCTCCTATTCGTGTAGCTTTGTGTAATTTGTTTCGCTAACTACTGTATGTCTCGTCTGCTCCACAACCGTTCTTTGTGTTGTTATGCAACGCTCCTCCCCACAAAGTTTGCGTGACGAGGCAACAAAACGGCTGTGAAGCAGATTACTGTATGTCTGACCTCGCGACATGTTCTTTCATGATCCTTTGCCCGCTGTAACCCTTCTGTTGAATTCACTGTACGCTGTCTTGTCTCCAGGCATCTTTGCTTGCTCTTACGCGGCGCACCCTGTTGTAGCTTGGTAAAGATGTTTGGATCCTACCCATGACGCCCTGCACTCTATGTTTTCTGCGCCATAATAGGGCCTGGAAACGAGACCGTGTCACGTGTCACGCGCAAAGCAACTGTTTTCACTTTCTATTAGGGCAACATTCACAATAAATTACAAAGCTGACCGTTACTGTCGTCGCACTGTATCACTTAATACTTACGCAATCATGCCCCACAAACTAATATAACCGACATTATTTAACACTGAATCATTGGATAATGCAATTCTAGGGCTCTGATTGGCTTAGCTATCATGGTATATGAGCCATTAGTAAAATCCAACTAGTGGTCTATTATCAATGCTGCGTTCTGATTCGTTGAGCTACTACTAGGCTATATGTTATAGCCCACTAGTAGCGAAAAGCGGCGGCTTTGTGGCGGCAAAAAGGATTAAATTCTAGCTTTAACTAGCTAAAGTTTTTTTTTTCTCGATATTTTTTTACCAACTAGTTGGATTTTACTAAAACAATGATTCCTCTTGCCCTCATGGCCTCTGAGTCAATAGCCCATTGACTCAGAACCCATTCGGGCTAGAGGAATAATTGTTAATTATACCATGCTCTCCAAATATGGTAACTGTACGCGTCTAAAAGTCGGGAAGAATTCTCGATATTTTGTGGGCGTTTTTATTAAAACAATTATTGCACTGCGCTTGTTGAATATGAGATGATTATAGCCTACTCGGCGCTACCCGTCTCGTTCGCTATCTACCATCTCATATCCAACGCGCACTCGTGGAATAATTGTTAATTATCGTCATGTGAACCCCTGTATAAGAGGGAGTTCCCGTTTTGATGCCCTTTTGCCTTTTGGACGTTTCACTCTCGGCAAGATTGACTCAGTTGAGAGCACTGGCTAACAGAGCGGGAGACCACAGCTTCGATTCTCGGGGCCTAAACAATGCTTTTAGGGTCTTAAAAAGCAGTAAAATAAGGAACTGCCATTGCTCCTCGTCATGCAGACGCCTAGACCTTCGTGTGGTGCGGATAACCACTTTCGCAAACCACTTTGCGGTCCTGCCCGTCTCCAGCACGGAAGAGTAAAACACCGTCCTCAGTTAGGACTTCGTGCTTTATAGGTTGACACATACACATAAAAACGTTAAGCTTAAAACCCGCGTGTAAGAATCAAGTGGTGTAAGAACCTGCTGGGGAAAATTTATCTTCATAATAGCCAAAAATATAAGAACCTGATTAGCCAAGCAACATCAACGAGGTTTTAAATGCGGGTTACGGTTAAATTAGGATAAACATTTTTACCAAGTAGTTTGACTTTGAGATTTCAAATTTATATCACATATTATATTAATTTTTTATTATTTTAAATCATATATTTTATATTACATCTATTATGTTTTCTGTTATACAACTCGAGTTTTAGAGATAACGCTACATACATTGTATACATTGTGTAGTTAGGGTAATTAGGCTTATCATGATACAGTTGTGAGTAAATACTGTATATTTATGGACCAAACCCAAGTTTTTCTGGTAGCGACGACTACATCTCTTTCATTAAAAAACCTACTTAGCCTACTTTAATAGCTGCCAATAACGAACCCAAAATACAAGAACCAATTTTTTTTTTTGCTAGACGTCCAAAAATCTTGGTTCTTGCACGCGGGTTTTAACTGTATTTCATTGCTCACGGGAACAATTTGAATTGCATGTGTCTTTATTCAACAGACTATGTGAAGAATGACGCCAAACGTAGACCCCTTGGAGAGCTGAAATCACTTCCTGCTGAATCACCTAGTGTTGAATGTACTTATGATATCTGGCAGAGGCGAGTTCCTGAAAACAGAAGCTTTAGAAAGGCAAAAAGACAAGCAGGAGACGAAAACCGCGTGGTGAATTACGAAACTACAATCTAACAACCTGTTGGACCAACCGGCCACAGTTTACTTGATCTTAAAGGCGCTGTGTGACGAAATTTATCAAAATTGAAACTGTGGAATCTGCCACCAAATTGAGTGAAACCTAAAAATAACGGCTAAAAACTTCAGAAGAAGGTATTACTTATAACACAGCAAATATTCGCTTTGAGGTTGCGCGGTAGACCGAGTCGAGATGGTTGTCAAAGTGCATTGTGGGACTTTAGAGTTTTTTTTTTCTGTAACGTTTGATTTAATTATTCAGTTTGAGATGAAGTTGTTATTTTGTAATTTGCTAGTAATTTCGTCGTTTACGTTAAGTCCCCGTCCGAATTAGGACGTGTAATCGGCAATAACGATGGCAACGAGAACGGCAAAAAAAGCAATAGGTTTAGATTGGCAAAACAACAACTTTGCTAGTGCATCGCGCTTTTTTGAACATTTCTTTGCCGTTTCTGCACGATTACGACGTGAAAATCCCTAATTTCACGTTTTATGGAGAATGTAAAAAAGCAACGAAGAAATTTTCTTTCTCTTTCTAAACTTGAGTGAGGTCCCCAAGAAATCAACGCCAGGGAAATTTTTTGCGAATTAGAATAAGCGCGGCAAAGTTTGAGAAAACGCTAATTGAGGTTTTCGCTTCCGTCGCCGTTGTCGATGCTAATACTCCCTTTTCTGGCAAAATGAACGAAACAGCCGTGACACAGCTCCTTTAAGTGTTTTAATCGTTAAGACATAATTTGAAATCGGCTCCAAAATTTTTAAAAATAGGTAATTAGTCTACATCATTATTTGTATATATGTAACAATGGGAAGTGTATTTAAGAAACCCTACAAAATGTATTGAGTTCTGAAAACGTGACTTGGTTGAAATGTTTAGATAATTTAAAATGTAAATAAGACCCAAGTTTTGACAAGAGCAAGATACCCCTATTTGAAAAATTATATTAGCGTAAAGTTCGGCACACGTTAAGCCACGCGTTGCAACGGTTTTTCGTACCCAGGATCTATCGTTGCCGCCGAAATTTGGCTGCAGCGACGGATCAAGTTAATTTGGCAAACTTGCTCAATGTTAATAAAACTTTTACAAGTGTAATTTACAAATTTATCCATTGTTTTTGAGTCTAAAAACAATAGCTTTACTAGTAATTTCACTAGTAGTTTTATTAAAGTGAGCCCTGGTTTGCTTTTGTTCGTTCAGTCGAGGAGACATGACCTTCCGTTAGACTGTATAAACATCAGTGCATACGAGGAGCTGAGTTGTCCACGAGACTCTTGGATGTAACACGTTTCCTGTCGTGTGACGAAGAAAATTAAAGAAAATGTCTTGGGTTCTCGGAACTACAGCTCCGAAATCTATGAATCCTTTTTTATTAGATGTGATTATATTTTACAAATGACAAAGCAAGCCGACCGCTGGTCGTCCGATGAATTTTTTTAAGGCATACAATCCTGTGTCTTGAAAACTCGTAGATGTTGAATAAGAAAAGGATAATCGTAATGTTTAACTCAGCATTCAAAAGATTAAATAAAGAATTTGTTGTTAGTTTGCTATACTTGTTCAGTTTTTAATGAAGTCGTTCAAGTCACTCTGGTGAAACTGTGAAAGGTTTGAACCCAGGAGTCATTTTATAAGCAGGTTGAGTATGATCGTCCTTGTAAATGTAGTCCTGAATAGGACTGTTGCTGACGGTAGAGAGGTTAAGCATCACGTTTACGGCAAACGCAAATTTGTACCACGTTACCAAGTTTCCTCTTTACTTGTCGTTTACTGTTCATTATTTCTACACCTAAATTATTAGTTTCACGCAATTTTTATCCATAAGAATTGTTTTGAATCGAACTGTTTTTGTCTGCTCATTTTCTATTTTGAGAAATTCTCAACTTGAATCTGACGTTTGCCGTATACGTGAAGCTTCTCTAGTGACTGCCTTTTCGACTGTATGAGTTTTTCTAGTAAACTGAAAAAAAAAAAATTATCAGAGGACAAAACCAAGTTTCCAAACATCAGAAAGTGAGGTTACGTGAATCATGTACCGGAAATCAACAGCGGATTAAAGAACCGCTGTACTTTCATATTGGTTGGGGAAAATCTTATTTCACTTTCGATTTCAAGAAAGAAAGAAAAAAATGCAAAGGAGAAGCGTGAATGGACACGTCGGTTTCTACGTCAGTCCTTAAATCTTCAAATTGAATATTTAAATTAAGTGGGAATTATAGTGGAAGCGAACGGTCTTTTTTGACAGATGCACCGAGCATCAATAACTCCCAAACTTTCATTTCCATACGTCTGAGACACTAAGACTGCTTTAAATATCAGTCGTAAGCCCTTGGCATCTCATTTCAATTCCTCGCTGTGTTGATTTTACTCTTCGTCGCGTTTTTCCTTCCTGTGTCCTAAGTTAGTTTAAGAGAGCGCGTTTCCTTTAAGCTGATTCCATGTTTCTCATTAAATTTTATCTGGAGACCGTAAAAAACTACAGGCAATGTTTGAGGCAGGATAAGATAACTGGCCAAGGTTTTTCACCTGTTGGAAGGGAGAAGTCGCACTGGGTTCGGCCGGTCACTTCCTGGGGTTTGTCTCAAAACAATGTTTTTAGTCGGGTAGCTAAAAAACCTTTCTTAAAAGAAAATACTTTCAATTTCCAATCCGTAGCCATGTTCAGTTGCCTTTCTTTTGGATTATTCTGAATGATTTTATTGACTAACACTTACCGCAATAAATCTTCGCCAGTTTCTATCATCTGGACCACATGACTTTCTCGTTCATTATATGGGAAAAACTGAGAAGGTTACTGGGATGTTACTTCCGCGTTTTTAAAACAACATGCCAGGATGTACTCGATGACAAATTTGCTTCATGGTATCCTTGTGAATTACAACTTCCAGAATATATTTTTAATGAGGTAATTCCCCATCTACATACCCAGGCCATTGTTGTTTTTTGTGTTTATACTGTGTTTTTATTTATTTCTTCCAAGAAATGCTAATTAAAATTTTGTTTTCTGAAATTGCCTTTATCCGGCTATGAAAGAAAATGAAATAAGTAATTTTCTAATTTTTTTTTTATACCAAAAAAATGGAGGAATGCGCGCCGGCTTTAAAATCTCTTTCTCGAATCACAGTTGAACGGAACCATACGATCGAGTATATGTTCTAACACGCACCACTCTGAACGCTCAAAGACTTCCGCAGTCACTCTTGAACGTTCTGCGGGGGTGTCGAAAATGAAACAGTTCTTGTACGACATAACGGCTCTTGGGGAAATATAGAGTAATTTTTCTAAAAAAGCAGTCGATGCTTGATTATATATTTGACCGCAGACAGTAGTGTTCACTACTGATCCAGCTACCGGTCTGTGATCAGTTAACATGGCCGAACCTGATAAACCAACTTGGGTCGAGCTTCTTAATGAAAGAACTCCTCATCTGATTAAGGAGTTAGTTCCATAAAGGACCTGGGTGAACAAAGTTATCAAAATTGAAACTGTGGGACCTGCCCACAAAATGAGAAAAACGTAAAAAAAACCGCTAAAAACTTCAAAAAAAGGTAATAATTAAAAAACAGCAAATATTCCCAACCTTTATGTTGGGCGGTAAACCGAGTCGAAGTGGTTGTCAAAGTGCATTGTGGGAATTTAGGGTGTTTTTTTTTTTTCTGTAACGTTTGACTTAATTATTCAGTTTGAGATTAAGTTGTTATTTTGTAATTCGCTAGTAATTTCGTCGTTTACGTTAAGTCCCCTTCCGAATTAGGACGTGTAATCGGCAATAACGACGGCAACGAGAACGGCAAAAAAAGCAATAGGTTTAGATTGGCAAAACAACAACTTTGCTAGTGCATCGCGCTTTTTTGTACATTTCTTTGCCGTTTCTGCACGATTACGACGTGAAAATCCCTAATTTCACGTTTTATGGAGAATGTAACAAAGCAACGAAGAAACTTTCTTTCTCTTTCTAAACTTGAGTGAGGTCCCCAAGAAATCAATGCCAGGGAAATTTGCCTACATTAGACATTTTTTGCGAATTAGAATAAGCGCGGCAAAGTTTGAGAAAACGCTAATTGATGTTTTCGCTGCCGTCGCCGTTGTCGATGCTAATACTCCCTTTTTTAGCAAAATGAACGAAACAGCCGTGACACAGCTCCTTTAAGTGTTTTAATCGTTAAGACAAAATTTGAAATCGGCTCCGAAATTTTTAAAAATAGGTAATTAGTCTACATCATTATTTGTATATATGTAATAATGGGAAGTGTATTTAAGAAACCCTACAAAATGTATTGAGTTCTGAAAACGTGACTTGGTTGAAATGTTTAGATAATTTAAAATGTAAATAAGACCCAAGTTTTGACAAGAGCAAGATACCCCTATTTGAAAAATTATATTAGCGTAAAGTTCGGCACACGTTAAGCCACGCGTTGCAACGGTTTTTCGTACCCAGGATCTATCGTTGCCGCCGAAATTTGGCTGCAGCGACGGATCAAATTAATTTGGCAAACTTGCTCGATGTTAATAAAACTTTTACAAGTGTAATTTACAAATTTATCCATTGTTTTTGGGTCTAAAAACAATAGCTTTACTAGTAATTTCACTAGTAGTTTTATTAAAGTGAGCCCTGGTTTGCTTTTGTTCGTTCAGTCGAGGAGACATGACCTTCCGTTAGACTGTATAAACATCAGTGCATACGAGGAGCTGAGTTGTCCACGAGACTCTTGGATGCAACACGTTGCCTGTCGTGTGACGAAGAAAATTAAAGAAAATGTCTTGGGTTCTCGGAACTACAGCTCCGAAATCTATGAATCCTTTTTTATTAGATGTGATTATATTTTACAAATGACAAAGCAAGCCGACCGCTGGTCGTCCGATGAATTTTTTTAAGGCATACAATCCTGTGTCTTGAAAACTCGTAGATGTTGAATAAGAAAAGGATAATCGTAATGTTTAACTCAGCATTCAAAAGATTAAATAAAGAATTTGTTGTTAGTTTGCTATACTTGTTCAG